GTCTGTCGGCCCTTAACCAACCCTTGTTGTGGTCTATGATTGTGATGGTAAGGTTTTTGAGATCAGCTTGGGCGTGCCCATGTGATGATCTCAAATGACGACTTACGGGGAGGTCGGGCTTGCAGGTGTAGTCACTTCGATGACCATTCATGCGTTTGTTGAATGGCTGTTCTGTCTCGCCAACATACTGCATGCCACATCGACACTCAAGAAGGTATACAACATTTTGGGTTTTGCAAGTTACATTACAAAATATAGTGTACACAGACCCAGTTGAGTGGCAAGTAAATGTTTGAGTATTTAGTATTTGTTGGCAAGTCAGACATCGTCTGTTACCACACGACTTGCACCATCCTGCAGTTGAACCGCTTTTATTAGAGGAGACGTCAGCTCTCACAAATAAGTCTTTCAGACTTGCCGGTCTTCGAAAAGCTAAGACAGGAGGATTGGGAAAGATCTTGGATAATTTTGGGTGCTTGGCAATAATTTGCCAATTAGCACGGATCAAACGTGAAAGGTTAGTAAAGGCAGGATTGTATGTTAAAACAAACGGAACTATTTTACTGCGACTCTTCTGTTTGTACTGTAACAGGTCATTGCGGCTGTTATTGTTGGCACGCGCAAACCCCTTATCTATGTCCCATTTTTTATCACCTCGTTTAGTAATCCGCGAAGTTCATGTGACCGTTTAGTGACAGCCTCCTCAGAGGAGCAAATCTTCCTTATTCTGAGAGCTTGACTGTACGGGATACTTTTTGTACAGTGTTTGGGGTGACAGCTTTGGGGAGAAAGGTACTGATGTTTATCTGTAGGTTTACAGTAGAGGTCTGTTGATATGACACCGTCCTTTATAGATGTAGTAGTGTCTAAGAAAGATATTTTAGAGTCGGAAATTTCATATGTCAATTTAATTGACTTGTGGGCGTTGTTTGCATATCTGATAAAATCATCCAATTTTTGTTGGGATTCAATCCATGTATATATAATTATATATAAAGGCAGATTCTTTTTTATAAATAAAGCAAGCATAAATGCCCTCCGTTTCCAGATGCGGATTTAAGAGGGAGGCAGTGGGTATTGCCCTCCCCCTTATAGAGCAATATGGTTAACGCATAGACTTTCAAGTCCCACTCTTAACAGTGTTGTTCAATGCCTCCGCTTTTAAAAACAATCCTGTACCCACACCTGGTTTCTGTTTAATTTTTTTCAAAATGTGATGGAATCTTGGAATAAATATTAAAAAGTGAATATTTCAGAGTGCATTCTACATGTAGCAAGGTATTTTTCTACTGGTGATAAAAATCTTCAGGGGAAAACACTTATTGTTGAACCATAAGGAGGGTAGGTGCCCTGTTTCTGAATGTAACTGTACCTGTTTAATAAATATATATGGAAGCCCGGGTCCCTCCGAAATCTTCAACTTTAATTTAAATGTTGCACCATATAGAATATCAACTGCGTCACATTTGATGACTTAACCTTCGTGTTTATGTAATAAACCCTGGTAATAGTGTACTGTCCATGATAACTGCACTTAGGTCATCCGCCGCAACAATTATCAACATGAAGTCGAAATACAAAACTAAATTGAACTGCTAACTTCTTTTGACTAGTACATATCTCGGTCTCCTTCGTGATTTTTCTTCTTTTCCCACTTTGTTTCAGCATTGAACGTTTAATATTGTCTCTTTAATCGCTGTGCAGGTTAGTCGATTTAGTCTAGGGGTAAATAGAAAGAATTTTACGGTAATACAACGTAATAAAATAAGATTTTATTTAAGGAATGGAAATAGAATACCATTTTGACTGTTAAAAAGAATTTTTGATTGTAAAATGTAACGATATGTACAGTTTGGAAGTACCAGAAACAAATAATACCCACTACGGGACATTTAAGGTCAGATTTATATATGCAGAGAAAATGTCCACCCGTCAAGAGGAGCATTGAATGGGGAACCCAATAACGAATAACAACAAAAAAATTGCTTGAATTAAAGATAACGAAAAATATTTTACTCTATTTAACACCTTCAGTAATTGACAAATGCGATTTGTAGAATGACAATATTTTTAAGGCTCATTTGTTGCAAAATATATATTGAAAAGAGGGCATTTGAAATTTGACGTTAGAGACCATTGCCACCCTCTTGACTATCGGAAATTTTTAAAACCTCGACCCAAATGGGCAAGATCAACTTTCTTATGACAATAGTGAATGTAAATATGACCGCAATAAAAAATCAAGTACTTCATGCAAAGGGGATGGGAGATGCACGTTTGGGCTAATTGTTGTAACATTTGGGCTAAAAATAAAGTCGACATTTATGCTAATCCTCCTATGTATAGGTATATTTCATGTAACATATCTATATTCTAATTACATATTAATATTCTATATGTAATAAAGACATTCTATCATAACATGTTCTTGTTGTGTGTACGCATTCCGTTTGCCAGATAATGTCTCCTACCTGCTCACCACGGGGTTGTGAAAGTTTTGAGCAAGACATGTCGATCTTTATAGCACTAAATATGTTTAAACTATATACAACATGAAGGTATAAAACAGCTATGTTGAGATATAATAAAGTACAGCCAATAGGTTTTTCTCAAAGTTTGGTTCTGGTCCTAAATTTAAATCTGACAGCCATTAAAAACGGTAGTCTTGTGATACTATGGTACTGGCTGATATTCATTTTAAACTCATTTGAATTAGATGGTGTAAAACTCAAGTTCCTTTTTTTTTAAAAAGCATTTTTTTCTACATGAATGGATTTTTATGTAAGGTGTTTATATAATTTTTGTATTTAATATTATATATATTTCATATGAAATATTAATATTGATGAACTTTTCCTGCAATTTACCTGTACAGGTTAGAAAATAAATAATAATCCCAAATGTAAACTTTACTCTAAATTTTTTAGCCCAGATGATACTATGGTCACGCTTTTGATTTAGCCCAAATGGCTTGCGCCCAAGCAAAGACAATCTTATTCAATTAACAATTATGTAATATTTGGTCTTCTTAACATTGATAAAATCACTCATGATTGAATTTAAATTTAGACGGTTCCAAAATGTATTCACATGTTCAAAGTATTATTATTACCGTTACATCTGTCGTTTTCTCACTCTCCAACTACTTCAAAATATCACCATGCTATATAAACAGTTACCCATAGTAAACTTTATCTCGGGACTATCGCGTTTTGTAAACTTGTTACACTGTAAGTATATGTCTATATTAGGTCATTAATATATTTTGATTTCTACTTCTTATCTACAAAGGTTCGTTGTTCGCTTTACAGCATTCTTTGTTGGTTAATGTAATAATTATACCGCTCTATTTCAATAACTACGTCTGGCATTTAGGGAGATTAACATCAATTCACTAAATTAGAGTTTAAGACTAAATATATTTCTTTTGGTTATTCTTTTCTACATTGAAATTCAGTACAGATTTGCCCTATCATGTCACAAGATTGTGTCTACTGGTGCTTTTTTTTTGGTTGTTGGTGTACGAAATCTACCTGGACGTATATCCACCAATATAAACATGGAAGGGCGTGATTTCGTATTTCAGATTAAGTGCGTTTAGCTTGTTTTTAGAAATTCAGGGCATTATTTGGAACCGCAATGTTTATTATTGTTGTGCTTGTAGTTGAATTTATTCATATCATTCTGTTATCTATCGGAATTATAATATAATTGATTTCCCTTTCCTGTGTTTCTCTTATTTTTTCTCTAAATTTTTTTTTGAAAACTGCCATTCTTATTTTCTAAGAATGTTAAAGCGTACATTTCCATATGTCATGTAGTGCGTACTAAGTTATGTACTATTCCCAACCAAGATTAATGAGTATTTTAAAAGGGTTGGAAAGCATTTATTATGTATATGTTTTTTTTTTATTTTGCCATGGCCTTGTCTCTCTTTCGTCGACGTAAGATTTTTTCATTGCTCCTCTCGAGGCATTTCCTTCTTTCTTATATTTTTTTTAACACTTTATCTTTTTTTGATATTGTAGCAAGTAAAAAGATAAGTTGAATTTATGAAATTTGAACATCGGTAAACTACTGTTTTTCAACAAACAATCTGCATTCCCATGAGGACTAACTGTGCACCTCGTCTTGCCGACTTGTTCCTATATTCAAATGTTAATAGGACAGACTTCAGACAGGAGATTCTCAGAACGATAAAAAGAAGCTAACATTATCCTTTATCTTCATCTTCCTATATATAGATGTTGTCCTCTCACAACAGAACTCGCAGTTTACGACTATGTTGAACGCATCTATCATATCGAACTTGACATAACTGATACCACAGATATAGTGAAGTCTGCCTAAAACTTTGATTTACATATAGAAACTGACAATGAGGGTCGGCTGATAACAAAACTATACGACAAAAGAGAAGATTCTAGCTTCCGAATTAAGCACTTTCCATGTCTGTGCAGCAACAAACCAGCAGTGCATGCATATAGGGAGCAAGATATGCTTACCTTTCCGGAGTACCTGAGAGCACCCCTGGTTTTAGTGGGGTTCGTGTTACTCAGTCTTTAGGTTTCTATGTAGTTTTTTGTAAACTGTAGTTTGTCTTTTCGTTGTTTTTCATTCTTTGCCATGCGTTTTCAGTTTGTCAACAACTCATGAGTTTTAAATGTCCCCTTTTGGAATCTTCCGCCTCTTTTTTTTCTAATTTCACCATATCTCATTGGATATGCCTGTCTTACATCACTAGCTCGTCACTGATTGTCTTCATTTATATCTTTAATGTTACTTTTGTCATTTAGGGAATTTGGTGTTGATGGAAGATCTCGGTAGTCTCTATTGAGTTTTCTAGATTCGGAACAACTTAGAGCTTGACATATTCTATAGACACTTATCTATTGTTGAAGGTTGTAAATTGACTTTCAAATGTCATTTGGTGATTAATAATCGCTGTTTCATTCACGTTTACCCTACATTTATTTGTATTCATATTTATTTTCAGCACCTGCAATGTGTAGATATCTTGTGATCGGCTTAGTGCTGTATACGGCATTACTGATTCAAGCAAAACCTAGAGGTCGTAATGGTCCAAAATGCCGTAGTGGGGCTCCACTTTTGGTATCGGCCTTTAACATCAAAACGTTCGGAAAATCTAAAATGAGTGACCCTGAAATAGCTAACTATATCAAAGAGGTTTGTTGAACTATATGTATTGAAAAATTATAGACCCTTTTCACCGGGGATAATAACACTACACTACCGCTTGTCCATATCGTTGCTGGTAGCTGTACCCCAATGTTGTGCGCACATGAACACCTGGTATATTAGTAAAAAAATAATAATACTCTTGCTTTTTAAATCTATTTTTTTATAGATTAATAATTTTACCAAAGTTAGTGTTCATCTATCATATTTGCAGATACTTTTGGAGGATTCTGTTTTCTCCGTATGAAGTCCAATAATCTTTTTGTCATTCTTAAACTTATTCTCTAAGAATGGCATAAAGCGTATATTTGAAATTTCGTTTAGTACGTTATAGACTAAGTACTTAATTAAGTACCATTCAAATCCAGATTAATGCAGAAGATAATTAGGGGTTGGAAAGCATGATATTAAGTTTTAAGTGGTAGTTCAGTATCTTTTTTAGTTTGCCATGCTTTTGTCTGTCTTTCGATGACGTAACATCATCCATCAGGAATTATATTTCTTAAGTTGCCTTCTATATCTGCGTTCGGTCATCTTACGTCTTCGTTAAAGTTAAACAAAAAAAATAAACTTCCAACATAGCCAGTCTTACCGAAAACGATATTTTGCTACAAGATATTATCTACGTAACAGCTATGTTGACATGAGTGCGATATCTTTAAAGGAATGGTAAAATAATGCTCAAACAATACATTAATTGCAAAAAACTGTTTGTAAAATGACAATTTTTGGTCTAATATACAATTTGTTAAGTCCTCGAACAAAATTTAAGGTTGTCAAGTTATGTAAATGAAAATAACAGTGTAATAAATTGCATGTGTCCGAAGCGCTAAGCTGGATTTATTACTAAAAACGCCCAAACCTACACATTTGAAAGCAAGGGATGCATAAATACTGAGAAACGTTTTGAGCTAGATAACCAAAAGAGTATAACAAAAATATTGAACTCCAAGGCAAATTCAAAAAGGGGAAGTCCATAAAAACTGACAAAAATCAAACGCTATCAGTCAACGGAACAAGTGAAAAAACAACTGTCATATTCCTGACTTGGTACCGGCATTTTCCGAGAAATTGGTGGGTTAAACCATGTTTTATAGCTAGTTTTACCAAAAGGAACATAAAGAATAACCAAATTTATCTAAGGTCAACTTTACCTGAGGTAGTTGGAACCTTAGTTGTTTTGTGATTTCTTAATCTATCAAAGGCAAATTTTAGAAAAAAAATGCTCATTACAGAAGCACTAACTACTAAGCTGATGAGGACTCACAGTCAATAAGCAGGGGTATCGGTCGACCCAGAAAACATACAATGTATCAATTTTACCAAAAGCTATTCCTAAAATGGCATTTTTAAACTAAATAGTTTAACCAGGTTGTCAAGTTATGTAAACGTATAATACTGTCTTTAGTACGCAGGACATTTTCTTGAATAGTCGTTATGAAATGCATTCGATACCAAAGAAGCTCGATACATAAAACATTTCGGAGCAAACAAGCTTAAACAGATGTCTTGTATAATGACATATTTTATCGGTTTTGTGTATATCTTGTGTTGTTAAGGTGATGTTTGATCATTATCAAAGATCCCAATAATTTACATGTACATGTATATTCATTAATGATTGAGTTTCTAAAAATAATGAACGATTATGTACGATTTTTGGATAAAACAATACAAAATAACCAATGCATTTAGGGCAGGAAATTTAGGCTTGTATTCAATCGATTTGCTAAATGGTGTTTGAATTACATTGTTTTTGAAAATTTACTAACAGACATAGTTTTTAAATAAACAGATAGTACTTAGGTATGACTTGATTTTGATACAAGAAATACGAGATATAAGCGGTGAGGCGTTACAAGATCTTTGGACTCTCGTTAACAAGTAAGTTTTATACTGATAAACCATATTTCTTGTACTTAAATAACACACACTTAGGGAAACTAATCATGTAGGCACACAAACAGATGTTTGCATGAATAAAAAACCGAAAAATAAAAACAGATTACTAACACTAGAGACTGAAGTATATGACCATGACTAAATGTGCTACACTAGTACCAAAAGGTATACAGCTTAATTTCTTATAATCACTTTGTAAAACACACAAAGTCATGTCTTGTACATTAGATTTATGAAATGAACAATAGAAACGCCGCAATAAATTCTGTTTTATTTCAATAATTGTTTTGGGGGATGAAATAATAATTCTTTTTACAAAAATCCTTCCACTGCTAGATAAATTGACCGATGGACACTGTTTTATTACAGGACCGATAGTTGCGGTATGGCAGTAAGTGAACGTCTTGGAAGATCTTCATACAAAGAACAATATGCTTACTTCTACAAGTAAGTTTTCTACTGGTATTCATAACTTATAAAACAATTTAGTTGATAGTGATGCCACAAGAGGAAGTTTTGGTTTGTACTTAAATGTTTTATTATAAATGCGATTGATAAGAGTCCTATCCATTTTAATTCTTTTGAATGAAATTGCCAACTACGAAAGTACTACAAGCGTAGGAATGATAGTAATGACAACAACAAAAAATGAATAAAACGGTGGATAACAATCAATTGTCGCTTTACAATTTAACCATTTGTATTTTAGAATATCAATTACTTCAGCGTGTTTGTTTTATAGATTACGTACGTTGGAATTATTAGATGTTCACCAGTATGATGACGGTCCTGATGATTACAGTGACTGGTTTGAAAGGGAACCATACAGTGCTCTCTTCCAACCTGTACACGGGGGAACAGGTAGTTCTTTGTGCATTGTTAATTTCGATGTCTCGTGTAGAGAAAGTGCCAAGCTCTTTGCACGTTAAGAACATTTGAAACAACTTTTTAGGGGGTCCGTAAGTGGCCTGTTTTAAAGCAAAATATCTGTTCCTATCCACCATACCCTCATTTTCCAGTGGCAGTCCAAATTTCCCCAATCTTCATCCCAGACGATCTCTATTATAGGAAATAACTATTGAGGATGCATGAAATATTTGCCACTGGACGTTAAGCAATCAACAATCAATCAATCAATTAAGTTAGCCACCGGTCAACATTGATCAATATTTATTATGATTTTAGTCGCTCGACTACAGAATAAAACTTGAATTGTTTGGACGACTCGTTTCATGCAATGAATGGCTTTTAAAAAAAACTCTCTACGATGGTTTAGTTCGGTGGTTTGTTACTTGGCTCTATTAACCCTATCACAATGTTTGGAGAGTTTTGGCCCAAATTTCTTTAAACAAGTATTTTTCAGTTATAAGATATGGCATGCCTAGTAAATATCCACTGTTGGTGGAGGTTTCCTCCCCATTGGAATTAGCCCAGTAGTTATCACGTCTGCCTTGATACGAAATATCATTTAAAAGGTCATATTTATAAATTAAATGTTTACCAATCTTTGCATTGTTGGAAATGCTTAAGACTTTCAACCCAAGGAATATATTACCTTACCTGTATTTGGCAAAACCTTTCAGAATTGTGGGTCCTAAATACCATTAACTCGTACTTTATTTCATCTTTTAACTTATTTTATTCGCGTGTCACTTATGGGTCTTTTGTAGACAAAACGCGCATCGTCTGGCGTACATGCAAAATTATAAGTCTGGTATATTTAAAGAGCTGCTGTGCTTAGTATATATAATAGTAATAGTTATAATGTTAAGATGCAAAAATTGTCGTGCTGGTAGGTATGGTAGTTAGTTTAGATTTTTTTAAAGACAATATCTTCGATCCTGGTTTATATGGTAGTCAATTAATGTTTTTGTATAATGCTGTTATAAATGTAAGTCAGTAGATGTCTATTTTCAGATACGAGATTTGTTGTGACCGGTATACATGCTAAACCAGACGATGCTGTCGCAGAAATTGGTTATTTGTATAATGTGTACAAAGACACATTGGGGAAATGGGGAATAACGGTGAGCTAGCATATATAATTTATGTATGTGTTTGTGCGTGAAGAAGGTTTTTTTTCTCCTGATTATTATAATGTTTCCAGTTCACATTCCGAGCCATTTCAAAAGAATAATAATAAAAAAAGAGATTGAAAACTAATAATTTAGTAATTAATTCAATTCAATGTTTTATTGCGATTAAACACTATAATAAGGTTAGTTACAAAAAATGAATTAAGATAATCAAATCAAATAACACTAGCTGGTATACAACTGGTTAAACATAATATAAAAATAAGGAGATGTGGTATGATTGTCAATGAGACAATTATCCTCCAAAGTTCAAATGAAGTGCATGTAAGCAATTATAGGCAACCGTACAGCCTTCAACAATGAGAAAACCCCATATATAGTCGGCTATAAAAGGCCCCGACATGAAAAATAGGAACCAATTCAATTGAGAAAACTACGGCCTAATTTATAACAAAACAATTTACGAAAAACAAATATGACAGCTATGAAATCGACATCCACTGAACTACAGGCTCCTGACTTGGGACAGGCACATAAAGATAATTAAATCGATACAAAGCAGAAAACAACTAACAAAACCGGACGTGGCAGAGAATAACTAAAATAAAAATCAATACACATCCATATAAGTCAATATTAAAAAGGGTAGTCACCCGACCTCCAGACCAATGAGAATCCAGACCAAGTCAAGAGAATAAAAACAAGACAAAAGAGAGAATGGGTTGTTTCAATATGATATTGAATAACACACGAAACACGGTTTTGAAAACTCTATGGTATTTTGTTAAGACACTAAAAATATAACTTTAAAAGTCCCCGTTCATAAATTAAGAAATTATTAAGAAACTATGGTTCAAACTCCCTCAGGCAAATTGAATTTGGCTATCCTGTTTAGGTCATATAGCTCCTAACGTTGCAGCTTATCAATCCCAATCCCTGGCTTTCTCTATTTCAGACCAAGGAAAAAAATGTTCTTATTGTCTTGTTAATTTCTACTAGTTAAATTTAGTATGAAAAGAAAGCTAATAAATAGCAGATTTTATTTATGTATATAAAAAATCAAAAAGAAAAATCCCTGGCTTTCAAAAGTTTTGTTTTGAGCGTTCCCGATGAAAATGAATCCAGAAAAGCATGTCGAACACACAAAATTTAAAAGTTTATTTCATCAAATAATTAAGCCTTAATTGAAAACACTTGAAAATGATTTAAATCTTTTTAAGATACTTCAATTTCCATGAAAACTATATCTCTGCGTTTCATAAAATGTAATAGAACCTACCCCTTGATAAATAATAAAACATATAAAAATAAGAAGATATGATATGATTGCCAGCGAGACAACTAAAATATGAGGCGCGGATTAAGTCAAAATTATTGTATTTAATGACTTTTTGGAGTATTTCAAGACCTCAATAATTTAAATTCAGCCTTATTCTGAAATATTTCAGGACTTCCATATTATTCGATTTCAGTAATCATCGAGATAAATCATCATTGTATAGACTCGTAAATATGATTTCATCAACTTTCGAAATGTTAGATGTAACCAAGGAAACAAATCGAGGGTTATTTCCCACACCTCTTTAACATTGATAGCAGATTTAATGTATTCAAAATTATTTTTATCTTTCAAAAATCGGGTTCAAAGAAATAGTTCATACAATTATAATTTTCCACAGTTGCAGAATATTTTGTCACAATTATATTATAGTGATAAGTCACCTACATATATATGAAATGATTAACTAAGTATGGATTAATTATGTCGTTAATACAACAAAACTGATAACATGTTGTCTTTTTACCCTTAAGAATATATTGACATTCGGAGACTTCAATGCGGATTGTTCGTACGCCAAGGTTGAAGAGTTGGCTTCAAAGACATTTTATTATGACAATGTTGACTTCCATTGGCTGCTTGATTGGAATGCTGATACTACCACTTCTCAAAACACTAACTGTGCTTATGATAGGTATGCTGAATAGATACATTATTATCTAAATATAATACAGCATGTTTAGAAATATTCAAAGTTCTAATATTATCTAAATATAAATAGTATTGCTTCTTTACTGTTTTAAACTCACGCAGATAGCTTTGTACCAACCCTCAACCAATAAAAACTAAGCTGTAGGGATTATATTGTATAATTTCGGGTTGATACGGGTGTGATATTGAAAAAGCCATATATCTCTCTCTCTCTATATATATATATATATCAAATATGTGCGTGTAATAATATGAGTTTTTGTTCTATGGTAGAATCGTAGTCTCTGGAACCAAGCTTCAGCAGTCAGTATATCCAGGTTCAGCTAATGTGTATTTGTTCGAGAACACCTTTGGATTAACTTACGAAAGGGTAGGTTTTGAAGTATATTTTGATGGTATAATATAATTAGCAGACGTAAGAAACAGTTATAATTCAACAAAGAAAAAGAAAAAAATCCAGAAGTGATAAAAAGTGAAGTAAACCGTAGAGGAAATGTTTGTGTGTTAAGCTGGTGGTTTGAAATCAAGTGGCGAAAACGAATTATTGGCGCAAAGGGGTTGTGATAGAAGGACATTTGTTTTAAGCAAACAGATATTTCCCACAATTTGGTTGTCCTTAAGTACATTTATGGAACTTTGTATAACCATAATATGATAAATTCGTCATTTATCCCCCCTCCCAGTTCGATCAAGAACTGCTCTTTATTTTAATCATTATTTATCTGCAACTGTACGCTCATGGAATCATCTCTCTGAGAGTGCTAAAGCTAGTTCTTCAGTGAGAGCGTTCAAGAGTTGTGTCCAGTCTCTAAACCCCCATATTGTTACTACATTGGAAAGCGATCAGATCAAATATATCACTCAAGACTTCGTATGTTCTTTGAATCAGCATCATTTTATTAACATATTGTTGCCTCACCACTTTGTTTATGTGGTGCTAAAAACACATTATTTGTTGCACTGCTCTCGATTTCACTTCATACATGAGCAGCGGTTTTATGACAACAGAAACCACCATTTCTTATTAGACGAAATTTTGCTATATGGTTCAACGGAGCTCAGTTATGAACAAAACATAGAACATTCTTTGCATTTCAAACATTCATGCTTAGTAGAAAAATATTTTCAATATATATGATTACAAACCTCCTGTTCAACAGGTCTACAGTGCATGTTCATGCCAAATTGCGTTTGTTATTTAACGTGAGTTTAATTTTTTTTTAAATACGTTTACACTGAATACATACATGTTATCTATAACATATGCAGTTTTATATTTCAGATGTTGGATGTTAGCGACCATTATCCTGTAGAAGTGCAACTTATCTTGTAAGAAACCTGTCGTGGGACAGGTCATGGGACAAGTGTCTTATTTCAATAAAAATCACTCTTAATAACCTATCATTTTATTGTACCCCCATTTGGTGGACGCATGAATCATACAGTTGAAATAAGAACATAATAATTTTTAGTGAAAAAATTTTACAGCCTTTCATGTATATTAAACAATAACACACCCATGTGAAGAAATTCTAACAACATTAAGTCAAACCTGATTATTGATGCTATGAAGATGACTAAAATTTTCAATTTAAGCAATTTTATAAATTTTAAATATTGATCAAAATGATTTTTTTTTCAAAGAAGACATGTGTCGCCTACCGTATCCATGATGCAATAATAAAACCCGAAATGGTGTATTCCATGTTTTGGTATTACAAACCTAAAACATCAGTCAGATCAAAAATTAGAACAGCAGGTTCATAATTTTATCAGGATTAAATGAAAGTTTGGTGTTATTCTGTTGAGAAGTGTAATAACAAAGTTTGGTGTTATTCTGTTGAGAAGTGTAATAACAAAGTATGGTGTTATTCTGTTGAGAAGTGAAATAACAAAGTTTGGTGCGGACGAAGACACAAGAGGACAGAAGTTATCCCTATGTGTAATGAATTCCGTACCAGTCTTGTTAACAATGGGAAATTACAGCTAATAATTTCGGAGTAGGTCCGGTAAGACCCCTTTTTGACCCCAAAATACAGCGTTTTACAAAGTTGTTGACAATGTAAACGTTTAGATATTTATTGGAAAGTAGAATACTTTTGTTACATAAATATGGGCTTTTTTTGACAGTACAATGGACATGCATCAGGTACTAGCATCATTATTTCATGCAAAAATACTGAAATCTTCACATTTTTGGCTTTTGTGCTAATTTTAAGACGGTTTTTGTTTAAATTGGAAGTGGCCGCACTTGTGTTCAGTCTTAATATTTAAATATATGTTGTATTTATCGATAATACATAACATATATAAATGTTGAGACTGAACACGAATGCGGCCACTTCCATTTTAGACAAAAACCATCTAAAAAGTTGCGTTTTATGGCATATTTGATAGATTTTTCATATTTAAGCTTGAATTTGAGCCTCTTTGATGACCAAATCAGTTAAAACCTTTAACATAATCTAATTGAATCGACTGAAGAAGACACTTAATTGTATAAAAAATGACAAAAATCTTTCATCAGATGTACTTCGAATTTTAGGCCAAAATTAGCCCTTACCGGACCTTCTGCTTTGGTGACTACATTTAACGCATCTATCCCATCGAACATGAGATAAAGGATACAACAGATACACTTAAGTCTGCCTCATATCTTGACTTGCATCAAGAAATTGACAATGAGGGTTGGTTGAAAACAAAACTTTACGACAAAAGAGATGATTTCAGCTTCCCAACTGTGAACTTTCCATTTCTATGTAGCAACATTCCAGCAGAGCCTGCATACGGAGTATATATCTCCCAGTTGATACGATATTCCAGGGCTTGTATTTCCTATTATGATTTCCTTGGTAGAGGGTTGCTGCTCAAATGGAAGCTATTATACCAAGAGTTCCAAGTTGAAATCATCCCTTCGTAAATTTTACGGACGCCATCACGAGTTGGTTGACCGTTATGGAATATCCGTTTCTCAGATGATAGCGGATATGTTCCAAATGTCGTAACTACAATCCGTCCCCTTTTCCCCGAATGTGACCTACCGAATTAGACATATAACCGGGTTTGTACTAACATGAGCAACACGACGGGTGACACATGTGGAGCAGGATCTGCTTACCCTTCCGGAGCACATGAGATCACCCCCAGTTTTTGGTGGGGTTCGTGTTGCTTAGTCTTTAGTTTTCTATTTTGTGTTTTGTGTACTATTGTTTGTTTGTTTGTATTTTTCTTTTTTAGCCATGGCGTTGTCAATATAAAAATAAGGAGATGTGGTATGATTGCCAACGAGACAATTATCCACCAAAGTTCAAATAAAAAGAATGTAAGCAATTATAGACAACCGTACTACCTTCAACAATATACAGTATAGTCGGCAATAAAAGGCCCCGACATGAAAAATATGAAACAATTCAATTGAGAAAACTAACGGCCTAATTTATAACAAAACAATTTACGCCAACCAACGACAACCACTGAACTACAGGCTCCTGACTGGGGACAGGCATATAAAGAATGTGGCGGGGTTAAATATGTTTGTGAGCGCTCAACCCTCCCCCTAACCTTGGACAGTGGTGTAAGAGCACAAAATAAGAACAAACTATAAAAAATCAGTCGAAAAAGGCTTAACTCATCACATCGATACAAAGAAAAACATCAGACAAAAACACAGACAGGACGTGGCAGGGTATATATCCATCCTTCATCTCTAACAACAAAAAAGACATTAAGTACAGATCTGAGAGTACTCGCAGTTACTGACAGCTAGTACAAAGCCAATAACAGCTAATAAAAAAAATCAGGTCTCTAAGACTAAAATATCAATCAGTGCACATCCAACATCCAATGAAATTAGTTAAAGATGTCATTAACAGTCAGAGAAAGACATGACCTTGTGCAATGCCAAAATATAGGTATCGACATATTGTAGTACCGTGAAAGTACATATGTGTAGTATTTAGTATGGTTTTAATTTACTGATAACAAAATCATTATTTATTCCAATAAAAACAATATTTAAAGATTTAACTACAGTGTGGAATAGGTAAGCTTTTAGAATAAGTTTATTTCAAGGATTTATAAGTTTACCCGGATCGTATCTAAATTTCCGGGCACGGTTAACAACATCACCGTAAAATTTAGGATGCGCTATTCCGTTTGAAATAAGTTTTCTACAGGTACAGCCAAACTTGCAAACCAAATCTATGTTGTATTTATGGAAGAATTTAGTAAAGGTTTTAAGTAATTTGTGGTTGCGAAATTCCTGATTTAATAATTTACCAGTAATACATAGATTACGCTCATTGAAATCCAAAACGTCACAGACATGGGCATAACGAACGAGTTGAGATATATAAACACCGTAAGGTGGTGCCAGAGGAACATCACCGTCCAAAAAAGGGAAAATTAACAATAGGGAAAGGAAAATCATCCGTTTTATCGTAAACTTTTGTGTATAGTTTCTGGTGTAAAACTGAAATGTCTAAATCTAGGAAAGGACACTTATTGATGTTAATATTTGATTTATTTAAGGTAAGTTCCTGTGTAAATTTCGGCCGTATATTTAGAGAATTTTTCATTATTTTGTTGAATTTATCAATCAAATGGAATTTAGACTAGACTTTACTGAGTTTGGCCATAAACTGTGATTCATAACAGTACAGGAACAAGTCTGCTATTAAAGGGGCACAATTGGTACCCATAGGAATACCAGCAATCTGTTGATAAACTTTATTGTCGAACCGTACATAAATGTTGTGAGGGAGAAAATTTATGGCTTTAATTATCTCATCACACCTCCAGTTAGTATATTTAGCATATTTACCTTTCTCGTTTAAGAAAAAGGCTTTATAAGAGCTGCAGCAAATAAATTTGCAATCAGATTTATCGGTCGACAATTTAATTAAATAGGAAAACTTTTGTTTGATAAGATTGTGTGGGAGTGTAGTGTAAAGAGTGGAAAAGTCAAAACTGTCAACCAAATCAAAAGGACCATCAAAAGCACGTAATCTATTTAAAACATCAAAAGAATTTTTTAACTCCAAAAATGGTTAATTCCACTATTTTAATATGTTTTATTACAAAAATTAATGATCAGTTTTTTTTATAGTAGCTAAGAAACACGTTAAAGGCACTGAAAGTCTAGTAGTAGAAGACTTACTAGAGGCCGAGATGAAACGATATTTTACGGGTTTTTTGTATAGTTTAGGTAACCAATACATAGTGGGGACCGTCAAATGTTCAGAAGAGCTGTGGTTGTGACATGATTATTTCAGTTTATTTTCGACTTTTGATTTGAACGTCCCTTTGGTATCTTTCGCCTCTCTTATTAAAGTGAAAATAAAAGTAAACTTAATTTTTATAGTTTGTTCTTATGTTGTGTTGTTACACCACTGTTCTAGGTTAAGGGTGGGATGAGCGCTCACAAACATGTTTAACCCCGCCGTACTATGTAGTGCCTTTCCCAAATCATGAGCCTGTAGTTCAGTGGTTGTCGTTGGTTCATGTCTGTCAATTGCTTACATACACTTATTTGAACTTTGGTGGATAGTTGTATCATTGAAAATCATACCTCATCTCCTTATTTTTATATTAACTACGAGAGAAAAAAAAGCAGCTACAAAATCAAATAATAGAAAGCTTACATTACAGAACCACAGTTACAAAATAATGACTACATATGTGAAGTTCGTAAACTACTTGCAGATAGAAGAAAAACAAAAACATAACAAAAATACCAAACTCCATGTAAATTCAAAAAGGGGAAGTCCATAAAAACTAACAAAGTCAAATGCCATCAACCAACGGAACGAGTGAAAACAACTGTCACATTCTTGACTTGGTACAGGCATTCTCCAAAGAAAATGGCGGGTTAAACCTGATTTTATAGCTTGAGTTACAGTTGTTTATAGTTCCGCTATATTGACAATAATTGGGATCCAGCAGCCAAAACTGTGGAAACATACATCACAGATATACAACACAACAAACTAGAGGCTATAAAGAGATATAGGAAGATGTGGTATGAGTGCCAATGAGACAACTCTCCATCCAAGTTACAATTTATAAAAGTAAACCATTATAGGTCAAGGTACGGCCTTCAACACGGAGCATTGGCTCACACCGCACAGCAAGCTATAAAGGGCCCCAAAAAATTACTAGTGTAAAACAATTCAAACGGAAAAACCAACGGTCTAATCTATATAAAAACGAGAAACGAGAAACACGTATGAACTACATAAACAGACGACAACTACTGTAATCAGATTCCTGACTTGGATAGGTGCAAACATTTGCAGCGGGATTAAACGTTTTAAAAGAGAATGTTTTACTCACTTGCATGTATATGCATTTTAAACAATGGCTACTCTCAAACGTTAAAGACTAGAATAAAACTCTTTTTTGTTGATTTGTATTACGGGTCATGTCATGTTTTCTGTTTCCATTTTCTCTCTATCTACTATAGTTTTTGCCTAAAATACAAAAAAAAATGGATAAAATCGTCATTCAAGGTTGATAACTTTTATAAGAAGTGTAATTTTAGCTTTGTTGACACATTTGTAGATCATGTCTTGCTCATTATTTTTGCTGTTTACAGTTTTTCTATATCGATTATAGTTTTTGCATAATATGCAAAAGATAGGGTAAAATCCTCATTGATTGACAATAACGTCTTTAAGGATATACATGTTGAATTTGCATATCTTGTCTTGCTGGTCACTTTGGATGTTAACAATTTTTCTATATCTACTATAATTTTGGCCAAATATGCAAAAAATAGGTAAAAATCACAACGATTTCGGTCATGTTGACAAATTTGTAGATCTTGTCCTGCTGATCATTTTTTTTCTATTTTAAGTTCTCTTTATCAAATTCTCAAGATAATAAGCAAAAGCGCAAAACAATTGGCAGAAATCCTCATTTAGGGGCAATAACTCTAATAAGGAGTCGACTCACTATTTAAGTCATATTTGACTGATTTGCAGATCTTGTCTTGTTGATCATTGTTGATATTTGAAGCTTTAGATCAAGTATAGAATGCGTACGTGTAGTTCCATCGGCAGTATACAACTTAGAGTTTTGAGTAAATCGGTTTTTATTAGATTAAAGTTAGACAGGTTGTCTGGTATAGACAAGTTAACAGGTCGACAAGTTGATAGGTTAATAGGCAAGATCATTGGGACATATTATGTAAACAAGATAGCCAAGTTTGATTCTTATTAGTCTAGTAGTTATAGAGAAGATTTTTGTAAAAGTTGACAGACGTGGTTAAACGACGATGGACGCAAAGTGATGAAAATAATACACTTGACTCTTTGGGTCTGGTGAGCTTAAAATAACTCGACAAATTCGAAAACTTTTAAGAGACGTATAATCATCATCATCATCAGACGACGACGATATTTAAAATATAGATAAAGTATATAAATAACAATCTGATGTAAACCAAATCTCTCACTGTTCCGTTATATTTTTATTATGTCCTCCATGGCGAGACATCCAAAAAACAACCGAGCAGAAATGTGAGTGATCCGGTTTTAATCAGATTTTTATAGGATAATGCTTGGCTTGAGATATCATACTAAACGATTTTAAAATACTTCACTGTATAAACACATCTCGATCAATCAATGTTCGCCTAAGCCACAAACAAATACAAAAAATGTTTGTATTATATACAAGGACAGTTCGTACTCATAAAATCTTTTCATCGTCAATATAGTGTTAAATCAAGTGAAAATTATTTGTTCAAAACATTGTAACTTTTTGCACAAATTTACGTTTTAAAATTTTATTTACATTTATTCAACTGCCCTGAAAAGCGTAATGTCGATGAAAATGAATCTTGCCCAGTAACGGATGCTTACTTGTTATCAGTATCATTTGTTGTTTTAATGTAAAATCAATCGTTACAGTTCAGATCAGTTCAATCCAGACAGAATGAGACGTGGATGTAAAAATGTGACCAAATTTCTTATAGGTCTAACTTTGCTCAGCATTATAATGTTTTTCAACTATCAATATTCAATATTGATAACTAAAGAAAATGCAAGTGTTCAATTTAGGCAACCAGAAACTCGTGGTAAACATGGTGTTGATATCGTTAATCCAAACAAGTTAGTATATAGTAAAGGAATTAGTCAAAGAAATAAGGATTTACATGTGTATGTAGTGGAAGAACACCATGCTGGTAAGTATATCTTTAAAGTTTTTCCTCTGTTGCCATTGGCAGATTGATTTCAAATTAAACACGAAATTGTTATGCATTCCACCCGAAATACATGTCCAAAGTTATTAAACATATATATCTTGATACCCGAGGTTGTCTGAATATTTTATTGTTTCTACATTTTATAGTGAGAATGTCGGGCTATCCATGACTATTAAATTCATTTGATTTCTTTGCCATATATGATTTATAATTGGTTGACATTACCCAGCCGCTCTGTTTTTCGATGCACATTGATTACACGTGATTGACATGTAAGAAACAATTCCTCTAAAACCGGTGTTGGGCCGTCTTGAACTTCCAATGAGGAAATCGTTTGTGTTCCATGTTGAAGGCCTAGCTGTGCTTTGAGATGAAGAACGGATTAAAAGCGCTATTTCTTTGCTTTTGTTTTTGTCTGGCCTGCGACATAAGATGCAGAATGTGAGAAAAAGGAATGCTAATCCGGCGTCGGCTGCGTTTGGTATTTGTAAAAATCCGTTTATTTTTCAGACGGAAGAAGGCATGGAGCTTCATACCTTGTATAAAGATACCTTATGTTAGAATGTTTTTGTCTGTCATAAATCTGTTGTCCATTGCCTAGTTTTATTGATGCAGCGACTGCTTAATTGCAAGGTCTACGTGTCTGTCATACATGATAAGCCTGACCTCGAGCTTGGTTCGTGGATCAGTGATCAAGGTTAAGTTTCGTCATTAGTAGAAATAAGGGACATGGGGTATCCATCCATGACACAATAGGTTTGTTTCAATATACTTGGTGTATGGAATGATTGAAAGGTGCACATGTCCATGAAAATGCTAACAATAATATTTCTAACAGGAATGAATCATATATCTCAGTTCGGAAGACAGAACTTTTAAATTTCCTGTCTTACAACTAAGTATGTTTCCGCTCGCTTAATTATACACACATGATAATAAACACATGGATACATAAGTTTATATTATCAACAACATTTTACATATGATTTTATGAACACGGTTTTAATTAGTCACAGACTACCTTAAACTTTTCAAAGTCAACCAAATCTTAATTAAAACCATCTATCTATTGCACTGGTTATAATGGTATTCAAAATTTGTTTTCAGTATTGAAATACTGGTTTGATGCTGTCGATAAAGGAATGATACCCAGAGAGGGCAACATATTGGTAAGTTCCATCAAACAGATATTTTACCCAAAAAATTTGAAATAGTTTTCCAAAGGAATTTTTTTATTTATTTATCCTGTTCTGATATCAAACAAATGTCAAAATATGCATTTTTTGAAATGTGTAGTTTTTGATGTTCTGGTACTTGAATACGCTTTATTCCGCATACGAGTAAAATGAATATTCATGCTAGCAAGTGATTTTCTGGCGCAAAACAAATAGTAATAAATTGGCATGCGCACTGATACATTCTGGCATTTGCGTTTACACATACATTTTTGCTAGACCTTATTCTGATGTAAGTTGAATAGTTTGACTTTGGATTCAGATTCATATATACGCATTGTGACATTGCCGACTTATCACCGAGTTTGTTCTCACATGAGAAACACAACAGGTGTTACATGTAGAGCAGGATCTGTTTACCCTTCATGGGCTCCTGATATTACCACCGTTGTTAGGTTGGGTTCGTGTTGCTCAGTCTATTGTATATTTGTATAGTGTCTTTTGGTCGTTTTTCGCTTTTTTGTTATGGCGTTGTCAGTTTTTCATCGACTTATGAGTTTGAATATCCCTTTGGTATCTTTCGTTAATCTGGAACATGTGTGAACGCAGACCGGTATTCAACCGGTTGTCAAACCGTATATTAAATCCCATTTTGTTGTGTCGTTTGAATACACTGTTGCTTATTCCCTCCAAATGGCAATAAAAATATACAAACAAAATCAAATAAAATCAAACAGCACAGCTACTTATTATCATATTTTTTTTATTAGGTACATATTGACGGTCATTCAGATCTAGCTATGCCTTTCAATACAGCATTCTTTCCGACCTTCCGTAAACCCAGGACACTGCGTGATTTAGAGGCTATGATGCAAAGTAACGATGTTTTTATAATGGTAAGTTGTATAAATTTTTATGTAAAGCGTAAGCTATGATTATGCTTTTTATATCGGATAAGGCAATCTAATTAAAATATAGAACTCGGATTTCGTTATATGTAGTATAACGAAATCCGAGTTCTATATTTTAATTAGATTGGGGATAAGGAAAAGCTTTACACATATGATGTTAACGAAAGAACAGCAATTACTGATAAATCAAAGTGAGACCTTAACAGTCCACAGAAATCTGGCCTCTGTGCTTCGTTTTTATAACATAAATATCTAAATGACATAACGGAAACGGTACATATATTCAAGAAATTTGCTCAAAAGCTGCAATTCCATGAATTGTAGGTCATCCAAAAGGAAACGAACATGATCTGTAATTTACAATTATACCCTTCACTTTGACGAATCTGAGACTCTAGGGAATATTTAGACCAAAGAGGTAGGGCTAATACCCCCTGATCTTATTTCGTACCAAGGGCATTTTCAAACTGAAGGTCTTTTATTCCTGGCTCCAATTCATAGCACCGCAGTCCAGAGTGTGTATTTATAGGTTCTTAAAATATAATGGCGTATTTTTAAACCGATTACCCTGAAGATAGCTGAATACCGCACTTATGAAAGATTTTTTCAATTTTAAGTATTTTGACAAAAAATGCATAAGAAAGATAGTGTTAACCAAAATCAAAATTATGTTGGAAGTAAAGCTACGTATTGTCCTTAGGATGCACATTTATTTATTATGGTTAGCAAATTCATTCGGAGAAAATTTGACAAAAACATGCAAGGATTTCAATTTTTATAAAAATGTCCTCAACAGCAACAACAAGTAAGTTCAAGAAGCACTGAATAGCATATTGATTTAATGGAAATATGTAAAATTGTGAAAAAATATTTAAAGAATATGATATAGATTCTTTAATATTCACTTTCTAGTAGAGTTGACAACTTTAAAATGTTGATCCTGTGAGTAAACCAAATACAAGGGAAATTCGTTTTCATTTATTTCACATATATATTTCAAGTATGCAAGATATAAGCCAAAAATAAAATAAAAAATGGCAGTATCTCTTATGAGGAGTCAATTGATGATTTTGGTCATGTTTGACCTTTGCAGACCTTGTCTTTCTAGTCATTTTTAATGCTTCTCTGACAAGATAATAGCTAAATTTGGGAAAATGATTTATCTTCAACAGGAACAATTAATCCCAAAAATTTGGAAGCCAAGGATGTATAAATACTTGAGTACTTGAAGAGCTATATGACCAAAAGGAAACTAAATAGAATAGCCAAATTCATCTAAGGTCAACAGATTTTTTGTTCGTTATGTTAAAAAAGGGCGTATTTAACCTAATGTGTATTCAGTATGAATACAAGTATGTTACTGAATTTTTAGGTAGAAACATAATTCAAACCCCATCTCGATTAACACTCATATTAATTTGGGAAAACGCTTTTCTGAAGATATGTTTTAAACAGATTAAATTAATAACTCTTAAAAAAAGATAAAAATAGAATGCAACCATTTTGTTTTGAAAACGTTAAATAGCCAATAATAAACAAGTGCATAAAAAATCCGTTCTAATAGCACAAATATCAACCATAACATATAAAATATGAAAAAAGGGGGAAAAAAGAGAATGAAAATATGGAAAACAGAAAATCGAACTTAATGCTTCAAATCTTTACTCCCAAGGTTAACTCTTTAATTTGTCTGAAACTGGCGGCTACCATTTTACAGTATTTGAATATCGCTTTCAACTGTTTCTGTTCTTATGCATCCTTGGCTTTCAAAATATTCGGCTTTGAGCGCTCCTGATGACGGTAAATCAAGAAAAGCGCTTCGGACGCATAAAATTTATATAGTGTTGATCAAATGATCAAAAGCTATTTATGAAGTAGGCATGTCGGAAGTCCCTGCTTTCCACTGATTTTACCGTTGGAAAATGAAACTTATCGTATTTTATAAGTTTTGCTAAAAGTATTTTTATATACATCTTTGTAACTAATTGTCTAGTCTTCCGTGTGCATTAAAAAAAAATTGCATGCAATTTTTGCATTCATTTGCTAGAATACGAAACACTTGACTTTAACGACGTTTGTCGCTAGGAGTTTGAATTTCGTTTACGGAACGGCAAAAATTGGAAATGGAAAAATCAAATATTTAAATTGTTGGGCTTTGAAAATTATAATTTTGTGTGACTGTATGACAGAAAAAAATTGTCATCCTTTACGATTTTTGAAACATGAACCGGACAGATATACAACTCCATATACATTGTACACCATGCTAAACTTAGATTATGCCGATGTGGAAAGGCATCACCTGCTTAATGTTATTATATTCCGTTCAACCTACATCAGTACATGCAGTTGGTCGAGTGGCCTAAGGCTCTGGGTAATGAACAGGCCATGTCTCAACAGCTTGAGATCGAATCCATAGAATTTGATAACTAACTATTTGATATCTGACTGTGGTGAAAACTATTCATATTTGCAACAAAACAGTTTCAGCCGTTGAATTAGCGTAAATTCGATAAGGACATCATAAATAAAATATTACCAAGATCATTCATTCAAATTTTCGCAAATTATAAACTTGCCCGAAGTGCACAATACGATTTTAAAACTATTATACATATTGTTTGTTACGTCTGAAACTTTAATGTTTCTTTTTTATTCTGTCAAACCTTTGCAATTACAATGGTGTTTACTATTGATAAAAAGTGAGATACAGTCTCATAGATTTTAAGAAACATTAATACTTGCTGAGTTTATATATAATGATTATATAGCTGAAATATAATTATTTTGTAAAGGCTGCCCATAATTGTTGTATGCATGATTTCTCAGCATTTTGACACAATAACGTGCGTAACGTAATTGAAGAAAAACATTATCAGGTGGTTCTCATGTAGGTGACAGGTAAAGTCATCTGAATCAAGGTGATTCAACTGGCCAATAATGATTTCAATAACTATAACTAATGTGAATTTAGCTTTAGGTTATATTCAATTTGAATTGAGCAGTTGCAAACAAATAGTAAACCTCTGTATAAGTTTGGATGTGAAACCGTTTTAAATTTGTCTATATCGTCTCATTTTTTTTCTGTATATCCAAAGGGTGCCGCAATGTCTGGCCTTTTTAAGAAGATTGTATGGATTTGGCCTCAATGGGATAAATCTAACCATGAAGAAGATGAAGCTAGTACTGATTTTAAAGTAGGTTTAACGACGCTTGAATTTGACGATTTGGAAGAATACGGGAGAACGTTTTGCATGTGTTTTACCAACTTTACGACATCAAAGAACATGTGCGTTTATACGCCAGTGAATGGTGATCGAGCAAATATGGTTCAACTTCCCATTACTTCATGTGATATTCATATAGAATTTGAAGTCATTCTTTTAGAAGAAAGAGTAGCAGCCGATTCGCTTACAGACAACTTAGGAAATGAAAATATTGTGCTTGACATTGACGAAGACTTTTACGGATGCATCCTCCCTGCTCAAACTCTTGTTGACATTGGAATCACATTGTCAGAAACGGAGAAACTCAATGAAATTTTAGATAGCATAGTTTGCCCTAAAACTTCAGATCATGACATGAAAGCCGATAAAATATTATTTGATGTTTTAGAGATTTTGAAATTTGAGGAAGCTTGTAAACAATTTGCAAAGTATTCTTTGTGTAAAGGAGTTGCTCGTCGCCAAACGGCAGTGGACTATTTAAAACATCAGATCCAAACGTTAAAGCTAGATTGTCCGCAAAGCGGAAACAAATCATTAATTCTAATTAGAAAGTTCATAAGTAAGATGTCACTTTTTACGAATGCTCAGTTATCAGAATTGCAAAATATTGGTTTTTGTTTGTCAACAATGATGCCTTCCAAGACTACATTTTGGGAGTCAACATTCGGAATTTGTCATGGCAACAATGTTCCTGGTTCTACTGCAGTATTTAATCATCCCACCAATTCAACCGAAATTAGTTATCGGACAGAAATTTTAAAAGAAATTTTAAAAAGATTAAAACCGTCAAAATTACCAATTACGACAATTTGTCGATCAGTTAGAGATGGATATACCCCTAGACACCTTTTCCATCAAATAGAAAATGACGTCGTTAATTCCTTAAATGTTTTAGATCGAAATAAATTACTTTATTACGATCCTTGGTTACTAGGAGGGAGACAAGGTTGGTACGGAAGGCATGAAAAAACATTCAATAAATCTTAGATTTTTATTGAAAAATAACGAGGAACAAATTTGCATGTCCGGCGTAAAATGTTATATGGAAAGTATAATGATGTTAATGAATCATCAACAAACAGTAACACTGGATTTTGATTTTCCTACAGTGCTAGAATATTTTACTAATAATCTTTACAAACCACATAACTAAAGGTAGTGATCTCAACCAGTATGAACAGGGCCAATAAACATTAAAATAGGAAAGGCGTAGAATAAAAAAGAAAACAAAACAAACCTATAACCTGCCAACCCAGAGGCTGAGCACAAGAATTCATCCCCACTATTGGTCGAATTCTTGTTACCCAACATTTAGTTTTCTAGTTAGTGTTTTGTGCACATCGTGTTGCTTGTCTTTTCGTCTATTTTGATATTTTTGCCAGGGCGTTGTCCGTCATTAGGAAAAATAACAAGGAAAATGCATTATACCTTTTATTACTAAGAAAACACTAAATATACATAATAAATAGTAACAATAATAAATAATAAATATCAAATCTAAATAAATAATGGTAAAAATAATTAAAGTAAACAAATATTTACATCAATATAAAAAAATTGTGCCCTTCATAGAAAATTTCTTCTGATGTGAGGTAATAATGAACACTTAATGCATTTATAATATACATAATTATTCATAAATTTGAATTTTTCACTTAATCTACAATTTGTTAATTTAAGGTATATGAACACAAGTATACTTATAACTGAATGTGTGCTACAACTTACTATAATCGTAACTGTGAAGGATGTCATCAGTTGTTGAGTAAATACTCTTCAACTCTTTTTTGATTACTCGCACCGCGCATTTACAGGTTCTATAAACTTAATTGAATTTAAAAAAAGTGTTTTATATATATATTTATTTTAACACAATGCTTTGCAGTAACCTTCTTTGTTTAAAATCATGGATAAAGAGTTATTAATCAAAGTACTGAAGTACTGAACATCGGATGACCACAAGTTCTTGAGGATGGTCAAAAGCACTTGTCTCAGAAAAAAACAACATATCTCTTTACCTGAAACTGAGGTTAATGTACAGAGATATATTTTTTTCTGAGACAAGTTCGTGCGAGGATGATGAATAAATGACAGGAAATTCAACTTCACCGTAATAACTATTATATTGTAGTGATACAAATCAGTATACACTGATTTGTTGTTTATATTATATTAAAATAACAGTTACATATATATGATTTGAATCCATTTGTATATCATTCTATTCTACTATTCTAAAAATAGTGCAATGCAAGTGCATGGTGGACACTTTTCTGTAAAAATTCGATTTTTCTAAGATTGGATACGAGTAGGCATTCATATTTTCCCGCAAAAACAATTACAGAGTTACCGGTCCTTGACGGTATTTTCACAAAACGTTCTTTGAGATATTCTTCCGCATGCTTTAACACAATTTTTCGGTACGTGTGCATTGATATTATCAATGATTTTTTACTTATATATATATATCTAACTACAAAACATTTTCATATTATTAATTTATGTTGTTAACAAAAATATTTTTATCGGTATTCATTGAAGAGATGTATTTATATCAAACGATAAGGAATGTTATTTTGCACTCGTTTATGTGCGCATATTTATCATGTTTATAGATCGGTTACAAACCCAAAACTAATTTACATAATGGAAATCTAGGCGATAGCAATACATCGCAAATGACCTCAAGGTCATCGCGATGTAAAAAGCACATATTGCCAATACCAAAGACATATAGTACTAGTATTATGTATCTGTACTATATGTCTCTGTACTATATGTCTCTGGCAATACCAATTATACACATTTTCTCCATTTGACAGATCAGTTGTAATAATTTTTTTTTTATTTTGAGAGTGATTTCTAGCGACAACAGTGGAACGACATTAATTTTCTTCATTTTTTTCGTTTCGAATTGTAAAATGAAGATAATTTCTTATTGACAACTTTCATTGACAAGAAATTCAGTGTCCTGAATGACTGGTCAGGGTTCTTCTGTATCGTTCAAATGTTTACCAAGACTATGAAAAGAATCTGTGTCGCTGAATGGTTCTTCGTCGTCGTCCGCAAATTTTATTTGATCCATTATTCTATGATCAAAGTGCATCCCCTTTCTTTTGTCGCTGCTTTTAGAATGTGGTCGTGCTGGTTCTTCTTCCAGTTTTCCATCGACAGATAGTATTGGATTGGCTGACAGTTGATCTTGTAATTCTCTCAGAAATAGATCGGCGGGTAACCCTGCTAAAATGAAATATAAAATATCATTAATTTGACCTAAAATTTAATTTCCCCTTTCCTAGGGACCTAATGATTATGATTAAACTTAAATATTGTTCAATTCTTGAAAGACTGTTATGTTGCACGGGGAAACTAGATGTTTATGTTGATGTCTTAAGAGGTAATTTTTCGTTCTACTTGTCTATCCTATTGTATAGTGTATTTTCTGATTGATTGTTGGCTACATAAACTCTCGTATTGTACAGTCAGCTGCTGATATTAATAAGGACAGTAAAATAGAAGTGATTGTAGATTGATTGATTGATTGATTGATTGATTGTTGCTTGCTTAACGTTCAGTGGCAAGGGGATTGTAGACGTAATGAGAGTAATGAATTTGTCATATATTGCGCATATGGATCAGTTCATTCTGTGTTCGTGAAACCAGTAGAGTATTTGTCAGAGATGAAGGAGTTAAAAGTCTCCATACTCTCTATTTTTTTTTTCATCTGCAAAGATTTCCAAATGATCTTATAAAAAAAATCAGGAAAAATCGGTATCTAGTACTGTCTAGTACTATCTAGTACCTTAATTGTTATTTTCTAAACCTAGTCTTTCTTTTGTAAAATATTACTAACAGATCTTCATTTGGTTACATATTGCAGACCATAATTGTATTATAATTATTAATGAGTATTGTTTTGTATGACGCCCGGTCCGACAGAACGGGAACATCAACTCTTTAGTCTTGCGATTGAAATTTCTTATTTAAATCTTTGCATATTTTCAGATTAATTATTCAACTTAATGTGAAAAATGACAATACTAAACAATAAGGATTGATACACCGGTTATCTTTTTTATTCAGTATAAATGTATATTTGCATCAGTTCCTTTGACGCTAATACTACAACAGCTTGTTCGAATCAATATATCATGCTGTGTAATATTAGAGAATATATTTGATACCACTATATCATGAAAGGTAAGTTGAAGTTTTTCCGAAGTGTAATCAACACTTCTATTATTACATTGACTGTATAAATAAAATGATCACATGAGCCTGACTCGTACACCTGACAAATTTACCACCTAATTGTTCAAGAGAAGATCATAATTTCTGACATATTTAACTACAGATGATTTTAACTTTTTGCCTTGTACTATTGTTTTTAATTGGTGAGTCAGAATTGTATGTTTGCTTCTGATGGAAATGTTTACCAAATGAGGATCGTTTTTAGAAGATAATATATATTTCATTTCTGAAAATTTTTGTTAAATTGCTTAAAATATTTTCCGGTTTTCGATAGCATTTTCTATACGACTTCGATAGGGATAAAGAGGGGTTGTAATATTTGTGAGCTAGTTTAAAGGCCCACCAACTTATACCCTGCTAAGTGCTAGGAATGTCTGTGTGTACACTCTTTATACCGGAATATGTTTCGGTTACAGATGTGGATGGTATTGCCGTAACAAGAACCTTTATTGCCGTCTACTTAAGAAAAATGATTTTGAATATAAAAATGTATATTACCAGAGATGTAGTCTCCGCGCATTGCAGCATCTACGGCAGCATAAATATGATCCCCGAGTATTTGTCTGTGAACGTGCTGAAAGGAAGGAAACATTATGAATTATATTATAGTATTTTAATAATGGTCGTTTTAATAATGGCCCTGTTATATGTCTACGGTCTATAATTATGACCTGAGAATGTTTGTAATGGCAACTCAGTGTGACATTTCAGCCTACAAGACCATTGTTACTATCCGAATACATAAAAAATTACTTACTACAGTTATTAACCAACTGAGAAAAAAATATTGCTAAAATGCCCAGGTTGAACTAGAATACTTGTTTAAGTGGATGAAAACTTTTTTGCACAATTTTTTTCCAAGTTACTTTTATTCAAAAGTGTCTTTGTTGTATATCAATCGATGTTGTTGATATTCTTCTTTTTGTTTCTTTAGACATGCTGTTTATATTTACGGCGTATTCTAAAGAACAGCCAGTAGAAAAATAAACTAACTAGGTACGTGAGGAGTTTATTACAATGGAAATTCTGTTTTCATTTTAGTTTTATTTTCATTATTACTATTTTCCAGAACGTTTTATCTTGAACTTATAATCAGTAATGTCCGCGCGGAGAACGTGCAAAAAATGAATAGTTCCACGTGCAATTCTCAGTGTTTGCACGGCAGGAAATGTATTGCCACGACATTCTCCACTCAGGATGCTACAATAACCACATAACCAAAAACATATTCATAATTCATTGTTATGTATATATATGGCCGGAAAAATAGCATAATAGCAGAGTTCTTTTTTAGTCGTTTCACATTCTGTCATCTTTGAACCTTTGATAGCTTACTATGGGCTGGGTTTTGCTCAAACATGAAGACCGTACTATAACCAGTAGTTGTTCACGTACGTATCCTTTGATCTTCAGTATTTAGTTGATTCTTTGGCAATCATACCACATCTACTTATTTTCTATAAAGTGTTATGATAACAATTCAAAAAATGACTTCTTTTTTCCATTTTTGGATGTTAGTGAGAAGTCATAAAAATCGCTTTATCACACAGCAGATAGACACATGATCATTGTTAAAGGTTATCCAGCTGTAACAGATATGAAACATATTTTTTGTTGTATATGTATATAATACTACGTCAGTACCTTTTCCTTGGACCATTTCAACAAATTGACAATAGAAATAAGTTGATCTTCCATTGACAACAGCCGGCTACATTCTATTTCAACAGCCTCTAACTGGAACTGGGTACTAGACATGTGTTTTCTACACGACGAAAGGTCACTGCGGAGTCGTTCAATTTCCTTTAAAAGATAATGAAAAAATGAAGCATAGAAGTATATGGAACACATATATGATCCATCATATCATATGGAGTCTTATCTAAAATGAACATGTTTACTTTTATAAATTGTGACTTGGATGGAGAGTTGTCTCATTGACACTCATACCACATCTTCTTATATCTATGTGCTTTTCAGCAAACAAGAATAAAGCTGCAGTTTAATATATATATATGTTAAAATAAACATTTGTTTTAATAGAATAAAATTTTAATCTGTCTATATTTTATGTACACTTGAAAATGAATGAAAATAATTATTATTGTTATTTTCAAGTGTTAAACAAACTCATGGTATGAAAATATAAGTTTTCCCTTTTTTTCCTAGCCTATACATACCTGAGATTGTTCCGAATTAACTAATGATAGAGAATTTACATCTGCCTGTAACCTCATTAGCAGCTGTCGATCAGCCATTGGTGTTGGTGACATTGTGCCATTTGAATCCTCTCTACTTTGTCCGCATTCTTGGTAGTCATTTGATTTGTTTTCTTGGTCTTGGTTTTTATTGTACGTAGAAGTATGCAATGAGTTTTCACCATCACCTATTATACCAAAAGAATTGTGGGCTTGGTAATGTTGATACATCTTAGAGAACAATTTAAACATTCATACATCATATTTCATTTGCCGTGTGGTATACCTAAACTGTTATCTTGAAACTCTTTGACATTTAAAAAGTGAAAGACTGGTAAGAAAACAAAAAATTAAAACTAAATAATGAGAGTACAATATGAATAATATGACTAACTGAGCGTCTGTCGTGGTTTCGACCCCCGATAGGTCCAAAAGAAAGACTTTCATATTGATCGCTTTTATACTTCATTCATGAGCACGCCGCATCTAAGAAATAAGAGAAAAGCATGGTCGACCTGGAGTCTAAATACTGTTTCCTGGCAGGGCTATACATGTCTTCATGCAGACATTTACCGTGTGAGCTATAACTTTGGCAATCAGATACAGCATGTCCTTATAGTATAATGAACATGCAAATAATAGTTGCCACTGGACATTAATCGCCAATCAATTAATCGATATATTAAGATATTGATTTAATACTGAAATAATACTTGCCATCGTAACCGTTGACAGAAGTTGATATAGATGAGGCATCTGACATCCAAGTGTTTATACCCGATGACAGACTATCAGCAACAGCTTGGAAGGTTTCCACTCTAAATGTAAATGAGAGAAAAATATTTATCTTTAGGAAACTTGAAACCATTGTTCTATTGTTACAAAATAAGATATTTTCTGAATATCACATACAATTATACCCTGCAGTTATAAATTTCACAAAAAAACAACGGTTTAACAAAAAGATTTGACAAAAATATACACTTTTTATATATTTATAATTTGAATAATATAGAAGAAAAAGAAATAGCTACCGAAGCATTATAGACATACATGTTATGTAAAAGTATGCTGTCAACAGTGGGAAGAGTTGACTGGGGTATAGAAATATGGACATATATGAGGGATATCCATTTGATTTTGTGTGATACATAAATGTATTAAATACTCAGCCACGTGCAGTCTTAATGAATACGTTAAGTCCGATGTCTCGTTATAGTAAGAGAAACACACGCCCCTGAACTCTTGTAACAACTCTATGAGGTCTATCAGGGATCTGTTGGTAGTTTCTCGGAAGGCAAAATTTCTGCCCCTATCCGTTATACTTTTTTTTAGTGACAGTCCAAATGTCCAGCCCTTCTAAACGGCGACCCAATTTGCAAAACCTATCTTTGGATCATTGTAAATTTGTTCTCGTCCTAAAAACGTACGAAATATTCGCCACTGGACATTAATCAAGCAATAATCAATCAATCAATAACTTTCAGTGCACATGGCATGTGTCTCTGTATTCGTTGCCATCAGGTTGTGCTTAATAAAAAAAATTGTGTTTGAAATATCGTGGACCTTAGAGCATTGTGTATTTTCTCTTAATGTTACAGGCTAAAGACAAGTATTAAACTATTTAGAAATTACACCAACAGATTACAAGTTTCGATAAGAATGACATGTAAATTTTTCTACAGTTACATATTTTTTGTTGAAAGTCAAGTTCAAATTCATTCTTGAAAAGTCTCCCCTTATAGAAAATTAATGATTTTGATTGTTCTTGGTTGTGTTGTTCTAATTATTGCAGCTAGTTTTATTTTCAAACGTTTGGCTCAAAAATTTCTGCATGAAAACTAATCTAGAAATGCATTCAAACTGAGAAATTGTGATTCTGATATTATATCCCTTTTGGCAAACGAAATATTCGTAATAATTAAGTATTATAAAGACGAGTAAAATTTCAATGGATTAGTTGTGACCACAATTGTTGATTGTTTACAAAACTAAAAAGAAGGGATCAGACTAAACGTAGTACCAGACTGAGTATAAATATATGAATTTCTTTAGAAGCTAGCGTAAAATGCATTATATGAGGTACACAATATCCTCAGAACTTTACCCATGAAATGATACTAACAGTTAGTAAACAAGATAAAAATATGAATCACCACGGAGTATCTTACCATGCAACACGTGGAGATGGTATCATATTTATGTTTTAGCATGATCAAAAGCGCAATCTATCTTCTGGAATTCTTATCTTTTAATCACTTGGGATCATCGCTAATGAAATGATTCAACTTAATAACTTGGTCTGGATGTAAAAATAGATTCCAATCAGAGAGTATACTTCTACGTAATAACATTTCAGATTTATTCATTTTGAGAATAAGATCATTTAACTTCAATATAGAAGACAAATGTTTTGCGATGAATTAATCACAACTGTTGATTTTATATCGAAAATGTTTGTTTCATTGATTGATTAGTATTTTCTTAACGTTCAGTAGCAAATGTTTTATGTAGGACAATAAGTTAAATAAATCAACGATGTAAAGCGGGTCAACAGGTGGGACTGGGGGGTCGAAAATTTGGACTACCACTCGTAAAAGAGAACTTTCAGTAAAAGGAAAGAACTTTGCCATGCTATATGCCAACTACGCAAAAGAGTTATTGTAAGAGTTTTTAACATTCATGACACTCTTCAAGCACGAAGCATAAGATTCAAACTCATCATCCGATCGTGACTATATATACGTACTTATACATCCCTCACAGCCAAACGGACCATATTACTACACCCCAAATTTCCATCTGATTAGTTCATTTACTCTTCATTTTTATAACATATATCTTACTTTCTTGGGTACGACTATAAATGAAAGTATGAAAAAAATCTGTAGATTAATATTTCTTAATTCAAAATTTATTACAAACAGTCGTAGATTACATGATACCAACAACTAAAAGTAACATCAGTCATAAAGCGAGTTAGTAATAAAATATGACCTTTATTCGTGCTCAGCTAAAAAAAACGTTTGAAAGAAATGCTGTCTTACCTGTGTATAGATTCATCATCCGAGTTGTTTGCTGACGATAATCGACCGATACATTCTAAATCTTTAACTTTTGTCAAACATCTCTTCAAATTTTCACGTATTCGTTCGTAAACTTTTAGCATCTCATCATATTTCTTTTCTAAGATGGCATTCTTTTCTTCCAAACTGCACATTTCTCTATCATTATCCAACAAATCATTTTGCAGTTTACTGTTAAAATGTAAGAGACTGCGAAGCTCCTTTTCTCGTACATCTCGAGCATATTTCAATTCCTGAGCTAAAATTTCCAATGGTGTCCCTTCGTGACTCTGGTTAAAATATGGTAAATCCCATGGACAAGAAACCCGCTTATTATACTCGGGTTGTCTCTTTTCTGATTCGAAACTTCCTGGTTGGTCCGAAATAGCAATTTCATTTCGTTTCGATTGCTTTTCTCGATAAAATGCCGAAATGACGTCTCGAGGTGGTCGTCGTTGTGATCGGTCAACAGTCGAGCGTCGGTGAATTCCTACATAAGACCTCCTTAATCCGTCTTCATTTTGTTCTTCTTCTGCAGTTTCGAAAGAAATATCTTCAATGATACCTTTAATATCCTCTGCCAGGAGCTGAAGCTCTAACGGATTTCGCTTTAATGGCGTTCGTCTATGTCTAGAAGTTCTTTGTGTTCTCTTGTTGTTTGGAGATCCAATCCTTAAAGTTTGCGGCCGTGGAGGTTTTTGATCCATTGCTTACTATTACAGGATATAGAAAATGCCTTTCATACCATTTTAAAAATTGCAGGGTGAATGAAACCATTTCAACATTACTCCCAATAATTAAGAGACGGAAATACACTTTGATGAATAACTAAGTTCGATGCGATGTTATCTAGTTGTATAAATATATAAGTCGCATCCTGTGGTTACAGAAATCATCTTTTTTATCTGCTTTTTTAAAGTCGAATCTATTATAAGGCACGTGCCAACAAGGTCGGAATAGAAAGATGTGAAATCTGATACAAAATGAGCGGAACCCCATACCGATACTTAGATAAGATATAGTCTATACTAATTAAGTAAGCAACAACTAATTCCTTCCTTAAATATATCAGAAAGCATGTTGCTGTGAAACAATTTTTCAAAATCATTTCAATTTTCCAATAGAATATTTTCGCAACTTGTAGTTTTTAAAAGAAATTATAATTGGATACAAGTGTGTATGTGTATATTCCGTTATATGTGGCTGGATAAAGAAAACATTTCGTAAAAAATGTTTGATTTTATTTAATAATTTACACCAAGATATCATAAAACGTAATTGGATAACTTGATTTTATCATGATTTACCATAAAATTAGATCAAATTGCTAAAAGACGTGCCCCCACTCACCCGCCCCCTAAATTTGATATCTATCTTTTTGCATTAATCATAATATCTTGATGTAAATTGGATACACCCAATCGGACTAACGCCCTCATAGATATATCTAATACTTACGGTGCTTATATATTATAACTCGTTCGCTTTGCCCCTGTCCGTACTTACGTTTTAGATTTCAATGATCGTAAGCAGTGTGTCACTGGTAAATTACTTGAAACCTGTACTAAATTCTTTCAGTAAATTGAAAGACAAATTGAAAGAATTGGTCCTGCTTTTTTTCATAAAAAAGAATGGCCATCGTAGATACAAGTATCTTGCCTTATGGAGGGATAAATTGTACTTTGTAAAATATCACTCTGATTCAAACAAGAATTATCTGAAACTGACTTTATAAAGATGCTTGATTGACAACATTTTGTAACGTTTGGATGACGTGTTTTTCAACAAAAAATCGGTATTCCCATGAGAACCAACTGTGCTCCTCTTCTTGTCGACTTGTTCCTTTATTCATATGAGAATGACTTTATACAGGAGCTTCTTAAGAAAAATGAAAAGAAGCTCGCATTATCCTTTGACTTCACGTTCCTCTATAAAGATGACGTCCTCTCACTAAATAATTCAAAGTTTGGTGACTATGTTGAACGCATCTATCCCATCGAACTTGAAATAAAGGATACAGTTAAATCTGCTCATGTCTTGACTTGCATCTAGAAATTGACAATAACAAAACTTTTCGACAAAAGTGATGATTTCAGCTTCCCAATTGTGAACTTTCATTTTCATGTAGCAACATTCCAGCAGCGCCTGCAACTGGAGTATATATTTCTTAGTTAATATACGATATTGTAGAGCTTGTATTTCCTATCATGATTTCCTTGATAGAGGGTTGCTGCTAACAAGTAATTTATTAAACCAAGAGTTCCAAGTTGTGAAATTAAAGTCATCCCATCCAAGATTTTACGCGCGCCGTCACGAGTTGGTTGACCATTATGGAATACCTGTTTCGACGACGGATTAATTCATATTGTCGTAACCATTATACTGCCCCCTTTTGCTCGAATGTGACCTACTGAATTAGACTTCTCACCGGGTTTATACTTACATGAGCAAAACGACGGGTGCCACATGTGGAGCAGGATATGATTACCCTTCCGGAGCACATCAAATCACCCAGGGATTTTGGTGGGGTTCGTGTTGCTCACTCTTTAGTTTTCTATGTTGTGTTTTGTAAACTGTTTGTCTTTTGGTCGTTTTTCATATTTTGCCATGGCATTGTAAGGTTTTTTTCGACTTATCAGTTTGAATATCCTTTTGGCGTCTTTCGCATTTCTTTCCCAGATACAAATATTTGGTTTGGAAATTAATTTGGCTGTTCCGGTAGAAAACTTATTACAAACGGGATATCACATTCTTATTCTTACGGCGATGTTAATAAAGCCCATAAACTTAGATGCGATCCGTGTAAAAGAGAGGCGAAAGATACCAGAGGGACATTCAAACTCACAAGTCGAAAATAAACTGACAACGCCATGGCTAAAAAAGAAAAAAGACCAACAGACAAACAATAGTACACAAAACACAACATAGAAAACTAAAGACTAAGCAACCCGAATCCCACCAAAAACTGGGGGTGGTCTCAGGTGCTCTGGAAGGGTAAGCAGATCCTCCTCCACATGTGGCACCCGTCGTGTTGCTCATGTTAGTACAAATCCGGTAATAAGTCTAATTTGGTAGGTCACATTCGGGAAAAGGGGACGAGATTGTATTTACGACATTTGGAACATATCCGCTATCATCTGTGAAACGGATATTTCATGACAGTCAACCAACTCGTGATGGCGGCCGTAAACCTTACGAAGGGACGATTTCAACTTCACCACTTGAAACTCTTGGTTTATAGCTTCCTTGTGAGCAGCAACCCTCTATCAAGGAAATCATGATAGGAAATATAAGCCCTGGAATATCGTATGCAGGCGCTGCTGGAATGTTGCTACATAAAAATGAAAAGTTCACAATTGGAAAGCTGAAATCATCTCTTTTGTCGTAAATTTTTGTTTTCAACCGACCCTCATTGTCATCTCATTGTGTAAACTAATCGATCCTGTAAATAAACTTACTATCAAAGGTAACCAATTTAATACTGAAATAAATTTTTTTAATATTGTTTTTATCGGTACAAACAAAGTTGATTTTGTTATCAATGAATTAAAACGTATCTAATTATTATTGCTATACAGCTATTAATATTCCTGATCCTACATTCTGTCAATGCTTATATTTGGCATTACACAAAATCATGTTTACTCTGACTGTTTATGTCGTCTTAATACTAAATCCATAGGATTTGTACCGATTGATATTTTAGTTTTTGATACAAGATTTTTTGTATTTGTTGTTATTTGTCTTGGATTAGCTTTCTGTAACATCAAGTTCTCTTAAATCGGCATTTTGTGTCTTTTGTCTTTTTGTTTATTTGTTTTTTGTGTGTTTTTTGTGTCGACATGACGAGTCAAGCCTTTCAACTGATTTTTATAGTCCCTTTTATGTCGTACTGTTACACCACTGTCCCAGGTCAAGGGAAGGTTGGGCGCCCACAAACACGTTTAACACCGCCACATTATGTAGATGCGTAACCCGTCAGGAGCCTGTAATTTAATGGTTGTCATTTTTTGTTTTGTACATAAATCAGGTTTTTTGGTTTTCTTATTTTTTATGTTGAACATTTGTCATCTCGGGGCCTTTTATAGCTTCTTTTATGGTGATTTTTACCATTGTTGAAGGCCGTACTGTGACCTATAGTTGCTTACTTCTACGTCATTTAGTATCTGGTGGAAAGTTGAATAGGCAATCATACCACATCTTCTTATTTTCATGTTAACACTTATTAATAAATGAATTTCAGTATGAATCTCTTGCACATACAAAATAAACCCATTTTATTTACGGTAGTAGTCTTTCAAGTTACATCGCGATGACCGTGAAGGCATTCCGGTGTATTGTTGCCAGAGAGATTTCCATTACGTAACTTTCGTGTTTGACTGGTAACCGATCTATAATCTATAAATACACTGACATCATCGAGTGCAAAATTACATTCCTTATCGCTTGTGATAAATTCATTTCTTCAATGAATACTCATAAAATAGAACATAAATTAATAATAAGAAAATGTTTTGTTATATATATATAAGTAAAAACTCATTAATATCTATGCACACGCACAGAAAAAATCATTTTTTCTGTGCGTGTGCATATATATTAATGATTTTTTACTTAATATATATATATATATATAACAAAACATTTTCTTGTTAACGCGTGCGGAAGAATATCTCAAAAACGTTTGCAATCTCCCATGCAGAGTTATCGGTCCTTGCTCTCTCTCAAGAACCGATAACTCTGCATGGGAGATTGAACGTTTTGCGGGAAAATATGAATGCCTACTCAAATCCAATCTATAAGAAAAATCGAATTATTACAGAAGAGTGTCCACCATGCACTTGCACTGCACTATCATTAATATAGTAGAACAGAATGATATACAAATGGATGAAAATTATATATACATGTAACTGTAATATACAAATATTAATATAATATATAACAACAAACCAGCCGTATACTGATTTGTATCACTACAATATAATAGTTATTACGGTGAGGTTTAATTCCCTGTCATTTATTTATCATCCACGCGCGAACTTGTCTCAGAATTTTTTTTATATCTGTACATTAACCTCACTTTCAGGTATAGAGAGGTGATTTTTTTTCTGAGACAAGTGCTTGTGACCATCCACAAGAACTTGCGGTCATCCGATGTTCACTACTTCAGTACTTTGATTAAGTTTATTAGTGGGAACGAAATTGTATTAACACTTTTACTTCAAAATTTACGAATAACAGAAGGATTTTACCGTACACAGTATCAGTAAATCAAACGCGTATTAAACTAAAAGTTTTTACAATTTTATTTAGGGGCCAGCTGAGGACCACCTCCGGGTGCGAGATTTTCTCGCTGCGTTGAAGACCCATTGGTGGTATTCGGCTGTTATCTGCTCTTTGGTCGGGTTGTTGTCTCTTTGACATATTCCCCATTTCCATTCTCAATTTTATTTAGGGCAATAATAATAAACCAAAAGTTATAATTCGACGCGCATGCAGACAACACGCTGTCAAAAGTAAAACAAGTTTACAAAACATAAGACTGAAAACTGTAGAGAGGAGCAACACTAACTCTAAGGTAAGGGACAGGTGGTTGGAGGTGGAATAACATTTATAAAACGATGGACTATGTAGTAGATTTTGAAATACTTGTTAAAGTTCTAAAAATAAAATCTGCACCACCGAACAGCTTTTTCTTTTAAAAAGTCAATTCACTTCACTGCTTATATAGTTTCCTTAAACAATGGTATCCTTTGGACAATGATATTCTGAAAAGATCCCACAATTAATCTAATTAAATGGTTGTATCCATTCTTTTCAATTAAATCGCACCTACGAAGGAGTTTAAAAAGAGACACACGAAGCTTTAGAAAACAATAATGCATACAATCAAACAAAACTTTATTGTACTATTCGAACAATTCTAAAAAGTAACACTTTTAAACTTTGCAAAATATGCTTTCGATTACAATGAATAAATTGGTGAGATTTATGAGTATATCTATATATAATTGATTCAGTGGTGTTTAATTATGTACCCTTAATAATCTGTGTGTAGAAAATTAAACCGCATACATTGTCTTTATAAAAATGTTGATAATACCACATGACAAAATTAATTGTAAATAGTTACTTAAATCATTACTGCTATTTCTTTTTGTGTGTGTTGAAATTTATGCAAACAATTTTCTTTTATGGAGACGAGGTTGTTGCTTTCGAATCATCTCCATTTCATCCAAAAGCTGTCGCTCTCTTTCTCTTAGTTTTCTGGTTTCATCATCTCCAACATTTTTAGCTGACCTCAGTTGACCCAATTGGCCTTTCACCCTGTCAAGTTCTTTTCGAAGTCGCTCTACATCAGCTTGTAGTGTACTCTCCAGCTCTAGTCGTTTTTTCTCTTCTTCAGACAAACGGTCCTTCTCGTGCTTTAAATCATCTGTGGTCTTTCTTAGTTTCATTTTTAAATTACTGATGTCTGCTTCCATTCTTTTAAGTTCTTTTTCTTTTGTTTCAACAGAATCAGGTCTACTTTTGACAACTCGTTCCTTATCGAGTTTGGCTTGAAGAATTTTCTTTTCAAGACGGAGTTGTTTGAGTTCCCGTTCTCTCTTGTTCAGTTCTTCTTGCAGTTCTCTAACCTTTGTCATTTTGTTTTCAAATGCTTGTTCTGCTGCTTTTACTGCCATTTTTTCAAATTCAGGTTTTAACTGTTCAATCGCCATCTTGACCATCTGTTTTGTAAATGTTCCAACAATTCTGTAAAACACAATATTTTTACATTGTCAAATAACATTTGGCCCTTTTTTGATAGAAAGCATTTGACTACCTGTAATAGCATGTATAACGTATTCGAATACTTTTAAAATGTATTTAGTTATTGTCATGTTGTTCATTTGGAAATAAAACGTTGGTGATCATTTTATATTAACATCATCAAGGATTTTTCTTTAAGAATTTTGTTAGGTCCAAAATGCCGCGAGACTAATCCATTTTGAAACGACAAAAATCCGTTGAGATTCGTGTGTAGATTATACGTTCTATTGGGAAAACGTGAAACAGAAAAAAAAAAACATTTCTCTCACCTAAACAAATCCAAGAAAAACCAAAACGACGATTATTTGCAGAAATTTCTATAGGCAATCATGATTTCTGTGTTCTAAATTCCATTGGAGTTTAAACCAAATTTGAAGAACTTGATATATATATTCACTCTACTGGATACCAAAGTTTCATACGACTACATGTCATTACAAACAACGTTATATTGGTTGACCTCACAATTTTTCCACAAGACTTCTTTCCATACTACAGACATCGGATCTACTAGCTATTAAAACAGTGGCTTAATATTTACATTGCAACTATATACTGTGAGGGTAATGTAAATCAGACGATTCTAACGAATCGTAGAAGTATATATAATTAAGGTCCATTTCGCATGCAATAACTCCAATAAATGTTTTATCTCTCTATTATATATGGTATATTACTCATTTAACTCTTACAGACATATTAAACGGAATTTTTAATGAAAAGGCAATTGGAGGTAACATATCGTTCTTTAAGAAAGGAAAAATATTGCTACTTAGTACGTTAAAAAAATGTTCTCTGAAAAGATAATCACAAAACTGCTTGATTTTCTGATCAACATAAATGTGGGTGTGCCAGTTTGCCGAAGACAGCAACACCTGTATGTGGATTTGGTAAAATATACCATGCCTTATTTCATGTTTTATGCAACTTATTTTAAAATTTCAATCTTTATTCTTACGGAGAATTTAGCACATTTTGTATCGTATTGTTGTTTGAGAGTTGCTGCTTACCATGAAGCTATGAACCTCAGTACTTACTTCAAGGTTACATCTGTATTCTTTCCATGTCTTTGTATATATTCATTACATTTTTTTTTCTTGTAAATTCAAGGACGATCATTAATTTTGATATTACGAAAACTAAAGCTGCAGTCCCGCAGGCAAAGTTGATCTTTTAACGGTTTCGTATTTTGTTGAAAGGATATATATATACATTTTGTTTTATCCGTGTGTTTATCCAGATTACTTTGTATGCTGATTTATCATTTAACTTTTAGCTTTTATCATATTTATGATTACACCTTGCTATCTCATTATTATTTTTTGAAAGGATACAGTTGCACAGTGCTATGACGTCTGCGGGCTATCTATGATGAGTTTTTACATCCTCTGGGTCGATGCCACTTTTAGTGTGTATTTTGTTCCCGAGGGTATCACCAACCCAGTAGTCAGCACTTGCGTTGACATGAAAGATAATTGATATGATAATTTTTCTGTAAATTTACAGTTTAAAATGTTGAATTATATAAAAACTTCTGTGGACCAAGGTATAGATTGTCGTAGCCATATTTGGCACTTTTCAGAATTTTCGGTTTATAATGCTCTTCAACTTTGTATTTGATTTGACCTTTAAAAACTCACTATTATACCGTACTCTTAATAATATTTAGTAGAATACAATAGGGAAAATTTTTATTTAATAGATTTTTATAATATTTCTTTGTGATATTCAAAATTAAGAGGTAAAAAAGTGGCAATGCCATACCTTCTACTTTTCATTGATTATGAATTACCGATGCTTGAACAGAGACTAATCTGACTAAAAAAATACCGAACTCCAAGGCAAATTCATTAAGGAAAAGTCCATTAAAACCTGACAAAATCAAACGCTATCGATCAACGGAACAAGTGAAAAACAACTGCCATACTCATGACATTTTCCGAAGAAAATTATGTGTTAAACCTGGTTTTATAGCTAACTAAACCTCCGTTGTATGACAGTTGTTTTAGTTCCATATTGACAAAATTGTGTGAGCAACCCAAACAGACATAATAGGTAATGTTTAAGTTCCAATTGAAGGTTTGGCTATTATTTTTATGTCTCTTTATGTAAAACATATCATCAAGTATTTATACATCTCTTGCTTTTAAATTTTAGATTTGAGCGTTCGTAATGATTGTAAATCAAGGAGAGCATTTCAGATGCACAGGGTGGTGAGTTACCCCAGTTACCCATATGTGCATCTATGACTACTGCATCATGCAAAGTTGGCCGTGGATGAATTTGCCTATTTTGTTCCTTTTGGTCATATAGTTTCTGACATGGGTACGTATTTTTGTATCCTCGGCTCTCAAATGTTTAGGTTTGAGCTTTCCCGATGAAGATAAATCTGGAAAAGTGCTTCGGACGCATGAATTTTATAGCGTAATTTTTAATTTCTAGCACTGGATCGATACCATTGTTAGTGGTCTGCTTGTCTCCGGAGGATATCATCAGCCCAATCGTCAGAGTTTTGCCATTGACATTGTTTATAGCATACATGTCTGAAATTTTTCGTTGATAAATTAAATTCTAATTATAAACTAAGGTACCAACTCGCTCTGGCAAAGTAAGATGGATTTTGGTTATTCTTTTTATGTCACTTTTGTCATATACAGTAGTTCGTCAGATGTTTATACATCCCTTGCTTTATTTTTTTTTTATTTGAGCATTCATCTTTAAGGTTTATCCATAAAAACGCTTTGGATGTTCCATATTTATAAAGTGTTTGTTCGCATTTTCAACAGTACACTAGTATAGATACACACAAAAGAGTTCACACATTATCAATTTGTTCAATATATCCTAATTAATATCCCAAACTGGTTACATTTCCTTAAATTATCGATCAACGTTCTATTTTTGTATGGTGGAAATTAGAGAACTTTGATCAAAGCAAACCAATTTTCCATCGCGGATTGAGTGGACATACCCGATACTCCTTCTGAATTCCTGAAACTCTTTACCTTCTTCTTCTGTCATAAATTCAAGAGCATTAGTAACATGATCTAAAACATAAAAATATATTTCAGTTGATATATTGCTTTTAAAATAGCAGTCAATAATAACTGACTGTAAAGATGTCTTGAGCATTTTGAAGAAGAAAAAAACTTTGTGTTCCATCCATTTAGACTTTTTCAGGCGTGTATTACGTTGAATACCAAATGTACGTATATATTCATGTTCTCAATTCCTTAGACATTTTTTTCTAAAGTAGAACGAGCATCGTGGTGCTGGACCACAATATTGAGGACATCAAGTCTAAACCTCCTGGTTGCACCTTTGCTAGTTTTCCTATAATCCATGACTGGCCATGATATCCATGGTGACCTGAAAATTATCTACAACACCTCTCTGCAGAATGTGTACCAATGGACCGAACTACCCACATCCATTAATTGGAAACACAACTTTATATACTAATGAAATCAAACAACGAGGATCATGCCAGGCAATGGACTAAACGCGAAAAAGGTGACGTAGATAATTTTTCTGAAAGGGTTAAGGCTGTAAGGTGGTTGATACAAATTAGAATTTAAAAAAAAGGAATGGGTCCATGCATGAGCACTCATGCTAAATCTATTTGCAAAGACCCTAATGTTGGTAGGCACCTGTCCTACCTCTTTAACAAATATGTTGTTTTCCCCTCCGATAAATTATGGCATAGTAGTTTAACGATGTCCAAGTCTCATAAATCGATTAAAAAGACAAATCAAAGTAACAAACAAAAACTGAGGAAATCGCATGAACTCCAAAAGGAGCGAGATCGGGTGTGTCGAGAGGACCCGAAAACATCGTTATTAACATTACATTTACTGCTTGATAAAGGAATTAGATATTGACAATTCACTTGGAAACTCAACAAATACTGTCATGATACTTAAAAAAGAGGAAATCCTGAATAATCATAGACTGTTTAATTTTCCTTTGGAATTTCAACAAATGATGAAGAACTGGATTTTGCTTCACGAAACTTCTTTCAAAATTTAACATCTATTGCATCAGCAATAAATGTCGCGCTTCAGAGTTAATATAAAACTACCTACTTTAGGGGCAGCGTAAATTAAATGTTGATACTAAGATCCAAAGATATGTTAGAGTACGTACAATTTAAGTCCCTTTCTTCTCTACCCTTAACACTAGTATTCCTGATTCTAACCTTAAAGACAGATAAAGAATTAGTCCAGCTTTCGTTCAATAAAAAGAATGGCAAACGTATATACACTAATCTGGTTGTAAGAAGGGATGAATTGTATTCTATAAATAAAACACACTCTGATTTAAACAAAAAGACAAAATTTTCATTGAAACTGACATCATCAAGGTGTTTTTTTTTATTGACAACGTATTTGTTACGTGTTTTTCAACAAACAATCGGCACCCCTGTGGGAGCAAACGTGCTGCTCTTCTTATCGACTTATTATTTTTTTTTCATTTGAGGAAGATTTCATACAGAGCTTCTCAGGAAGAATGAAAAAAAAGCTAGCATTATCCTTTAATCTCACGTTCCGCTATGTAGATAATGTACACTCACTGAATATTTCAAATTCTGTTGACTATGTCGAACGCATCTATCCCAGTTAACGTGAAAAAAGTACATGTATACTACAGATACAGTTTAGTCTGCCCCAATACTGACTTGCATCTAGAAATTAACACTGAAGTTAGGTCGAGAACAAAACTTTACTTCAAACGGGATGATTTCAGTTTCCCCAATTGTAAACTTTCTATTTCTATAGCAACATTCGAGAAGCATCTGTATATGAAGTATAAATTTCCCAGTAATACAATATTCTAAAGCTTGCTTTTCTTATCATAATTTCCTTGATAGAGGGTTGCTGCTTTCATGTTTTTTTGGGGTTTTTTTCATTTTAACATGCCCATTTTTTTACATTTTGTTGTTTAACAGTAAATTTAAAAATATAGTTTTATATGCAAGATATTTAAAATTAGATTTTTATGAATATTAATATCTCTTTTCATAATTTGCTAAATTTTTATCATGGGCTTTCCTATTCTATTAAATACTTATATATGTAAATTGAATTATGTTTCAAAGAGCTTAGAGTAATTTTCATATTATATAATGCGCTGTTAAAATACTGCATAATAATAATAAAGGTAAGCGATTAAACCTGGTTATATGACCGTTGGGAGTCTTCGGATGTCATCTCGAAGGTTAATACTCACGAAATGCTGACACATTTTATAGAGTCCATGTATTGTTGATTGTTTATTTTAGACTTTCTGTAATTTGAATATACGTTTTAGTATGTTATAAATCAAAAATGAGAATTTGAGTCAAACCCGTGAACATGAATTTTACGGCTGATGTCCCTTTAAGCTTTTATCGGCTCCGGTCCTAGAAATAAGAGACAGAAGATACCAAAGGGACAATAAAAAATCGAAGGGATTGTAGTAACTACATTTGGAACATATCCGTTGTCATCTGTGACACTGCAGATACTACATAACATTCAACCAATTAATAATCACATTCAACTTACTTAAAGACTCAATATTGATCGTAATATTTCTTTGTAAAACTATTTGTAAAAAGTGAGAATATCGGTCAGACATTTTTTTTACAACTACAGTTTTTAAATATGTTCATGTAGTAGCGCAATCTTACATTTATAGATCCGATGATATGATATTAAAAGTATTTATAAAGTACCAATTATTTTTGTTCAGATCGGTTATTTTTCCATTATGAAGTCATAATTTCACTCTAAAGCGTGTTTCGCAATATATTCAAATGCTTTTTGGGTTTGACAACATTTAAGAATATGGATTGTTGTTTTAAATCCACACTGAAAAGACGATATTTTGAATTTATTTAACGTTTACGTATATATGAAAGGTTCAAATGTACCGGTAAAAATTGTCCGAAAACCTGCAATAATAGTAAATTACGTATGGTAATTCTATAGATTCAGAATTTTTCGAGGTCATATCAGTATAAACGGATAATGACATTGGTGTGTAATTTGAAGATTTATCGTTGAAGAGTATCTAAAAATCTGTAGTTAATTAAATGATTTTCAGAAATGGTAAAAGAAATATTGAAGTTTAACATGAAAACATGAAAGATAATATTTTCTTCAAAACAACTTACGAGAAGTTCCATTGCTCATTGTATCGTCATCTGAATTACATGCTGCCATTCCTGTCAATATAAAACAAAAGATAAATATGAACCAGTTATCTGTTAGCCAAAAAATTAGGTTAAATTTTTAGTTTAAAAGGTCGAAGTTTGGCGGATTGCAAGTTTAATCCATTTTATTTTGGACGCACGGTTATAGACTTCCATTTAATCTAAAGATAAATAGTTATAAGGCGACACATACCGTGAAAGGCTTCAGAATGAATGTTGTACTTTAAATTTTGAATCCATTATTATGTATTATATAAGTTTTTTTTTATCTCACACAAAATTCTTTCTAAAACAGAAATGGTAGAACAGATGTGATCAATAAAAATATGTTATTGTAAAAACTTATTGGGTATACTGATCGTTGTTTGTGTTTTTGTTGAACTGATTGTACTGTCTGCCTATTCCGTAAAGGGTTGTAGCTTTAGTATATAAGGTATATAGATCGTAACCCTTGTTTGTGAAAGTGGCATATAAGCAAAATACTAAAAACCCTGCTCCTTCGATACATATATTTATTTTTCGGTATTTCATGAGAGTGTTGTCTCATTCATACATCCCAATATTCCTTCTTCTGTAATTCATAAACCAAAACTAAAATATGGCAAACAAAACTTATATACTTTTAACTTACTTCGTATTCTAGACATAGTATATTTCTTTGTTTTAGTTCAAAATTTACAGTGCATAAATCTTATAACATGCAAACAATTTTATATGGATGTAATTTGCATTACACAAAACAACTTGATACTTAAAATCAACACAAAAATGGCACTTGATTGCCATTAGATTTATTACTATAAACTTATCTCAATGGTTGTTCTCGAGTATATATAAATATTCCGTTGCTAGAAAATTTCGTCTCGTAGGTTTAAAAAGCATTCAAAATTTGGAAGGTAACACATTTCGAGTTAACCTGCAATCAGGATTTTCTAAAGAGGAAAAAAATCGTTTACTTTGTTTTCATGTATATCCAAACATAGATACGGGCGGCACATCGTTGAGGGGTGACACGGGGTGCTCATTTCCCAAATCCCACTTTTTCGGAATTTTTTCCCACTTCCCACTTTTTTCCTTCTTTTTCCCAGATCCCACTTTTTTAACCCTCTATATCTAACATCCCAAAAGCGTGTCACACCCCTAATTAATCTCAGAGTCTAATATGTAATTTGCTTTCATGTTTTTCACAAAATGGGATTAAAGAACATGCTATTATTCTTTTAAATATAATCAAATATAGGTTTATTTCTTTTTTAAATGTAGTGTTTTAATGTAAATACGATAAAAAAAAAATATATCTACCTTATCTTTGATTTTCCAGTGCTTTCTTTTGAAAAAACAATTTAGGAAGTGGAACAGATTTTAGCTTTCATCTTTAAGAGGTTATTATTGCATTTGTAATAGGACAGCTCAGATTGAGTGAAAATAAACAATAAAATAGTTGTGAACGTCAAGGACCTTGCTCTAATAGAAATATGGACAAATTATTAGTTTGACAATAGTTATCTTCCTTGATTATAGTGCATTCTATTAGAAAACATCAAACGCACATGTCTAATAAAACAGAAAATCAACAAATCTGAAAATAAATGTTTTAAACAAATACAAAAGGCACATTTAAGAATATAAAAAATAACAATTTTAATCAATTGCCAACAGAATTTAGTTTTTTTACATGAAGTTTTATATTGTACTTGTATCGTAAAACATAATTCATTCATTGGGACAAGGAGTGGAAAATTTACTGCTCTTAGTACAAAGCCTATATTTTTTATTGTTTGAAAAATATAAAAACAAGAAGAAAATTCAAGCAAACTATATAAACGTACCTTTTGGTTGAAAATATTCCACAAAGAATGAAAGCCTTTATTATGGTGTAACAAATATCATTGGCAAAGTTATGGTTATTTATTTGATTTACTATTGATTTCAACGTTTGAACAGTTATCAAAAAGTCGTTTTTAAGTCAAGAAGAAAGTGATAAATGCTTCCGAAATACCATATTTGTTTTCCATACCAAGGGTTTAATCTTAACTTTGTCAACAATGGATTAAAACTACGCATACATGATTGCATGTTTCTGAATATTACATATAATTTCTACGTTTTATTTTCAAAGTCAGATTATTTGGAGATATAGTACTTTTATTTGTAGTTTTAAAGTACACACTGAATTTGTCAGTACTGTGGTGAATATTAACATGAGTGTCCAATATTTTAAATGGTGTATTCGCAATAATAATGTTATTGTAGACACTTCATGAATAACAGGAGATAATACGTAGACCTTCCCTTTGGTATCTTTCGCTTCTCTTTCAATACAACAGATTAATGGAGAAGAATAGAGAATCAACCAAGACACAATAAATAATATCTGCGATGAAGTTCAAAACGACATGCACACATGCAAAAATAAGCCAAATGCGATATTACTTAGAAAATCTAATAATGCACCCGTATTTAAAGCTGTCACAAAATTTCGCAAATTTCAAAAAAGTTTTACCCGAGTATGTGACAAACGTAAACCCAAACATAATGTGATAAGATCCACCATAGTCTCGTATTAGTTTTATCATTATTTATTTTTATCTATTTATATTTTTCCGGGCCCCGGACATTTAAACGAAAAATTCAAAACTACTATAGTGAACAGTTCAGCGCTGACATTTAAGCCCATTTTATCGCCTTTAAATCCGTTCACCGGTATTTTCAATAGCCCATTTTATATGAAACTTACCAAGTCTAACCGTTTCTTATGTTTGGTTAGTTTAACGTGGAAGTAAATGTAATTGAAACAAATCCGAAAGGAGGCGTACTATGTGAAAGATCGATAAAGCATTTAAAGGCCAAGAAATTCGATAATATTATATAAAGAGAAGGAATAGTTCTTACTGCAATTCCATGATCAGAGGGAATATAGTAAGATTCAAATATATGTACTATCCCTGATATATAGATTCCAAGCTAGAACATTTTTGTAATTATTGAGATCAGAAATGGATGGCTTAAAAGACATCATTGGCTTCGTTGACATTTGTCGTACGTTGACCTCTGTCATTAAGTTATTCGCATCGTCGGGTTGATTTATCAATGACGTATACCCCACATCTCCTTTTATTCACAAACTCACGGTATGGTATAAAAAATCGAAAGTAAAAATCACTTTCAAACATTTATATTGATAAGACTTGATCGGTTTTCGTGTTTATGTGCTTGCGAGTAACATATCGAGCAGCTCGTCTTTGCACCTATTCATTTTTTGATAATATATTTGGCTTTGCTGGTATGGTTCAAATGTATACTGTCCTGACCTATTCCATTGTGGTCTTACTAATGTTTTATTAGAGAATTTACAATAACTGTCGGACTCAAACCCCCAAGAGTGGCTGTGAAATAGAAATATGGTCACCATTTGTCCTCCTCCGAGCGGCAGTAAAAACCTCGCCAAAGTGAGGCGTCCGTTTGGCTGTGCGGGATGTACAAGTTCGCGGCCACATCCGGTCAGAATGGGGACGTTTCAATCCGATGCCTCGTGTAAAGAGAGTAACACGCTCTTTGCACTTTAAGAACCCTTGCAACAACTCTTTGAGGGGTCCGTAGGTGGCCTGTTGCACGGCTAAATTTCTGTCCCTATCCAATACATCCTCATTTTCCTGTGGCAGTCCAAATTCACCTACCTTCATTCCGGACGGCCTCTATTACATGACCAACCTATTGTATTTATTTTGTTAATTTGTTTTCGTCCTGAACATGCATGAACTATTTGCCACTGGACGTTAAGCAACCATCAATCAATCAATCAATCGGACTCGGAGTACGAGTACGAGTAAGACTACAAATCTTACAGGTAAACATTGTACTTTAATCATTATAGTACAAAACAAAATGTATTAATAGAAAAGTTGTTTTCAGTGATTGGCAAAAATACCACAAAGTTCAACTATGGCTTTAAGTTTGTTGATTTTTAATGAAAATTGATCGTGAAAGATCAGGCAACGCATTATGTTGATCGTGAAAGACAAGGCGTGACCAGACTTAATGATCAGAAAACAACATGTATTTTTCAAATTGACATACTTGTAACTGGTTGAAGCGTGTAATTACTTACTAAGAACGTAAATTAATGATTTATTTTTTTTAATGATATATATATACATATAAACCCATCTTTGTATTTATAATGCTAAATCTGACAAAAGCAGAAATTTTCAGAAAGTTGAGATTTACTTATTATCTGTTTACATCAAAACTGTCAGACGACTTCTTACAGGAGTTATTGCCCTTGAATGATGAATGATCATGAATTTTACCATTTATTTTTCTTCATTTTTGCCTATTGTCTTCAAAATTATTATAGAAAAAAAAAAACAGAATATTCGAATTGTAAAAATGATCAGCAAGACAAGATCCGATACAAAACCAGCAATAAAACCAGGTTCAATCCACCATTTTCTACATAAGGAAATGTCTGTACCAAGTCAGGAATATGACAGTTGTTTTCCATTCGTTTGATGTGTTTGAGCTTTTGATTTTGCCACTTGATAAGGGACTTTCCGTTTTGAATTTTCCTTGGAGTTCGGTATTTTTGTTAATTTACTTTATACAAATAAGTCAAATGATTGACATCGTCCGACGACTCCTTATTGGAGTTATTGCTTTTAAAGACGATTTTACCAATTTTTTGTGTATTTGTCCAATATCTTAAAAACTGAAGGGCCTAATAGATAGATAGAAACTTAAATTAACAAAATAATTAGCAAGAAAAGATCTATAAGGGAGCTACCATTTGATTTTAGGGGGGGGGGGGGGGGGGGCTAGGATGAAAAATTGTGTCCTGCATTTTTTTTTAGTTGTAATCTCGGTCCTGCATTTTTATTTTTCACTTTAGTCGGTCCTGCCTTTTTTTTTGTTAGTTTATCATGACTTTTTATACATAATTTGTCATCCTGCCTTTTTTTTTTTGCCAAGTTGCACATCCTGCCTTTTTTTTTACTCAAAACTTCTTGTCCTGCCTTTTTTTCAAATTTCATCCTAGCGCCCCCCCCTAAAAATCAAATGGTAGCTCCCTAAAGGGTACAAGTCAAATCGGCACCCGGTCAAATCGGCACCTAAAGAAAAAGTCAAATCGGCACCTGGTTAAATCGGCATCCGGTCAAATCGGCACCTATTTATAGTCAAATCGGCATTTAAGTGGTCAAATCGGCATCCGATAATATTTGATATAATATAAATAATTATGAATATGACTTGTATAAATGATCTTTCAATTTCTAATTATGTTTAACAAAATTTAGGTGGGATTTATTTTATTCATTAAATCGTTGAAAATCATCACATGTTAATTATTTAGCAGTTAGAATACATAGGCTAAGTTAATTTGTTTGAAGTTTTCTCAACATTTTATGACTGATGTTTTGATTAGTTTTCTTTTCAATTAATTAAATAATAACTTTTATCAATTAAATAATTAACATGTTTGTTGTGTTAACTCTAAACAGGTAGTTATTGATGTTTTTTCTTCAAAAACTTAAATAAAAAAACAATGAAGCCATTACCCAAGCTGTTATTAAATCATGAGAAAATTAGAACCAATAAAAGGGAAAACTATGAGCCCCTCTCTTCACTATCACAATGACAGACGACAGCTGTATTAAGTGTACCAAACAGCATTAAAAAACCAACAATCATGCAAATTCTCAACTGTTCAAAACATGCATAACAAATATCCAATACCTCGAAGACATATCAGTAAGTTGAACAACAAAAAAAAAACATACTGAAATCCACAAAGATGTTTTAAAGTCAATATTTGTGGATAACACCTACTTTAAATTTTAATTGCAATCATTTTACTGAAAAAAATAGGCATATTCCACATATTTTACATGGGTGCCGAAATGACTACATTAGGTGCCGATTTAACCAGGTGCTGATTTGACTAGGTGTCGATTTGACTATACCGGGTACCGATTTGACCAGGTGCCGATTTGACTAGGTGTCGATTTGACTATACCGGGTACCGATTTGACCAGGTGTCGATAGTAGAATTCCTCCCATTTATAAATAGGTCAACATGACCAAATCTTCCGACGACTCTTTATTGGAGTTATTGTCCTTTAAAGAAGATTTTACCAACTTTTTTGTGTTATTTGTCCGATATCCTAAAAACTATAAAAAGATAGGTAGACACTTTCAATAGCAAAAATGATCACAAGACAAATCATTAGTAGATCTAGTAAAAATTTGATTTTCAATTCATCTTATCCCTTATCTTTAAACAAACATGCAGCAATAACCTTCGTAGGCTCATCAGGTAGCACCTGTCTCATATCATAGCAAATTTTAAATGACAGACAAACAAACAAAAACTTTGAATATCCCGCCTTAATAAACTAATAGAAAAAAATGTGACGTCTGTCTGTTATTCAAATCGGAAGTAAACAATAATAATACGATGGCAGACTATGGAGAACCAATTTTTCAGTCCACTCTTCACATACAAAAAATAGCACACCAAGTTGCATTAACCTCTAGTCATCTTATTTGGGAACAAGCATCGAAGGGTGGACCCCTTGACAGTCCGTCTTCTGAACCACTTTTTTGTATGTAGCTTTACAAATACTATTCTTCTTTGTCTTTTGTTCAATGACATTTTTTATCACTTGAACAACTGTTTTCTTCCTGCTGAGTGCTGTAATCCTTGACCCCTATTGGCTTGTTTAGTGTTATTTTACAATTTCAGCTAGAGATACAAAGATGGATTTTCCTTCACTACTGAATTCACAAAGTATAAAAAGTTGTCCTTAACAGGAATAGAAATTAAAATTTTCATTCAAGCAGTAGCCTAGTCCAAATAATTATGACACCTTGAAAGGCTATTTTAATTGTTTGCTGTGACACAGCATAGGAAGGCTTCACAGTAAAGAAAATAATAACCTTCAAGACATTATTATTATTTGGACCAAGGATCTCCCTGGATGAAAATTTAATGATAGAGGAACTTTCACCATGACAAAACCCCATGTCTACGGCGTGGCGTGATCGAAAGTATTTCATTCCTTCATTTCCATGTAAAGAATGGTGAACAGGCTGATATATTGCTTATTAGATTTATTGCATTATAGAATAACCAATATTTTCATTAATTGTCATTTGAAACAATTCCAATACCAAGCCTGCATACCTCCCCCTTAGTCAAGAATGACCACAAGCTGTCCTTAAGGATCCCACATCATTGTCTTGCTATTTTGGTAATTGTTTAGGGCTTCAAATTCGGGGGAGTCTATTTTTCACTGTCAAATTCAGAAGTCATGAACCAGTATCGACGATTTGCAGCATCAACAAAAAGTTTCGTACTGGTTTTGTAAAACGTTGAAGACATATTTGGAGGGCAAACTTTTATAAGTTAATAGGTTTTAATTACTTTAAATAGCAAATTACATAGTAATAAACTATTCAACAAACATCTTTCGATTCTGAATGTGAACCTGAAAACCGGTTGTATTAATTTGATTATAAACTACGAAATGAATTTCGGAATTACGATACAAAATTTCTTCAGATTATCAAGTTGCAGTAAATTTTCATTTATTTACTATAAACTTGTAAAGTGATTCCATATTATCGATTATTGCTGTACTCATGTTATTTTGCATGAAATTAGGTTCTGTTTTACGTCTTATTTTGAACTCGTATAAAAGGGGATGCTGATTGCGTAAGTCAATATAAAAGCAATCTTTAGCCAGATATCCCTCATGGCTTTAAAACTGTAATCCTTGGAATATAGTACAAAAAGCCTAAGGGTTATGCAATTACAAGCAATTTATTATGGGGGAGACTAGAGAAACGGAAACAAATTTTGACAATGGCGGGGATCATTTGACGATGGCGGAAGATAATTTAACGATGTCGGGGATCATTTGACGGTGGTGGAAGATATTTTAACAATGGCGGTGCCCTCATAAAACAGGTCATGGAGATCCCTGTTTGGACTAGCCGAAGCCCAGTCAATAATTTTGTTGGCCTAGTGTAATATGATTGTTATATAGTTGCAGATATAAAGGTAGTCTAATTTGTTGAATTGGGGAAGATCCTCTTTGGCTCAATTAGAGCGCTGCCTCTAGATCCCGAGACTGGGAATTTTGAATCCTGTGAAAAATCAATGAATTTTCACAATATTGGCACTGCGAGCATCTACTACTGTCACATAGGAGTTTTAGTCCTATAATACAAACCTTCTTGGGTCCAATATTGTTTTCTTTTAACATTTTTTATAGGATATTTTTTTTACTACCAATACTGAATCACAAGGACTTATGAGAAGTTGCCATTTTCTGGTAGCAAGTTTCCAACAAATTTTTGTGGGAACTTTGAATGGGCATTTGACAATGTTTTAAACAGTATTTAGTTTACTTCTGTCATTATTATTATAGATAACCGTCTTAATTATTTAAATAAATGTTTTACCTAATCAAATGGTGGAGGTATATCCTATTTTGAAGCACTTTTCTAACTTTCAAATGGTCAAGTGGATCATGTACCAGATGTTCCACAGTCTTTACTAATGAATAATTGGTAGAATATATTTCAGAATACTCCTTGGAAATTTTTTTTTTTTTTATTTGCGTACGTAGTGGAAGATAATACCTGGTGAAATGATTTATTTCTGATTTCTTCATAAGATGGTAAGCGAGCCAATCATCAAATTTTTCTTTATACAAAAGGGCGACTATATAGCATTCATAAAAAAAGAGAGGGGGAGTTAGGATGATTATATATATGGAATTGAATATTCTGTTCTGATTATAACAGAAATGAAGTAATCATTTGCCCAAGACAGGTGGAAAATAAAGTAGCTTTCCCATGAAAATACATGTCAATGTTGGAAACAGTTATAATTTATATACATGAATGATGTGGCCTAAGGGGTATTAACAGAAGTTATTCAATATTTCAATTGAGGCGATGTACTTATGTTTTTTTATTGGAAAAGGTCATATTTCTTTGATCTGTATGTATAATGCAGTTAATGCACAGTTCACTGGTCAAAACTAAAGTTATAAACGATAAACTGTAATTGATTCTAGGACTAACTCTATCTATACTACAAAAACTTTTCATACCTCATTTTATACAAATAATGAAGTGAATATTTCATGTAAGGATGTTACCTGAATTACCCAAATCAATATATAGAATCCTGCCAATTTATGCACTACACAATATTTTTCAAAAAGTTTGCAAATAACAGACCGTGATTGTGGGTCATGCCATGACACAGGCGCTTTAAGACTGGACCCCTTTTTCCTTTTCTTTTTTTCTCATTTATATATCTAAGACTTGAAGTACAATTTCCTACTAACTTATTTTCCTGTTTTCTTGCTGTTATATTTATGATTTAACAATATAAGTATTTTAAAATGTTGAGTTGTAGCTTGTAAGCAATTTATACATCTGCCATTTATCCACTTCCTGTTGGCAGATAGTTTGAAATTTTACAAAATTTTACACTACTACTAAATGTACAAGGAAAATTTTCTTGGTTCCGGGATTGAATGGAATTATCTAATATTTGGTCTGCAGCTTGATATGTAAAGTTGTAGAGTGTAAGCAATTTTTACATCTGCCGTGTATCCACTTCCTGTTTGCAGAGAGTTTGAAATTTTGCAACACTCATTGTACAAGGAAAATTTTCGTCACAGTTTTCTTGGCTTCAGTGAAAGGGAATGATAAGTTATGCTTCAGTATACAAGCAACCTCAATCAATTACAGTCAGCGAGGCAGGTCATGACCCGGTATTGGTCTTGTTGACTTTTATCCTTGCTTTGCATAAAGTTTCAGTACATTGTACCAAAACTTGAAAGAAATAAAATTGAGAATGGAAATGGGGAATGTGTCAAAGAGACAACAACCCGACCATAGAACAGACAACAGCAGAAGGTCACTAACAGGTCTTCAATGCAGTGAGAAATTCCCGCACCCGGAGGCGTCCTTCAGCTTGCCCCTAAACAAATATATATACTAGTTCAGTGATAATGAACGCCATACTAAACTCCAAATTGTACACAAGAAACTAAAATTAAAAATAATACAAGACTAACAAAGGCTAGAGGCTCCTGACTTGGGACAGGCGCAAAAATGCGGCGGGGTTAAACATGTTTATGAGATCTCAACCCTCCCCCTATACCTCTAGCCAATGTAGAAAAGTAAACGCATAACAATACGCACATTAAAATTCAGTTCAAGAGAAGTCTGAGTCTGATGTCAGAAGATGTAACCAAAGAAAATAAACAAAATGACAATAATACATAAATAACAACAGACTACTAGCAGTTAACTGACATGCCAGCTCCAGACTTCAATTAAACTGATTGAAAGATTATGTCTTCATCATATGAATATCAGGCACAATCCTTCCCGTAAGGGGTTTAGTATTATACCATCATAACATATATGAGAAGAACATAACCCGTGTCATGCCAACAACTGGTTTTTAAATAAAGTCAGTTTGTTAAATTTTTTTAAAATCAGCTGTTGGAAAATTAAATATTCACATTGATGTTTATTATTCCATTTTATTTTAAAAGTTGATTATCAATTCATGAATATTAAATCAATACAGAAATTTTCAATCTGATCAACTAGCCATAATAAAATTTATTCTTACCTACATTTAGGTCCATTCTGTGGGAACATGTCTGAATCTACCATTAAAACAATTTATGCCAGCTCCATTGATTGTCTATAGAGTCACTTGAATTTTTGTATTCCTATTGGTCTTTCTTTGTAGTACAAGAATGTAATATACATTACATGTATACATTCTGACTTTGTGAAGTATTCATGTATTGGTAGACAGTTAGAATATCTTCTAGGAATCTGAGAAATTTGTTTATTTAGTGAATAATTTCCTAAAAGTCTTCATGGTTAGTGAAACATTATCAATATTATGTAACATGTTTATACTGCTGCATTTTACATCAAAATATACTATATATCCCTTATTCATTCTTTTTTCTCCTTCCAGGTCATAAAAACGCTAATGCAGTGCCACTGAAAGAAATAATAAATGCTACACATGAAAAGGATAGACACAAGCCAAGTCAGCCATCGGTGAACAAAAGTCAAGGGACAAAGGCAAAAGATACAACACACCTATACATAGAGTTACAATGTCCATCTTTTATGGTTTATATATTGAGCAGAGGATCAAAACATAAATGGAAGTACAAAAAGCTATCCTTTGTCTGTCAGGATTCTCACTTATGCAGTCAGTGGGTCAGAAATATCAATGATGCTCTTGATAATCCAGGTCAGATTCTTCAAATAAATGTTTTATATGTTAAAATAGAATTGCTGTTGAGAAACCTACACATTCACTTAAAATCTCCATATATCATTGTTTTGATAATGATTAAGGCAGATTATTTAAACCAATGTTTGTAAAAAAATCCTACAACATTTGAGGCAGAAAATACCAAAGTGACAATGATAAATAACAGAATTATAAAAACATGTCAAAAAATGATTACATACAATGTACATTCATGTATGCTGCACCTATCTTGTTGTCATGGCAAGTCTCAATCGCTGAGAATCAAAAATTAAAATAGACAAAAAGGTGCGAAATTTTAAGTCACAGACTTAAAAAAAAATAGTATTCAATGATAAGAGTGGGTGACTGTGACTAGCCTTAATCAGCATAATTACTGATATTTATTTTTTGGTATAGGTGAAATTCTAAAATTAAATGAAATAACAGACTTAAAAAAAAATAATATTCAATGATTAGAGTGGGTGACTGTGACTAGCCTTAATCAGCATAATTACTGATAAGTTTTCTTGGTATAGGTGAAATTCTAAAATTAAATGAAATAACATAAAATTTAACAATTTTTTTTATGCCCCCGCTGTAGCGGTGGGGGCATTAAGTTTTACCCTTGTCCGTCTACGTAAGAACGTACGTCCCACAATTTTTTCCGTTCTCTAACTTAAGTTTGCCTCAACCAAATGTTATGAAAATTATACACAATGCTTATTACACAAAACACAGATCAAGTTTGAATTTTGGTGGCGTCACTTTAACCGTTCTAGAGTTATGCCCCTTTAAAAATGGCAAAATTTCAAAATTTTTCTTTTCTTCTAAATATCAAGTAATTTTTAAAATTGGAGTTATCTTCCTTTGTCCATGATTATAGTTGAATCAACTACAATCAATGCTTTATACAATGCAATGTTTAATTTTGACTTCCACTGATAAAACACAGATCAGGTTGAATTTGGGTAGTGTCACTTTAACCATTATTGAGTTATGCCCCTTTATACATTTTTTAAATCGAAATATTGCAAAATTTTTAGTTTCCATTCTGTTACTTAAGTTTGCCCCAACCAAACATTATGAAACCTATACACAATATTCATTACCACAAAACTAAGATCAAGTGCAAATTTTTTGTTTCCGTTTTCTAAATTTAGTTTGCCTCAACCAAATGTTATGAAACTTATACACAATGCTTATTACAACATAATACAGATTAAGTACGAAATTTGGTGGCAACACTTTTACCATTCTTGAGTTATGTCCCTTTATAAACATAAAAATTGTTGCATTTTTCGTTTCCGTTCTCTAACTTTAGTTTGTCTCAACCAAATGTTATAAAACTTATACACAACCGTTCTAGAGTTATGCGTGTTTACAAATAGAAAAATTACAGAATTTTTAGTTTCTGTTCTCTAAAGTTAGCCTCAACCAAATGTTATGAGACTTACACACAATGCTTATTACCACAAAACTCAGATCAAGTTCAAATTTGGGTAGCATCACTTTTACTGTTCTTCAGTTATGTCCCTTTATAACTATATGATATGCAAGCGGGGGCATCATCTGTGTCCACATGTGGACACTATCCACATTTTTTTTTCATCTGTTGAAACTAATATACTTTCAATTGAAACTGTTGTCATAAAACACTACCATACATACATAAGTACAACGAATGTGGCATATGCACATTTTCTACCGACGGGGTTCCTGAGGGAACTGGCATGTGAACATTTACCACTGATGAGGTTCCTGGCTTAGGACAGGCACATGACGTGGATTAAACTAGTTTATTGATATCTGAACTTGCTCACATTTAATCTCAATTAAGAAGCAGCAGGGTGAAACTAGTTGTTGAGATCCACCCCAATCAAAAACAAGCACAAACAAAACATTATTGAATAAGAAATATGTTATCGGAGGATGCTCACTTTGACATCTTTTAATCAAAGATTCTGACTGTTTTATTTCAGTTTTTAATCGACCAAAACATCTTCTGGTATTTGTAAATCCATATGGAGGTAAACAACAGGGACCAAGTTTATATAAAGAAAAAGTAGCTCCATTGTTTGAGATGGCTGGCATTAAAACAGAAGTTATTAGTAAGTACAGAAAATGACAGTTCAATTGATAATAACAAGAGATATGTTATACATTTGTGGAATTATAACTTTCACTGTATACAGTCATACATGCTAAACATCATAACAATGAATTGCCCTGAATAATGTAATCACAATTCCTTCAATCATATTTGAATATTAGGTTGAAAATCTTTAATCCACTTTTATAAGTTATAGTTATTAAACCAGATATATTTTAGTATCAACATTTGGTGCTATTTTGGAGAAAAACAGTAAAAAAAAAAAATTGTGTGCCTAATGCCTACCAAATTACTCATGCTTTATTTTTACTATTCATTGGGATGTAGTTTCTTAAAAGAAACATAATAAATGTCTCTTTTATGGTGTTTAGACAGATCCTTCGACAACAGAATCTTAGTATTGCAAGGAGGAGATATGATAAGAGCCATTATCTGGATCATGATACTGCAAGAAAAAGTCAAGGCTTTCAATTACATCTATATTAATTTCATTGATAAACCAACAGGATATAACCTCGACGCTTTTGTACAGAAATGTAATTCGCTATGTTGAAATTTATAAACTTCCCCTAGAATGACCACCAAACACATGTTTCAGTGACCTTTTGATAACTCCGGATTCTCATCAGGAGCTGCACTTAATTATACTATTTGCTGAACTTAATATATATTTAAAACTTTCATTTTCCAGCTACACAGAGAGCTAACCATGCCAGAGACACTTTACTTGAACACGACCTTCATAAAGTTGATGGGTAAGAACAAAAAGTTAAGAAGTATTATTCTATTTAAACATAATATCTACCCTAGGAAGGCAGATAATTTACTTGCAATTGATCAATGAACTCATGAAATAAATAAATTAGTAAAAGCAGCATTACAGATAAGAGCTTACCAAAATTTAAGCTTCATATAATTTGACCTTTAAATCCATTTGGTTTTTTTAGCCGGAAAATATCATTCTAAGGTCTCAATTCTGCATCTAATAGTTAGTCTATGTGTCCTGGTCTCCTTGTTAAAACGGAACAGATGGTAATATAAATTTATTAGCCAAAAAATATTATAGAATTAATCAATAAACATGTCTGTTTTCCATTTAAACATCAAACATCGTAAATTGGTTGTTTTTTATGCCCCCGCCGTAGCGGTGGGGGCATTAAGTTTTACCCTTGTCCGTCTGTACGTACGTAGGTACGTACGTCCGTCCGTCCGTCCGTACGTCCCAAAATTGGTTTCCGTTCTCTAACTTGAGTTTGCCTCAACCAAATGTTATGAAACTTATACACAATGCTTATTACCACAATACACAGATCAAGTTTGAATTTTGGTGGCGTCACTTTAACCGTTCTAGAGTTATGCCCCTTTATAAATGGAAAAATTGCAAAATTTTTAGTTTCCGTTCTCTTACTTAAGTTTGCCTCAACCAAATGTTATGAAACTTATACACAAGGCTTATTACAACAAAACACAGATCAAGTTTGAATTTTGGTGGCGTCACTTTAACCGTTCTAGAGTTATGCCCCTATATAAATGGAAAAATTGCAAAATATTTAGTTTCCGTCCTCTAACTTAAGTTTGCCTCTACCAAATGTTATGAAACTTATACACAAGGCTAATTATCACAAAACACAGATCAAGTTTGAATTTTGGTGGCGTCACTATAACCGTTCTAGGGTTATGCCCCTTTATAAATGGAAAAATTGCAAAATTTTTAGTTTCTGTTCTCTAACTTAAGTTTGCCTCAACCAAATGTTATGAAACTTATACACAATGCTAATTACCACAAAACACAGATCAAGTTTGAATTTTGGTGGCGTCACTTCAACCGTTCTAGAGCTATGCCCCTTTATAAATGGAAAAAATTGCAAAATTTTTATTTTCTTCTAAATAGCAAGTTAATTTTTTTTAAATTGGAGTTATCTTCCTTTGTCCATGATTCAACTACAATCAATGCTTTATACAATGCAATGTTTAATTTTGACTTCCATAGATAAAACACAGATCAAGTTGAATTTGGGTAGTGTCACTTTAACCATTATTGAGTAATGCCCCTTTATAAATAGAAAAATTGCTGAATTTTTAGTTTCTGTTCTCTGCTTAAGTTAGCCTCAACCAAATGTTATGAGACTTACACACAAAACTCAGATCAAGTTCAAATTTGGGTAGCGTCACTTTTACTGTTCTTCAGTTATGTCCCTTTATAACTATATGATATGCAAGCGGGGGCATCATCTGTGTCCACATGTGGACACTATCCACATTTATTTAATTCATTTCCTGAACTTAACACAAAAAAGGTTGATTTAAAATTGAACAACCTTGTATATTGAACCATCAAGCATTTTTTGTACTTCAAGAATCAGTTTAACAAAATATATGCATACACTTTCTTTTAAAAATAAAATATTTCAGATAATTTTGTGAACTTTTTTATTTTTCAAAGTGGTTATAAAATAGGAATGAATCATTACAGGGTTGTTTGTGTAGGAGGTGATGGTATGTTCTCTGAGTTACTAAATGGTCTGTGTGAAAGAAAATTAAAAGAGGCAGACCTTGAACAAACACAGGAACAAAATCCTTTACCACCTGATATAAGAATTGGAATTATACCAGCAGGTAAGAATGCAGACACAAACTTTCTTCCTCAAAATCAGCAATAAAACTTATGAAAATGATAAAAATGAATAGAAGGAAATAATGGGTAATGGTCAATGAGACGGCAACCTAACAACACAATAAAACCAACAATATCTAGGGTAAACAAATAGCAAACATCAAAAGAGAGATGTCTATGCAATAGATCAAGCTCTAGACCTCCAGAGTCTTGAAACATAGTGAATAAGTCATGCTTTTATTGTATTTTCCAATTTGGATAGAATTTTATTTAAATGTTTCAGAAATAATGCAACAAAAGTCCACATAACTTTTACAGTTAAAAAGCTACATAAGGTTAACAGGGCTTTTTACATGATACATATTAACAGATTACTATGTCCAACTTTTTACTGTTTCAAGATCAATTCTGTCTTTATAGATTTAGGTTGTGAAATATTGTGAGGTCACTTTTCTATTATTAAAAACCATATATGTTAACCTCAATACATCTTTTTGTTTTTGTTTTATTTTTAGGTTTCTGTCTGATTGACTTATTATTACCAAGATCTCTTTCTATTGATATTGCATCATGTATATAAATACATACAGAAAAAAAAGACATGTTATGCATACAATAAAACGAATAAAAAGTATAAACTAAATATCTTACTGAACAATCGATCTGAAATATTCAGTTACATGATTTTAGACTGAAGAACTGGGTGACTGTATGAAGCAGTGCCAAAGCAATTACATTTTTCTAATGTTGTAAATTTTGGTAGTATTATATTTTCTTTTCTTTATAAAACAGGATCAACAGACTGTATAGTTTATACCACTGCAGGAACAAATGATCCTGTTACTTCAGCATTACATATTATACTAGGTAGGTTATTGTTGTTACAAAAATGGTATGCATACATAAGATTCTTTTATAATATTTCTGATTGATCTTATTTTAGGTTTAAAAAAAATTAGTGCACAAACAGGCTCATACAATATTTATTATTACCTAAGAAGATGGATAGTATGAGAATGCTTGCTTTGATATAAATCAATCTTCAGAGTTTTACAAGGCCTGAATAGACCCAAAGTCATAATTGAAAAGTCAAGCTCATATTTTATGCATTTCAACTTAATATTGTGTGTGCAGGGCAGGGTTGGCAAAAACCCGGATTCTATGAGTATTGCCCAGCTGGAAAAACCCGGGTTTTACTGGGTTTTACCAGGTAATACTGGGCAATACTGGGTAATAAGAAATACTGGCCTGAATTTTAAAGAGGATTCAGAGATTTATCACAAATGCAATACATTAAAGTCTAAGAATTCAATTTGGTTTTTTTAATAAATATAACTAATATTAAGAATTAACAATTCTATGTAAGGAAAATAACTTTTAAACATTTTTGTTCATTACTAAAAATGTTTACTAAGTTTTAGCATATGTTTATGTACATCACTAATTAATAAGTAATTATTCAGATTATAATACAGATTTGTATATATAACAATAGTCAGCCTTTTGATTTCTGTAAGTGTTCATGGCCTGTCCCCTAAAGGTGTTTATTTAGCAATATGATTGTATAACAATTAAATTTACAATTCACTTAAACACTGCAATAAAATGCATTTTTTCAACTTGGATTTAATATTGAAACAAAGCTTGGAAATTAAAAAGGTATCCTGAAATATTCAAAACTAGTATTCTGCCTACATAGAATTAGTGGAGAAAATGAAGAAATTGAATTTTCAATCTTCAGGAATGACTCTCAATTGTTATCTGTATAAAATGTATATATTTAGCTATAATACTATTAAACTACAACAAGTCTGTACTATTTTGTGTAAAAATAATCTTGAAAAATCATATCCAGTATTGCCCAGTATTACCCGTTTTTAGGAGTATTGCCCAGCCCGGGAAATCCCGGGTTTTCCCACCCGGGATTTTCCCGCCCAGGTAATACTTTGCCAACCCTGGTGCAGGGCTCACACTACTTCAGAATCATAGGGAGAAGTGCTCATTCGCTCGCGGCGCTACAATGTTTGGTTTTTCCTATAATACAAAGAGCCATATGAATCATTTTTATACGACCTCAAAAATTTTTTGCGGTCGTATATTGGTATGACGATGGCGTCGTTGTCGTCGTCCGAAGACACATTGGTTTTCGCACTATAACTTTAGTTTAAGTGAATGGATCTCTATGAAATTTTACCATAAGGTTAAATACCACAAAAGGAAGGTTGGGATTGATTTTGGGAGTTATGGTACCAACAGTTAAGGAATTAGGGGCCAAAAAGGGGCCAAAAATAAGCATTTTCTTGTTTCCAGACAATAACTTCTGGAACGGTGTATGGATCTCTCTGAAATTATACCACAAGTTTCCATACCACAATGGGATGGTTAGGATTTGCTTTGGGGGTTTATGGCTCAAGCCGTTTAGGAATTAGGGGCAAAAAAGGGGGAAAAACAAGGTTGTCCTGGTTAATGGACAAATACTGTAGTACAAAACATAATTTAAAACAGTGTAAGGGAGGTAATCCAAATACAATGTTTTGATTACTTCCCTTACACTGCTTTTAAATTATGTTTAAAGAAATGCATATTTATAAAGAAAGACCAGTAAAAATATCTGCAAATGTTGCATCTTTTTTTTTACAAAAAAATCAATATGAAAGATTTGACACCATATTTTAAATTCTATTATAAAATAGATTAAGTAAGCTCTATGGTAAATTTAAATGGGTAATTATGGTTGCAAATTCCATTGGAAATTTGAATTGAGATTATGACCATATCTTGAGGGAAAGAATTTTTTGGGGGAAAAAGGGGGGGGGGGGGGGTCAATTTTTTTCTCATTTCAGATTTCAGAAATTAAAAAGACTTATTCTTCAAATATTATTTTTTTTTCAAATTTCAAATATTTAAAAATTTCAAGAAGTAATCTTTAATTGCACAGTATGGCGCATTAGATTTATAAAATCTTTGACCACATTTATTTATGTGTTATGCCGAATCTAACCGTGTATTTAGATTTTTAATTTTGGGTCCAGTTTTCAAATTGGTCTACATTAAGGTCCAAAGGGTCCAAAATGAAACTTAGTTTGATTTAAACAAAAATTGAATATATGGGGTTCTTTGATATGCTGAATCTAAACATGTATTTAGATTTTTGATTTTTGGCCCAGTTTTCAAGTTGGTCCAAATTGGGGTCCAAAATTAAACTTTGTTTGATTTCAACAAAAATTGAATATATGGGGTTCTTTGATATGCTGAATCTAACCATGTATTTAGATTTTTTATTTGTGGGCCCTGCTATCAAATTGGTTCATATTGAGGTCAAAAGGGTTCAAAATTAAACTTTGTTTGATTTCATCAAAAATTGAATTATTGGGGTTCTTTGATATGCCAAATCTAACCGTGTATTTAGATTTTTAATTTTGGGTCCCGTTTTTTAAATTGGTCTACATTAAGGTCCAAAGGGTCCAAAATTAAACTTAGTTTGATTTTAACAAAAATTGAATTCTTAGGGTTCTTTGATATGCTGAATCTAAACATGTGTTTAGATTTTTGATTATGGGCCCAGTTTAGTTGGTCCAAGTTGGGGTCCTAAATTAAACTTTGTTTGATTTCAACAAAAAATGAATATAAGGGGTTCTTTGATATGCTGAATCTAACCATGTAGTTTGATTTTTTGGCCCCGTTATCAAATTGGTCCACATTGAGGTCAAAAGGGTCCAAAATTAAACTTTGTTTGATTTCATCCAAAATTGTATTCTTTGGATTCTTTGATATGCTGAATCTAACCATGTATTTAGATTTTGGATATTGGACCATAATAGGTAAATTAAAAAAAATTAAGTTCTTAGATCACATTCATTCTGTGTCAGAAACCTATGCTGTGTCAAATATTTAATCACAATCCAAATTCAGAGCTGTATCAAGCTTGAATGTTGTGTCCATACTTGCCCCAACTGTTCAGGGTTTGACCTCTGCGGTCGTATCAAGCTGCGCCCAGCGGAGCATTTTATTTTTATATTGTTCAATTTGTACCTGGGTATACAATTAAAGTAACAGTTCAAATTCAAAGTTGTTTAATTTTATCATATCTAGTTGCACAATCATATTAGTCCTCTTGTCAGAAAAAAACAATTAAATATCTGGCAATAATAAAAAAGATTTTTTTTTATATCAAAAAGGAAAAGAAAGTTGTTATATCAATTAAAATTCAATTAAAAACGACTCTGTTATCATGTTAATGAAATTAAGTATTTCTCATTAAATGATATTTAAATTTAACAGTTTTATTTAACACAGTTAAGCTTGGACATAATATAATTATATTAGTGTAATAGTCCCAGAGTTGAGCAACTTTAATTTATAAATTGAAACAATGAATATACATGGAAATATATACATTAATCAAGTAGATCTTACCAAAAGTATGTTAATGCTTGTGGAATGCATAATTTTTGTCTTGCCTTGACGGAGTGAAAAAGCGAGACATAGGTATGCTGTTTCCGGCGACGGCGGTGGCGGCGGCGTCAACAATGTATTTGTTTGTTATTAGGTCTAGTTCATGGTGAACCACTAGTGGTAGGTCAATTATATTTGGTATGCAGTTGTATTAGCATTGGCACATCTCATTACCATAGAGATTATTTGGCCCTGCCCCTTCAGTCAAGGTCTATTGACTTTGAAACTTTTCATAGTTTACATGTATAAGTTTGTGATTAGGTCAATTTATAGGGAACCACTAGTGGTAGGTCAATGATATTTGGTATGCAGTTGTATAAGCATTGGCATATCTCATTTCCATGGAGATTATTTGGTTCCACCCCCTTAGTCATGGTCTATAGACTTTGAAAATTTTGCTAAGTTAACATGTATTAGTTTGTGATTAGGTCAGTTCAAGGGGAACCATTAGTGGTAGGCCAATGTTAATTGGTGTTCAGTTGTATAAGCATTAGCACATCTCATTTCCATGGAGAATATTTGGCCCGCCCCCTCAGTCATGGTCTATTTACTTTCAAACTTTTGCTTAGTTTACATGTATTAGTTTGATTAGATCAGTTTAAGATGAACTGCTAATGTTAAGTCAATGATATTTGGTATGCAAATTTATTGGCATTTGCAAGTATCGTTTCCATGGAGATTATATAGCCCCACCCCTGATCATGGTTCATTGACAGTGTTCTCCCCAGGCCGTTTTAGCGTCGCGGTACCGCGACGCTATATTTTTTCCTGTGATGCTATAATAATTTCCGCGATGCTATAATTATTTTGAGGATGCTATTTTTCTTGTTTCTATATCCAAAATCCATGTCCTAAATTTTGAACTTTCATCTAATTACCGCGTATGATCATAAAAATTATATCACCTTTAAGTGTAATCCCTTCAAATCGGACAATAGAGGCATTTAAGAGTGATTAAATAGGTGTTAATTACCCTTTGGGTGATAACTGTTTGGATACGAATACCCCAAGCTGACACTTGTGACATGATTAATACCACGTGGTCTGTCTGCAATCGCAAATTAAGACATGGAAAAAATGTAATCATAAAACAATTCGAAATCTACGTTTTGTATTACGGAAATTCAAAGATACAAACGATTTTTCTCTTTATAAATGAGGTTTGGTCGTTTATTTTGACAACTTTCATAAAATTACTTTCTTTCTCTTCCGCCGGTACTACTTGTTAATCGAGAGCGAACATATCGGTTTTGGGCGAAATAAGTTGGCTTAAGTTTATGTTTCATCCATTTAATACATCAAAAGCGTCACATTCTTTCCCAATCTCTTGTCAAACATTGTTTATTTTCGTTAATTTTTCTTCGGCCGCCATTGACTACTTTTGTGTAAACTACCGATCGGAACCGGACCAGATATGACAAAAATCCGCATTTTTACGATAATAACTACAGATGCACAAATGGCACAGCAGACAGAAAAAAATATACCAAAAAGAGAAAACTATGCATTAACAGACTATTTGTTAGATAACTTTGTTAAAAATATCTATCACCTTGATATAAAGAAACAACTGGGACTAATTCATTGAGTACCATGAAACAATGAATTTTTAGACATGAAAATTTTTTTTTAATTGAAATTTTATTGCTTTATGATACTTTCTCTTTTTTTACTTGATATTTAGTATTGTATATATATAAAGGTTGCACTATAAAAACCATTCACTCATTCATTTAGTTGGGTAGGTAGGGTAACTAGAACCAGAGACATATATTGTATTATATGTCTCTGCTAGAACCACACATATATTGTTATATGGCCCAAGAGGAAAACAATAATTCTGTACAGTAACTATAAATGAATATAGAAAACATAAACTGAAACAACTGTTATCATGGTTATATTTTAATTGTATTCTCAGTTATGAATTGAACAATATAAACATATATACCATAAAGGAAATAGAGCATCACCGCGACGCGACAAATGACATTGAAAAAATACAGTTTATTTTTTTATGCCAAATGTGATGCTATCCAAAATATCTGGTGAGAACACTGATTGACTTTGAAACTTTTACATAGTTTACAAGTTAATGTTTGTGTTTAGGTTTGTTAAAAGGGAATGACTTATAATAAGTCAATGGTATTTGGTATGCAGTTGTATTAGCATTGGCACATCTCATTCCATGGAGATTGTTTAGCCATGTACCTTCAGTCATGGTTCATCGACTTTGAATATTTGCATAACTTACATGTTAAAGTATTGCTATTTTAATTTCAACATTTGCATTATCAAAATTACAAAAAGGTGAGACATATCTCTGTGATTCCTTTTGAGATCAATTTTCTTCTGTCAGCTGTGCCATTCATGCGTCCGTAGTCATTATCGCATGAATCCGGATTTCGGTCATAGCTGGTCGGTTTCCTATGAAATCCCGACTCCGATCCGTAGTTGTACAATAATTTGTCCAAAAATTTCAATGGCGGACGAAGAAAATTTACAAAAATAAACGATGTTTGACACGGTATTTGGAAGGGAATATGACGTTTTTAATGCAATATAAGGATAACAAATTTACTTCAGGCAAATTTCATCACGTTCTTATGAAGTAACAAGCTTATTTTGCTGAAAGTTTGAATGATTTGATGTACGCTCTCGAGTAAGAAGTACCGGAAGTGATAAAAAAATTGTCTTTATGAAAATAACATGAACCAATTTTAAAATCAATGCTTTAACCTCTTTTCTAAAGAAAATAAATCGTTTATGTCTTTGAATTTCTTTACTTTCAAATGAAAAATTGCTGTTTCATCAACTTGGTAAATGTTGAATATTGCCGATGACGAAAGCGACTAAAAGCGAGTATCATGAACAACAGGGCGACTAGATTTCGCTTTTGACGTTCGGGCAAAGCGAAGTGACGGACGGGAAAGCGACTTTGTCGCCCCAGTCGCCTGCTAGCATGAGCCCTGGAGTGTGCCATATCTTTGTACTGCATGCTTGTATTTATTCCCTTCTCACAGTTTTTGCCATGTGTTCCAAGGGTAGTGAGACCTTGTCTTAATATTCACTTTTAAACAGTCATGGTCATTTCGATACAAGCGTTGTAATAGTTTAAGTCTATATCTTTGTAGAGTCTTGTTGGGTCAACTTGATTTATTGGAGTGTATTTGTGTATTTTGCATGATATAAACAAGTGTTTCAGCAAACAGAAAGATGACTTGATAAGAATGGGTCAAACTTATCAAAGTCAGTTCATTCATTATGACATTGGTGATGTGTCCAGGTCAAAGTTATTAAAGCCAGGTTAAGGTACTTGACGTCACAAAGCCGTGATATATAATTTGATGAAGAGCTGAATAGAGTGATGCAGACAGTGGGAACACCGATAAAAGGTCATATCTGGAAGATTAAGGTCACAGTTAGTAATTATAAAAATCATTTCAGATTGAAACCTGAAGCAGGATTTTCTTTCATTGATTCCTTCTAGTTTTAAGTCTGTGAAAACTAGAAAATTTTGCCTTGATCAGCAAACACTATTTTATGTTATTCTTCTTCAATGATTTATTGTTATCTCCTGATTAGATAGGCTGTATTGTCAGAGTGGTCAGTGGCCAGTAGTGGTAGAGGTATTAGAGGACAATTATGGTTTTGATAGATTGGTAAAGATACGTCATGTGATTAGTAGATATTTAATGTAACAAGTAACATGTATCCTTATCTATATTTTCAGGTGACAATGTAGGTTTAGATGTCTGTTCAATATACTCAAATGATAAATTTCAACGTTACAGTGTCTCAATGTTAGCATATGGTTACTATGGTGATATTTTGTTAGATAGCGAAAAAAATCGATGGATGGGACCAAAAAGATATCATGTTGCAGGTAAACACTAATTTCACTTGCATTTCATCTGTTTCAAAGTGAACTGTCAAACTTAATTTTTGTATAAATATGGAGAATCTGGAACATTCATTTGACAGAAGCATCACAGTCTTACTTATACCCAAGCTTGAGGAAAGCTTCACACATACTACACATATATTGCTGTAAAAAAAGAGGAGATACCAAGGGAGCAATCAAAAATCATAATTTCAAAACCATGGCCAAAAAGAAAAACGATAACAATGACAAAATACTTCACAGAAATCTACAGTTTTTACTATGAACCATCATTCAAGTGAGGGATAGAAGCTTATTGTTATAGTTTCATAATTTTGAATTTTGCCTTAAGAGTATGCAGTACTAATTGTTAAACAATTTGTCTTTGGAAGATGGCAATTACAAACCCAACTAATTTTACTGCTTCAAGTTTTCATGGCTGTTTTGGAAATAACATGAATATTATTTGATTGTTACAGGTGCCAAAAAATTTCTTGGAAATAAGGCTTACCATGGAGAAGTCACATTTAGATTATCTTCAGACTCGGATAGTAATCCAAGAGATAAAAAGAAATGTTTAAATGAGTAAGATATGATAAATACATTGTTGAGAAAGGGGTCAATTTCATAAAAATGTGCATGAACAGAAATCCTAATATTATTTCAATTACTACTGAAAGACAAAACAGTAGAAATAAGTCATATTGTATATTTTTTCCTCTTTTCCACTTTATTCTGATCCATTATTATTTTGTTACCCATACACTCTTATTAAGTATTGATATGTGCAATATTAAGACAAGAGAGACATGTGATCATCAACCTAAGTAGTGATAAGGACTTTTGAAAAAAGAACATACTCAGAACTTGATCCAAGATAAGCCTATAGCTTGCTCATCGTTACTCTGCTATTGCTTCTTTAAGAAGCCTTCTTATTGATTTTTGGATGCCCCTTAAAATGCTTTTGTAAATTGCTTATAAATTTTCTTTAGAAAACATTGCATCGTAGTAATAAACAATTTAATAAAAGTAGTTTTTTTAAGCTTTTAAAACTGTTATAATTTTGTGAAAACTTAGCTATATCTCTGTTTGACAGGCACAGGTGAGGTAGTATGCTCTTTTTTTGAGCTCAAGAATTTTGTATGCCTTTCAAAAAATTTTAGGCTGTAAAAAGTGATATGTATCAATGATGATTTTATATAAATTCATTGACATTATGATGATATTTCACATTTCTGATACATGATCAATAACCATTTTTTGCAGGTGTAATACTTGTTGTCTGGCTGGTTCCAGGGCAGTGGATAAGCACTCCAAGATGAATGATGGTATAATATTTTGTAGAAATTAGATAATTATTAACCTACCTTAGTTCTATAGGTGTCTAAGTTTATATTATACATTTTGAGCCATTTGGAGTTCGATGATGGTACTGGATATGAATGTTACCAATCATTAATGAGGGGTTACACATTAAGTTCAAATGTCCACCTACAAGTCCTAGATCACAGATTTGACTTTAGATTTAAAATCATATGGCCACAAAATAATTTCTGGCATATTACTTAAGTCTTATTAGATATTGATAATACTTTTTTTTTAAATGATTTTCAGCACCTCAAAAGATGTATTTTGAATAAGGTTGCATTAAGACAAAGTGACAAACCAAGCTCATTTGAGGGATATTTATAATTATAAACAATCCTAGATGAATGACGGTAAATCAGTTGTTTATGGTATATAACTTTTTAATCCCTTTAAGTACTTTGATGCTTGTTATAAAAGAGGGGCGAAAGATACCAGAGAGCAGTCACACTCATAGATCGAAAACAAACCGACAAGGCCATGGTTAAAAAATAAAAAGACAAACAGACAAATAATAGTACACAAGACACAACATAGAAGACTAAAGACTAAGCAACACGAACCCCACCAAAAACTGGGGGTCATCTCAGGTGCTCTTGAAGGGTAAGCAGAATCTGCTCCACATGTGGCACCCGTCATGTTGCTCATGTTATTACAAATCCGGTAAATAGTCTAATTCGGTAGGTCACATTCGTGGTGAAAAAGGAAGTGGATTGTAATTACGACATAAGGAACCTTGACTTCATTAGATGGATATTCTCTACTATATATACTTTAGTGGACAGGAATAATCTTACCAAATATCACAGGTATTTTGAAGTGGTTCAAAAGTTATACTGTTGAAATGAAACCTGTTCACATTGTCTAATATAGAAACTATGATTAAGATGTTGACTCTAGGTAAATACTCAAATCTTGTAATCTTACTGTAGAGATTGGGAACAACAGTAAAATCCATCATTACTCTACTGTATTATGGTTCTATATGTATACCATTTTCACTTCTAAAGTTTTTATGTGATAAATCTATACCGTAGCAATACCTCATGAAACCTAGGAAACATGTTTTATGTTATTGTCATTACACTAAATCTGTTAGATGTGTACTGATTGGTACTTTAGTCTGGGAGAACATAATTTATTTACTAGTAGTTATTGACATTGAACTAGCTTTCAGTAAATGTGAGTTTTCTTAGATCAGTACTTTGTGTCTTTTGTCTTTATGTTAATTGTTTTTTTGTGATCTGTGCTGATCTGATGAGTCAAACCATTTCCAACTGATTTTAACAGTTTGTTCTTATGATGTGCTGTTACACCATTGTCACTGGTTAATGGGAGTGTTGAGAGCTCACAAACATGTTTAACCCCACCACATTCTATATGTGCCTGTCCCAAGTCCCTGTAATTCAGTGGTTTTCATTTGATGCTGTCTGTCATATTTGTTTTTCGTTTATTGTTTTGTCATAAATGCAGCTTTTTTTTTGTATGAATTGTTTCACATTTTGTTATGTAGGGGCCTTTTGTAAATGACTGTGGTATGGTTAATTCTTATTGTTGAAGGCTGTACACTGACCTATAATTGCTTCAATCCACATTATTTGGACTCAATCGGATGGTTGTCTTATTGGCACTCATACCACATCTCCTTATTTTATATTAATACATGAATTGAGTGCAAAACTTTATAAATTTGTAAATATTTTAAATATTTGTTTCAGAATCAGATGGTGTACACAAGTTTAAGGGTAAATTTATGGCTATTTGTAGTTTTACAATGTCATGTGTTTGTGCGCTGACTCCTGCAGGTGCTTCACCTTACTGTCATTTAGGTGATGGAACAACTGATCTCATGCTGGTACAGGAATGCTCAAGGTTTAATTTTTTGAAACATTTGATGAGGGTGGCTGACAGAACAGCTGATCAGGTAACTTTAATATCAAATAGTACAACCTTCCTAATATTTTCGCCAAAATTATAGATATACCAGTAATTATAATTAGATTAAAAGAACAATAGGTATTTGTTAAGATGAGGTCTTTCTGTATAGATTTAACCAGTAAAATCTTAAACCCCTCCCCCTCCCTCCCCTCCCTACACGCAAGTTTTGAGCATGGAAGTATAGGAATCACCCTTTCTGTTCTTGAGTCTAACTGTCTTTCATCTGTCTGTCTGTCATCTATTTGTCCATGTTTTTATGCAGTTTTTGGCTTAACTCATTGAAAATATTAACGCTTCATGCTGATTTTTTTGATAGATACTCACCATCCATTGGCCAGCTGTTTGTGCAAAAAAGGTTCCACCTTAACTTGAGTACAATTCTTGCCAAATTTTTATAAAACTTATATCATAGGTTTATATCAGCAATGTTTAAGACAAGTTTTAAAATCAGTGGCAATGAATTACTTTTAAAAGAGTTATGCCCCTTGGAAATATTAGTTTTATTGAAAATTGCATTATTAGCGCTCTCAAGTGTAAAATTCTGACACTTATATCATAGGTTTATATTAGTAATGTCTCGGACATGTGTGAAAATCAGTGCTAATCAATTATTTTAAAAGAGTTATGAACCTTGGAAATTTATATTGAAAATTGCATTGTAAGTGCTCTCATGTGTTTAATTCTTGCCAGATTGTTAAGAAATTTATATCAGCAATGTCTTTGACAAGTTCTAAAATCAGTGCTGATCAATTTTAATGTCCCGCCATAGGCAATGGGGGCATTAAGTGTTACCCTTGACGTCCGTCTTTCCCTCCGTCCTTCCATCCATCCCATTTTTGTTTCCGCAGTCTAACTTAAGTTTTCCTCATCCAAATTTTATGAAACTCATACAAATGCTAAGAACCCAAACATGCAGACAGAGTATAAATTTGGGCAGTGAGTCACTTGCCATTCTAGAGTAATGCCCCTTTATAACTTGGAAAATTGAAAAGCTTGAGTGGGGGCATTTGTGTCCATGACACATTTTTCTTTAATTTTTAAAGAGTTATGCCTCTTGGAAATATTGATTATATGGGAAGTTGCATTTTTAGTGCTCTCATATGTACAATTCTTGCCAGATATTTATTAAAATTAATATCAAATGTTTATATTGGCAAAGTCTCACAAAAAAAAATTTGAAAATCAGTGCCCATCAGGCCTGAGAAAGTTATTTCGTAGTGCATTTCTTTTAGACAAAAAACGCAAATTCAAAAAACAGCACCCGCTCTATCCAAAAAAGATTGTTACAATGTAGTGTACTACTTTTGGGACAAATTATATCAAAATTATAGAAAAGTCTATTGGCTCTAACTCAAAATATGGACAATTTTATGTTAACGGGGTCTGTAATTCAGTTTGACAGCTTCAGGCATGGTAATTTGTGACCTTTTCAAACTGGACCAAATCACTACTTTACCTAACAATTCATGCCCCAAATTTTGTATGCCCCCGCCGAAGCGAAGGGGCATTAAGTTTTACCCTTGTCCGTACGTCCCTAAGTTGGTTTCCGTTCTCTAACTTTAGTTTGCCTAAACCAAATGTTATGAAACTTTTTGAATTTTGGTGGCGTCACTTTTACCGTTCTAGAGTTATGCCCCTTTACAAATGGAAAAATTGCTGAATTTTTCGTTTCCGTTCTTTAACTTTAGTTTACCTCAACCAAATATTATGAAACTTATACACAATGCTTATTACCACAAAACACAGATCAAATTTGAATTTTGGTGGCGTCACTTTAACGGACCTTTAACAATTTTTAAAAGAATTCAGTTCCTTGGAAATATTAATTGTATGGAAAATTGCCTTTTTAGAGATTTCAAACCTTCATTTCTCTAAGATATTTATAAAAAGTCTTAAAGAATTTTTTTTTAGTTATTGTCCTTGGACAGATAAAATATTTGCATCGTGGGGAACAATGGAACTCTGTTCTTTTATTATATTTTGTATAACTATTACTACCTCAAGTTGGTATTTTTAAAACCTATCTGTATTCAAAATGATATACATTGTAATGTATTACCAATGATTTCTCAAATTAGATAGGTGGGAGATAACTGTGTCATCAACTGTACTAGTGCACGTTCAATTTAACATTTGAGTGTTTCTAAAAAATAAATCTATAATTTGTAATATCCTGTAGTTGTAGTCTACTCCATAGTCACTTACCTAAAGATGTACTATCACTAAAATATCCTATGTCTTAAAACCCCTAAACATTATGTATTTATTATAATTTGATCGTATTTTGTCATTACAGTTTGATTTTGACTTCATTAAAATTTACCGAGTGAAAGAATTTAGTTTTCGTCCCTTTCCTGAACATGAAGAAGAACAAAAGGAGGATACAGCATCAGGAGGAATTAAACATTCCAAACTTCCCTCATCTAGAATGAAGACAAGTGTATGGAATTGTGATGGTGAAGTTATAGCACACCCTTCATTACAAGTCAGGTCAGATTATAATCATACAGTTCTATTAGATAAAATAAATGGAATTAATTTTCTGTTGTCATGATGTTCTAATTTGTAGTCGTAAATATCCTTTTTCTACACTTTTTCTCTGTAATGCCAGAATCAATTGGTTAATATTGTGGTATTTAGTCACATCATAAAAAGTAACAAGATTTAGCTATGTTCAAATTGACTGATTTTTGCAGAAGTTGTTGCTCTTGGACAAAGAAAACTTCTAGAAAATATTAGTATTACCCACATTTTGACTTTTGTGCTGGAATAAGTTGATTACTATTTGGAATATAGTCATGTCATTAGAAGTTACAGATCAAGATTGAGTTTTTTCCTGGTTAAAGATTTAAATAGAAGTTCATATGGTTCTTGGACATAGAAAAGATCAGTGACTGCACCTTGTGATTTACCATGCCTACAATAGAAGCTGGGATTATGTTTTCGGGTCTATGCATTCATCCATTAGTATGTTTGTCTGTCCTGTATCATGTTAAAGTTTTGGTTTATTTAAGGTAATTTACCATAAAGTTATTATCATATCTAATACAAACTTAGTACATATGTTTGTTATGATATAAACTTTTTAGAATACATGCCAAATTAGGGCTTTTACTGAGATTTGACTGTTCACTGAACATACACAGTTGGTGGTGTGAGTGGGGCATGGTTCCCTATGGACATATATTCTTGTTTTGTAATGCCTGTATCAAATCAATTAGATATTTTTTTTAAAGTCGTATCATATGAAGTGACCACACAATATTGAGTCACGTTCCGGTTGAGTGATTTTGCTGAAGTTTTGTCCCTATAACATAGAAACAGCAAAATCAAACAAGTTTAATAGCAAATACTTATTATTTAACCTGCAAAAAAATTAAGTCATTGTTGATAAAAGAAATTGACACCAATTTTTTAATTTTTTCAGAGTACATTGTCAGCTTGTAAAGCTATTTGGACGAGGTATAGAAGTGATGGAATCAAAACATATGTGTACTTGTTGTTGTTCTCTAGGAGAATTACCACCAGATACTCCATGATATACACCAACATATACACAAGAATAGTATACATAGTATACATCCATGCCAAACAGTTAAAAATCATCAGTGATATGCAGGACATATTAAGTCCCAAAAAATGTTTTAAAATACAACTATGGATATTTTTATGACATAGTTTGTGGAAAAAATTACTTTGTTAAATTATTTCTAAGGTAGTAATTATGTTAATCAAGAAAAAGTTTTAAAAAGAAAAATCTGTCATCTTTGTTTGAAGGTGCTTTTTATGTTGTTAATAAATGACAGTATACTAGAAGACATGAAAGGATGAAAATGTGTATTTAAGATTAAGGTTTTTTTGGGTAAAGACAGTAAATCTTATGCTTTCAAGCCTTTCATGTTATAAATATTTTCTTTAATTCAACTATGACAAGTTTGACTTTATACTGGATGTCATTTTCAACAACAATGTGCATACATAATCACTTTTTAGATTCTCAAACCCAGCCACCATTAATTTACTTTCCAAAGTTTTAAACTTATTACTTGCAAATATTCAAATTCTTACACTTGTGACTATTTTCTTTAAATGATAAGCATGCAAAGGTCCAGAATTTGGTGATTTTAACATTAAAGTGTTAGGTATAAACAAGTAGATGTCCTTAAAAAAAAAATGCTGTTAAATCAGCTCTAAAAATCTTTAATAGGCAGAAAAGTCTATAGATACCAAAAAAATAGTACACATGAGAGATTCCTGATATTTTGGAGCAGCTGTCTAATCCTATTTGTATAGTAGCATGGTTAAGCCTTCCACCTTTACACAAATATCTGCACCTGGTTTTTTTACCTTTTTTTTAACTGAAAAGTATCGCCACTGGAAATTTTTGTAAGAAAATACTATTATTTATATTTCCAATATGTCTTATGTATTAGAGATGTTGTTTTATTCTTATTTATCCTATACCCTTAAGTTCTTTACCCCAAAAGTTATCGTCAGTTTAGTATTGGTTGATGAAATAAACTTTAAATGTGATGAGAATAGTCACAAGGGTAAAAACAAATTAGATTATATGAAATTAAATATCTTTTAAGAAATTTACATGTAAACAGTTCTTCAAAATAGTTGATGACATTACTGTTAAATCAAATAAATTTGTAAAAAAAGTTTACCATTAATTTCTTTGATCCATTGGTCATTATATAAACCCTTTTATTGTATCTGTGTTTCTATTTAAGTAAGAACAAACCACCAAAACTAACTGTAAAAACCAAATACTTGCAATTATGAAGAGAACATAAGTAGCCATTTAAAAGTGTAGGAACAAATGGTAGATAGTAAATGAAAATTTTAATAATCCATTTAGATGTGTTTCATTTTTTTTTCAATGTTTTAAGGACAATTACTCATATCATTAAGTACTAATAAAAAACATTGATTGAATGGTAGATTCTTTAATCAGTGGCCTTTTTTTTTTAATTCATGTCCAGTCTTCTAGTACATCAAGTAAAGCACTGATCTTATTGTCAGGTGAGAATTGAGAATGTACAGGTAAATATTAATTTTTAAATCCAAACTCATGATTTGTTATGTTTTAAATAATCCGTAGATATGCCAAAGCATATGTTGTATGCTTGTTTATATATTGAATTTTATTTGGAATCTAATGGTGGGAAAATTTGATGAATATGTTAGATTAATGAATTCAATTCTTGCACATTTTTTAGTTGGAATTTACTAACAAAAATTCATATGTGAGTAAAATTTATATTGATGATAAACATGTTGCATTATTTGCATCAATGAAAACATCAAATTATTTTCTAAATTACAATTTTCCCATTATACTGATTACATCAGAACACAGATGTACAAGTTTGTTATTAGACATGTATATATTTGTTGTCGTTGAAATGTATGGATCTGGTATCATATAGTATGTTATCTTATAGAGAAAAGGCTGTGATATTTTTTTATGTTCAGATTGTATACATTTTTTTTTAATATCCATGTAAATAATGACTCCGTATTTAATTTGATTACAATATTTGTGATAAGCTGTGAGTTGAAGAGTATGCTGATGTCCCATGAAACTTTCTAACAGAGAACAAAGATGTTGCCTCAATCCCCATCTGTCTGAAACAAAACATTTTCAAATAAAAGCAAAAATTTTAAAATAGCTATGGAGGAACCCTTCTACTTTTGTATGATTATCATAAATCATATGTGGACTTCAGTTTTCATAATGAATAAAAAAAGAAATGCTAAGAAAATGAGGAAACTTTGTAAAATTAACCAGGGAAAAATTATTTGAATATTACATAATGTGATAACTTCTATGGTGTTTGGGTGCTTAAGAAATGCTATTTATTTAACTTTATTTCTTTTTTTGCTGATGACAAAGTTCATTTTGCTGTCTTTTTCCTTTGTCATATCCTGTGGATTCATTCATTTTTCATAGTTATCAATTTCCATGAAATGACAATGTAATTTTAACTTAAAATTAATTATGTTAAACATATCTATTTATGCCGTTTGTAACATAATGACCCTCAGTATATTCTGAGATGTTAAAAAAACGGTTAACATTTAAATTTTCATATTTTATTTTGATTTTCTTTATAATTGTATTCCCTATGATATTATTTAATCATTTCTGATACAAGTTTGATAAAATAACATACCTTCTATCAGGCTAAAAATGGTTTCTGAAATTGTAAACTGAGAGGTACCAATGACTCTACCGATTTATTTGGTATACGTAAAAATTTGGTAGAGGAATTTATTTGCAGTGCTGTTGTTTTCTGTCTGCAATAATAATGATTTTCATGCAATAGCTTTTATTCTTGTCAACTAATAATAACTGACTGATCTTTTCCATCCTCAGAAGGTTTTCAAAAGACGATTTTTGTCAAATCTTTTTCCAGCAAGAGGCAGAATAGATTAAAAAATAATGTTACTCTTATTATGATATGAAATATTTACCTGTAATCTCATTTTGATCTGAATGTGTATGAAATATTTGCCGATAGATGCTCAGCAAACAACAATCAATCAATCATTTCTATCTTTCCCCCTTTGTATTCCATGGTAAGTTTCAATCATGTAGTGTGGCAAAAAAACTGAGATGGATCTTTGATACTGCCTCAAAGATATGAATACCAAAACTAGTTTAAAAGTTAAAAAAAAGTATTTTTATTTTCAATCTAATATTTGTAATTAAATGCTCACTTTATATTTGAAATCTGATTTGACCAAGCTCTATAAGTGTGGAGAAATCATCAACTATTGATGGTAAGTCATGCTTTCTTGATATTGTTTGATTCTTTTTCTCCACTGTTTATCATTAGAATAGATTACAAAACAAACAGAAATCATGGGAAAATGTGTGTGAAAGCTGTCTCTCTGAAGAAGCTGAGTGAGACTGGAATATTTTAGTCCATAGCAACTTTGCTATAGTTGCAGCAACAGGATGAGAAGAGGGCTTAAATAGATAGATGCCAAATAAAGGAACCTTTTTTATGACCCCCGCAACAAAGTTTTCGGGGCAATATAGTTTTACCCTTACCTGTCATTTCATCATTCCACAACGAACAGTTATACTGACTTTTTTTTAAAACATTTTCACATATTGAGCTGATTTTTATACGACCGCAAAAATTAAAAAATTTTTGGTCGTATATTGGTATGACGTTGGCGTCGTCGTCGTCGTCGTCGTCGTCGTCGTCGTCGTCGTCGTCGTCGTCGTCTGGCGTCGTCCGGCGTCGTCCGAAGACACATTGGTTTTCGCACTCTAACTTTAGTTTAAGTGAATGGATCTCCATGAAATTTTACCATAAGGTTCAATACCACGAAAGGAAGGTTGGGATTGATTTTGGGGGTTATGGTACCAACAGTTAAGGAATTAGGGGCCAAAAAGGGGCCAAAAATAAGCATTTTTGTAACTTCCAGACAATAACTTGTGTGTAAGCGTATGGATCTCTCTGACATTGTACCACAAGGTTCCATATCACAAAGGGAAGGCTGTAATTGATTTTGGGGGTAATTGCCTCAAAATTTTAGGAATAAGGGGCCAAAAAAGGGGCAAAAAAGAAGCATTTTTCTAGTTTCATGACAATAACTTGTGTGTAAGTGTTTGGATATTTCTGAAATTGTACTACAAGGTTCCATATCACAAAGGGAAAGCTGGAATTGAGTTTGGGGGTAATTGCCCGAAACGTTTAGGAATTGGGGGCCAAAAAGGGGCCAAATTAAGCATTTTTCTAGTTTCCAGACAATAACTTGTGTTCAAGTGTATGGATCTCTCTGAAATTGTACTGCAAGGTACCATACCACAAAGGGAAGGCTGGGATTGAGATTGGGGGTGATGAATCATAAGGGGGTTCAAAAAATTTGGGGGGGGGGGGGATTTTTTTTCTTTTCTTTTTTTCCTTTTTTTTTTCTTTTAAAATTTTCCATTTTAAGTTGGTTATTTCTGATTTATATTTAAAAGCAAATAATAATGATATGGTATGTAGGAGATACACACCAAACAGGATGTGTAAATTATTATATAATAAGTATTGTGCAATAGCAAGAAATTTTCAATTGCACAGTATTGCACAATAGCAAGAAATCTTCAATTGCACAGTATTGCGCAATAGCAAGAAATCTTCAATTGCACAGTATTGCGCAACAGCAAGAAATATCCAATAGCACAATATTGCGCAATAGCAAGAAATTGTCAATTGTACAGTATTGCGCAATAGCAAGAAATATTCAATTGCACAGTATTGTGCAAAAGAAGATACTTCGTATAAATTGCTTATTTCTTGATCAATTTCAATGGGGTTTTATTCTTGAATTCTTGGGGTTCTTTAATATGCTGAATCTAACTGTGTATTAAGTTTTTGGATTTTGGGACCCGTTTTTTAATTGGTCCACTTTGAGGTCCAAAGGGTCCAAAATTTAACTTTGTTTGATTTCATCAAAAATTGAATTATTGGGGTTCTTTGATATGCCGAATCTAACCGTGTAATTAGATTCTTAATTTTTGGTTCCGTTTTCAAATTGGTCTACATTAAGGTCCAAAGGGTCCAAAATTATACTTAGTTTGATTTTAACAAAAATTGAATTTTTAGGGTTCTTTGATATGCTGAATCTAAACATGTATTTAGATTTTTGATTATGGGCCCAGTTTTCAAGTTGGTCCAAATCGGGGTCCAAAATTAAACTTTGTTTGATTTCAACAAAAATTGAATATATGGGGTTCTTTGATATGCTGAATCTAACCATGTATTTAGATTTTTGATTTTTGGGCCCCTTTATCAACTTTGTCCACATTGAGGTCAAAAGGGTCCAAAATTAAACTTTGTTTGATTTCATCAAAAATTGAATTCTTGGGGTTCTTTGATATGCTGAATTTAACCATGTATTTAGATTTTGGATATTGGACCATAATAGGTGAATGTCCAATTTAAAATTTTTAAGTTCTTAGACCACATTCATTCTGTGTCAGAAACCTATGCTGTGTCAAATATTTAATCACAATCCAAATTCAGAGCTGTATCAAGCTTGAATGTTGTGTCCATACTTGCCCCAACTGTTCAGGGTTCGACCTCTGCGGTCGTATCAAGCTGCGCCCTGCGGAGCATTTTATTAATATGTGAGTCAGTATATTCTGAGATGTTAAAAAAACGGTTAACATTTAAATTTTCATATTTTATTTTGATTTTCTTTATAATTGTATTCCCTATGATATTATTTAATCATTTCTGATACAAGTTTGATAAAATAACATACCTTCTATCAGGCTAAAAATGGTTTCTGAAATTGTAAACTGAGAGGTACCAATGACTGTACCAATTTATTTGGTATACGTAAAAATTTGGTAGAGGAATTTATTTGCATAGCAACTTTGCTATAGTTGCAGCAACAGGATGCGAAGAGGGCTTAAATAGATAGATGCCAAATAAAGGAATCTTTTTAATGACCCCGCAACAAAGTTTTCGGGGCAATATAGTTTTACCCTTACCCGTCATTTCATCATTCCACAACGAACAGTTATACTGACTTTTTTTTAAAACATTTTCACATATTGAGCTGATTTTTAGTATGTGAGTCTACTATGATGAGTTACATATTGAGCTTACGTCTGGTTCCGCTCCACTGATTTTTGCAGAAATTACTGGCTTTGGACAGTTATACAGACTTTCATTCTGAAATTTCCACTCCTAAAAATGGCTTTCAAGCTTTTTTTGCAAGGAGGGCCATTCGTGTCATTTTGACAAATCTAGTTATTTCATGTTGTACATGTACTTGGATGTGTTTTTTTATACTTTAAATTTTTCTGCAGAAAAAAAATGGAATTTGTATATCAGACTGGTTTGCTTTATGCAAATTGAGCTTTTCCATTTCTTGTCTGTATCGAGCATATTATGGTGTCAAGCACATAACTGTCCAAACTTGCTGTTAATTCCCAACTGTTTAGCATTCTTTATTGACATCATATTGTTTGTGTCCAAACACAGCAAAGAAAGTTTAAGGTGCTAACTGAAAGCCAACCCGTAATGAAATTACCCTGAATCAGTTATATTTTTTCTGATAACAGTTACTGAGAAAACATTATAAGTTTTACCTTTTAACTGATCCTTGGGGGAAATGAAAAAGTTGAAATAATTTTATGCCCCTTATCAGTATTTTTATAATGATGAAAAATGGAAGGTTTTTATTCAAATATGGAAACTTGACCCATTTATATTTAGTACACTGATATTCAGATGGATATTTTTTTTCCAGAATTTTTTATTTACCTCCGGTAATAAAACATGTTTAGGCTGTCACCGATATCTTGCAAGTTAACACATATGCCTTGATTTTCACATATGTCAAATTATTTCTTCTTTTAATTGCATTTTAATGTGTAATTTACCATTTTCCCAGTTTGATAATAGGCCAAGAAGAGTAATTCAGATAGAGAATTGTAGAATCTATGTATTTAATGCAACTTTTTTTATAGAATGCTTATTTATTCTGCTTTAATCAGGATATTAATCAAGGAATTGTTTCTTGATATAGGTAACAATGCAATTTAGTGACATTGTATGTCGTTGTTATTTTTTTTTTATTACATGTAACAGTAATAGATGTAATTATTTTTGTAATTGGTTATTTTTATGTAATTTATTTGCTAAGCTATGTTTAGGTTATACATTCCTGTGTTTAATAACATCACAGTACTGGTTTATCATGTAATTTTTTGTCATCCATTTTTTATGTAGAATTAGAAGTGAAATTTTTCAATGCAATTATTAACTGACAATGCAAAATTAACAGACAATGCAAAATCCATTAAGTATTTTAAATACCATAGATTAGAAAAAAATATGTACTAATCAATGCAATATGTTGTCTTACAGCACGTACTGACACAGTTAAATAAAGTTTTCTTTATAATATAAAACCAATGCAAATGTTTTGTACTAACTACTATAGATATTTTAATGCCCTAACACAGTATATTGCTTTTTTCATTGTGGGCTGTATTATGTATCAAGAATGCAGGTTGTTGACAAAGATAATTGTAATTACCCAGTATATTTTTTTTTTGACAAAAATGCCATGGAAAAATTTATCATATTCAAACATGCTTAAGGTAGCTGGGGTGTCTAAATGTTCGACGAGTTTTTTTTTCTTAAACTTCTGTGAAAGACTTCTAGGTCAATGCAGTTTAAAATTTTAATATAAAATCTTTTGAAATTAATGAAATCACAGCTATATTTAATTGGTTATGTAGGGATAACTATTTCTGTATTGAGGAAAGAATAAACGATAGAATTGGTTAATATTCAATGAGAGAATTGCTTTTCATAAATACTTCCGAATTGAAAAAAAACCCAAAAAACAAATATCAATTATCTGCCCTTGATTTTAAAAGGATTTTTTCTAAAAATTTAAATACAGTCAATGGCACTTAATTTTTTTGATAATTTAATCCTTAAATTTCAAAATTTAGATGTTTTGTTTTATATATTGAATGATAGTTGGTAAAATATTTTTAAACCAAAAAAGTATTTTTGCAACATGCCCAGAAGGAATACTCAGAAAAAGACACCCAATCTACCTTGAATGGTATTATGAATAGCAAAAGTAACCTTTCCATTCGAATAAAAAATTCTGTTCATTTAAATATTTCCATGAAAATGTAGCACTTTGTCATTCTTAAAGTTGTATGAATGTGCCTGCATACTGTTAGAAATAGTCTATTTGGAAAACAAAAGATTATGCACAGAAAATATTGAATTAATGATAGGAAAAACTAAGTTGTAATGTATTAAGCTGAAGCAGTCATATCAGCTTTTCTTTCTGGTATATTATACTGCTTGCAAAGTATCTTAAATCTTCATTTACAAGCTTAATTTGTGTGGGCTTTACATATCTTTTGTTTCTTATGTTTTTTTTTGTCTTGATGTTTATTGTTGGTGTATGCTATTACAATTGTGAAGAGCTGAATAAAACAAATTTAAAAGTTAAATGCATTTTTATTGAAATAACTACACACAAAAAAATGAAAGTGCTATAACTTCTGCCAGATATTATTACTTTATGTGCTATTCAACTTAAGCCAGTAGAATGCCTACAGTTTGCTTTGTCTGTAGGTCCTAGGTAACACAACTGCCTTGATTACCTTCTTTGGTATACATTTTCTCATTAGAGTACCATATTAAAGGCATTCTAGTACTTTTGAGTATAACCTCAAGAGGTTGAGCCTAATCCAGAATTTAAGTCTTTATTTGCTGCTGCATATGATTTTTTATCAGCAATTTGTTTATTTTCCCTTTGATCTTACTGCCTAATATTTATATTATCATGGACAGGACCTGGTGCTTGAAAAATATTAAGCAATGACGTCATGGATAAGTGTAGTAACGTCACATGTTCATTTCTATCTGCTTCAATTCATCCATGAATGCGTAGAAATAGTTTTGCTAATTATTTCATTTTATTTCATATTCTCAAAAAAAAACCAAAAAACATATTGTCGTCTGTTTATGTAGTTCATACGTGTTTCTCGTTTCTCGTTTTTATATAGATTAGACCGTTGGTTTTCCCGTTTAAATGGTTTTACACTAGTAAATTTTGGGGCCCTTTATTTCTTGCTGTTTGGTGTGAGCCAATGCTCCTTGTTGAAGGCCGTTCCTTGACCTATAATGGTTTACTTTTATAAATTGTTACTTGGATGGAGAGTTGTCTCATTGGCACTCATACCACATCTTCCTATATCTATATACAGTTAAGACAAATTAGCCATAAAAAGAATAATGACATTTTATTTTATTATACTGACTTAATCAGCTGGAATATCGACTTGCCCTAGCAGGCTCTCTTGATATTCTTGCCAATAAAGTCAGTATCAAATACAAAAATGTCATTATTCTATATATATTTTGACTGACTGTTTATATCTGGTTATCTAAGTGGTAGTATCATGTGGCACTTTTTTTTCCCAAAGCTACACTTATCTTGAACACCAGATGGAAATTGTCACTGATGTTCATATAGGCATCTTGGTCTACTGGTAAAATATGTTAACCCTCATGTTGTTGTTCTCTGATTTATTAGCATCTTGAGCCTGTGAACACTAAGGTTTAGAGTTTTGAACCCTGCTTGTAGCAGGTGGGCTGGACTCTGATATTAGTTGGCTAGGATTGCCAGTTTTCCTGCTGCAGGCCATTGGTTTTCTCACCAATGAAAACTGGGCCCTACGATATAACCAAGAGTACTGAACAGTGGTATTATACACCAACAATCAATCCACCTTTGATGGTTTAACATCTACCATTTCTGAACAATTGGTTTGAAAACAACTATTTTCAACAAGGTAATTCCTAACAATGGAATTGAGTGAGGCAGGGAAATAAGGATGAACACACAACTGATTCAGTAATAAAAGGTATGATTTTGGGGCTAAATTGGTCTTTAATTGAATTTATTTCCACCATTCTAATATTTTCAATATCCAATATTGAATCTATGTAGTTTAATAAAAACAATGCAGTTTTGGTTGAATATATACTCTTCATGGTTTGATTTACCATGAAACGTTAGTAAACTATCCAAATTATGCAACTGTGCCAATATTTTGACTTTCACCTGTACATGCTAAGAAATAATATAGAGCCATCGCCCAAAAAGATAGATAAACAGTAAGTGTGTTTTGTGTTTGTCTCTTTGATGGCATATTCTTTTAAAGAATCTCACCTATGACATCACTTTAATGGTCAAATTATGTTATCAAGGCTTGGCCAATATTCATATTTTCTGAAGACTTTCTTTTGATGTTTAAAAAATGTTATTAGTTATGATATCATGCAACGTTAGTGGGTTCAATCCCTGGCTTGGTCAAACAAAAGACTTTATAAGAATATTGACTGCTGCTCCACTAAAAACATGACATTAAGAAAAACTGGTTGGCTATGAGTCAAAATAATGAGGAGAATCTTCCTGTTAACTACCAGGTTAAAAATCCAGCCTAGTGTGTCAGTTCAAAGCAGGGTTCATATTAATATTACATTTATGTGTTTTCAAACATAATGTACCTATTATGCATGTAATATTTGCCACATCACATTATACATCTATCTACCTCAATTAAAACATTCAGCAAGTGTCCCGCAACTTTAATGGGTTGAGGAGTATTATTATTAATAGCATGAAGGAATACATCTACCATCAAAGCCGGGACGTAAAGGTAGATTCAGTGTGTGCACTGAATAGTTTCATTCCTAAAGAGAACAGAACTCTTTGGAGTTTGTTTTGTTCTTTATTTAAGATGGCTTCAGTTTAGTGACTCATTTTTTTATTAGTGATTTCTTTGTAATTTAAATAAGAACAGTCAGTGCTGAGTAAGACGACGTCCCAACAATTGTTACATGATGCTTGTACAAGAGGCAACATGTTAAGAATACAACATAGATGAAAGACTGATGTGTTTGTAAGAAATTATTCCTGCTTACCGTATTTTCTAAGCCAGTAGGTTCAAAAGAGATTCATGTCTAAGTTTGCTATACTAACTAGTGGCAATGAAACATTATACACTTCACATATAAATCATTCACTCATTCCTGTCACTGCATAATTACTGTTAACTCTATGGAAAATTAAATCCTAGTTAGCTTTTTATTTTTATTGATATCTTATTACAAGTATTGCTATTATGACCGTAACCATTGACCATTCCTGATAAGTATTCATTGCTCCATTTTCTATGAGGGATTCCCAGAAACGGATAAATTCTTTTTGGGATGTAGATCTATCTGAAGAGAGACAAGAATTAGTTTGTTCTTCATGTTTTTGTTCAAGATTTTATAGGTGTATGAGTGTTTATATTCCTTGGTTGCCTTTAAAGAAGTATAGCTTAACTACTGTAGTAAGATACTTAATGGCTTTTCATATCCTCCAGTATTAACTTCTGCTGATTTTTAAATTATTATTTTAGACAGATTCAAGTACTTACTAAAATATTTTTCATATCTTCTATAAGGTTTAAAAATTAATGTTAGTTAGAACTAGGTATTTAAACTGAAAATCGGGCTTTTTTTCATTTTAATACTTGCACATTCTATAAAATTTGTTTTTATTTTTCTGACTAAACATGTTGTTAAGAAATATTGTATGGTACTATTGTTATTTGGTTAGCATCCCTTCATTTCAATTTCAAAGCCTTTGCTACTTAGACATAATAATCTAATTTTTGCATTCGTCTCATCTGTACTATGTGCAAGGATATTTAGCGGATTTGATCTTTTAATCATGGTCTTCTAAAACACATTGCTCACTGTAAACTTTACTTATAATGTACGCTATATTCACTTCCAAACTAACTTTACAGCTTGTCAAAAAACTGTTTTTGATTTTGTTCAGAATAAGCGAAGCCTATAACTATGATAGCAGTTGTATTGGGTTTGTTTAGTTTTGTGTTTTGTGTTTTTTGTTTTTGTTTGTTTTTGTTTGTTTTTGTCTTTTTAAACAAACAATTCATACCCGGTTCTTGGCATGTCATTATTGAGTTCATCTGTTCAAAAACCGTGTTCATCATATCCGTCACAACATCTACAGACGACTGTTCACAAGAGTCACTCACAGACTTCTCCATACACTGGTAAGAATCCAGAAGTATTCTGAAACAGTACCATCACAATATTACATTCTCGAATAACTATAAAAAATATTATAAATTCATATGACAAATAAATGTTACCACCATGTATTGTTGAATGTGAAAATATTAACAATTGGAAAATATTCCCTGTGGCCTGGAACGTCAATCTGACGAGGGGTGTAAAAATGAGTTTAAACGTAAGTTTAAGGAAATTACATTTTTTTAAATTGTTCTTCAAAATTGATTTAGATGAATTCGATGTGTTATTTGTTGTATCATAAGAATTTAATTATTGTAAATTACCCTCACTTTTCAGCTTACCCGACCCATTGACCAATGAACCATGAAAATGAGGTTAAGGTCAATTGAAACCTGCCATTTTTTTTCAACTACTTCGCCGGCGCCGCAATCTATATCTTTTTCTCAGATTTTGAATTACTCCTATTAAGCTACATAATCATGGAATCGCTATTGTTAATATATCTTTCAAAAAAGCAGGAAGTTGGCTCTTTGCAAATATTAGGTACTCTAAGAAAGGGGCAAAACTAGTGCAAGTTTAAAAGTGTCTGGTAAGGATTGTCTGTAGCAGTGTATAGTGTTAAATTTCTAAATATTCTTTATACTGTTAACAGTCTTACTTGCACCATTCTTGTTTAACTAGATCAGTGTAAGCATCATCTAACATAGATATATGTTCAAGTTGGCTCTTGACAGTTTCAACATGGTCCTTATAACAAGCATTTGATCTATTCTGTACCTCTGATTTTCTCCAACAATCATCGTGTAAAACCATATCTACAAAACAGACTTTTAAGAACTAAATTTTTTGTCTTACATTTTGAGTCATTTAATACACAGGGACTCGGTCAGCAGATTAAAAAATTCTATTTTCAGTATACGGATATGAATAGTAAACTGCCCTTTGCTAGAAAAAAAAGAAATATTGATGTCAACGTTAAATACGTTAATAATGTGATACAAAAAGACAGGAAATACGAACAAAAGAATGATTATTTTTTTTAATCTGTTTACCGAGTTTCTGTGATTTAAAATACAAACACCTAGGACGCGCGATATACAAATGAACGATAGCAAATGAGAGGTATGATTTTAATCAGACTGAGGCGTTTGGGGAATGGACTCCGCTTTCTCTATATTTTTTTTTTGTAATTTTGTTTAGTAAATATTCCCTGGGACTATTATACTAACTAAGTTAGTATAATAGTCCCAGATATTCCTTACCATTTTAACTTATTTAATGTGTTCTTGTTTTAATCTATACCATTTTACAATAACAGTAGTTAATATAATATGCCCTCTATTCTTATTTGCACATGTCTGAAACAAGTTAAAAACGATAATGTTGATATGTTTATTTAGTGGTTTTGGTCACTTGAGACTTGGATATATCGAGTGACTTTGCTGTGGTAATATCCGTGGCAGTTTGTTCCAGTCCTTGACTGTGTTTACAAAGAAAGACCAATTCCGACATCGTTTGTAGGTGGCTGTAGTAGTTGGTATCCGAAGTAGGTATGTATGATTGCCTGTACGACTAGAGCTTCTTATTGTTTTTTTGTAAGCATTTGTCCTTGTCTATAGCTAGAAGGTTATTTGTTATACTGTATAATACATAATAATTCGTGCTTCTTTACACCTTTATTGCTGTTTTTTTATACTAGGTCATTCATAATGTTGCTCAAACTGGATATATTTCTATGTCTGCTTGTAACGTATTGTGTGCCTCGTCTTTGTAATTTCGTTTTTATCTATTTTAATGGTTATCAATTTAGCATTGTAGTAGGGCCTTTTATATCTTACTACTAGTATACGGTATGGGTTGAATCATTATTGAATGCGATGGTGACCTGTATAATGTTAACATCTTCTTCCTTTTGGTATATAGATAGTTGTCTCATACTAGCAATAATGCCACATCCTTTTGGTATATGGATAGTTGTCCCATTAGCAATCATGCCACATCCTTTTAGTAGATGGATAGTTGTCCCATATTAGCAATAATGCCACATCCTTTTTTTCACATAAAAAGAATAAAAATATTTTGTCTGGTGTCCTCCGTGGCCGATTAACATGCAAAATATAATGTATCTATCATTATTTATTTTATTTATCTAACTTTCAGACTTATTGTATACCTGAAAAACCAGACGTGCATATAAAGTTGACTGTTTTCAGTGTCGTCGCAAAAGTAGATGCATACATCAAGTCATCTGAACATTTTGATAATTTCGGCGTGTAACAGTTCTTGAATTTTCCTCTGTATCTGCAAATTGAAGTGATATGCCAAGATTTCGATGTGCGTTGAGTTATATTGTTACATGTTAGTATGCAGTGTGAAATAGCTTTCTGAATATGTACTGTGGTTGAATGCACCTTGGCTGAAAGCATTTATAAGAGAAGCCCTAATTCAATATACATTGTTTCGTGGAGTGAGTTTAAATTAAAGAATCAGCTTGAGTGTTGTGGGCTGTGTCTCTAGTAATGGAATAGAGCAGCAAAGAATATTCTGAGGCAATTGACTGGTAAACGATATACAATACAACCGAAAAAATTGATTGCTTCTCAATTTCGTCGAGTTTTTAAAAAAAATATTTAATGTGGAATTATCCCAAATTATGAAATGACTCGCCATATATCTCTGACTCTCATAAATGGTCTGGTACTCACAGTTATCTGGTAAATGCGTACTTACGAACAAAGATTTTCAATCTGTCTCTTATGAGGTAAAACAGTAAATTCTTCCGATTCAGATACATTTTGTGACAGTTTCCAAGTACACAAATTAAGTCCAACAAAATCGCATCCGTTTACTGTACTCAAGACAACTGAAAAGAAAAATCGTCAATCAAAGTTCTGTGGTGTCCGGAACTCTTTCGTCAAAATACACCATGGTTGAATATTTACGAGACTGACAAGAAAGTACTGCGTTTGCTCTTAATCTACCGAATATCCAGAATATATAGAATATTGATATACTAGTATGTCGATTGTGTTGATTTTTTTCTTCAAATTCTGTAAACGTTTCCACGAGTGTGGAAATAAGGCGGCTTCCTTTAAAGGGACATAAGCTACGAGTTATCAAAAAAAGTAAAATTTGATTTTTTTTTTTCAATCTTTTATGAAAGTGAAAAAGTGAAATAATAATTCTCTTTTAGCAGCCAGTTTGGTTCAATTTTGTCTAAATAAGCTAAGAAATATCGCTGATGAATTATTCACCTGCAAGTGAATAATTCGACCTCATTGAATCCGTATTCATGTGACCTTTTATTTAACTCCATAGCTAGAGATGGTTTACGCATGAACTAGGCGTGTTCAGCTATTAGAAGGAAAAGAATGTCAACATCGAAAGTGAAAAAGGGTAAATCATTTGATTGACTGATTCGATCCACAAAAACTCATTCTTATACAGGTAAAAACGACGATCGACATATTTGTTTAACCTATAATATGAAATCAAACAGACCTAGAAAAATCCAATTGCACGTGTTCGCTGTCAATTGTTTATATCGGGTTATATGACCGTCGACAGTCTTCGGAGGTCACCTCGATGGTTAATTAGATGGCGCGTTTTTAGACGGCGATGTTCCTTTGGCTCCATCATACGCGGTGTTTATATATCCCAACTCGTTCGTTATCCCCGTGTGTGTAGTGATGTCATAGATTTTAACGAACGCAATCAATGCATCACTGGTAAATTATTAAGTCAGGGATTTCGCTACCATAAATTGCTTAAAACTTTTACTAAATTCTTTCATAGATGCAAAGATTTGATTAGTAAATTTGGCTGTACCTGTAGAAAACTTATTAAAAACGGTATTTCACATCCTAAATTTACGGTAATATTGTACTAAAAGCGTGGAAATCACTATGTGATTCGTGTAAGCTCATCGAACTTTTAAACAAACTTATTAGTAAAGGTTATCTTAGCAATGTTGTAATTAGATCTTTGAATATAGTTTACATTGGCACAAATATCGATTTTGTCATCAGCAAATTAAAACATAACTAAATTTGTATTCTTTTCAAACGTTTTTTTGGGATGTATAAGTACACATCCACGTTCATTTTCTATATAGAGATTACTCTATCTATATATCAAATTATACATATTTATTAACAGGTTAACTCCTAACTATCCTATTGCCTGTCGATACTATATATTTTGGCATTGCACAAGTCATGTCTTCTTTGACTGTCCATGACGTTAAAACACTAAATCCCTGGGGTGTGTTTTAGTTGATTTTAGTCTCTGATGCATGATTTTTTACTATTAATTGTTTTTGGCTTTTAACTAGCTTTCAGTAACTGCGAGTACTCTCAAATCGTACTTTCGTGTTAATTTGACCTGTTGATACAATTTGTAATGTATTTTTGTTATTTAATGTTTACTTATTCAGCGTTATATCTAGCTCACTATTTTTAATATATACCACCTTTGATAATCGTTTAGTATGACGATAAATTTCCACTATTGTTCTCGTACTAGGAACAACTAAATTATTTATTTTGTAAAAATTATTTCCGTACTCCATGTATACCTCACAACAAAATTATATTTTATTTACCTGTGTACATATTGTTTTACATCTAACCCCCTTGTTTTATTAATTTTGTATTTACATTGTGTCATAGATCAAATTTATTCGTTCAGTGTATGTTCACTTGTTTTTGTTAATATGTCTTTTGATTGAGTTAAGCCATTTCAATTGATATTTTTAAGTGTGTCTTTCTATGTTGTGATGTTACACTATTGTTTCAGGTAGCGTGAAGGTTGGCGCCTATTAAAACGTTTAAACCCGCTGCATTTGTTTCCACCTGTCCTAAGTCAGGAACCTGATGTTCAGTGGTTGTCGTTTGTTGATGTGGTTCATTAGTGTTTCTCGTTTCTCGTTTTTTACATAGATTAGACCGTTGGTTTTCCTGTTTGAATGGTTTTACACTAATAATTTTTGAGGCCCTTTATAGCTTGCTGTTCTGTGTGAGCCAAGGCTCCGTGTTGAAGGCCGTACTTTGACCTATAATGGTTTACTTTTATAAATTTTGACTTGGATGGAGAGTTGTCTCATTGGCACTCATACCACATCTTCTTATATCTATAGACTAAAATACACACGAAATACGGATACATATTATCGAGTCCATGCATTGTTAATTGTTCATTTAAGACTTTTTGTAAGTTGGATATACGTTTCAGTAGGTTATAAATCAAATATGAGAATTTGAGTGAAATCGGTGACCATGAATTTGACAACTAATGCCCCTTTAAATCTTACTTTGCCATGATTATGGAAAGTCGGAAGATTGTTTTTTTTATGAGGATCTTGCTTCACAATTCAGCCAAACATGCCGCACACCAAAATATTGATGTATTATTAAAAATGTATGGATATTGTTTTCGACTTTATGAACGTTTCTTCAGTATCTTGTACTATTTAGTCTATATAATATTTTTGTTCATAAAAGTTGAAAAATTATTATTATTATTATTAATTATTATTATTATTATTATTATTATTATTATTATTATTATTATTATTATTATTATTAACCATACTAAAAATGTACCTACATGCAGACGGATATATCCAACCAATGATTTTCCCGAGTGACTGCATTTTCACTGACAGAAAGATCGTTTGTTTTCTCACCTAATTCTTACACGATCTATTGAATTATTTACACACTAAGTGCAATTGAATGTTCCTGGTACAGTTTTTTTCTTCTTACATGAAAACAAACTTTATTTTCAACACAACGTTACATTTCCCGTCATTTTCATTTCTTGTTTTTATTGGTATCAATTTAGATGTTGTACATTAATGTATTGATATGTTTAGTCATGATTTGTTTTGGGAAAGTCCTATCTTGTAAGCATATAAACTCTTTAGATGGTTGAACTAGCATTTGCTAATACAACTAGTGGAAATTAGGAATTTCTGCCGGGTTGTCTATGCCAAGTAATGACTCTGGTGATTATTTTCCCCTTGTTAAATTTTCGATTGTTTGCATGCAGCTTTTTCGCTGGATTTACAAGTGTAATTTGAACATCTTATTTTACTTTAAGTTTGTGCATTTTACAGAAGTTTTTTCTGTGTCCTTTAACTTTTAATACGTTAATTAGGGAAAAAAGACCTTAAGTCCGTGTCACGCGTGCTTGGGATATCAAACTAACCGTACATTTGACTCTTCTTGAATGTTACTCCTTCATCATTATTATGGGATAGACAATCGGCTTCATTTTAAAGAGCTCGCGTATTGACTTATCTTTCTCCATGAACTTTCGTTTGACGGTTCTGCATGGTGTATATGCGTGTGATATCTGTCGTTGAGAAAACACTAACAATATTGTTTATTCAAGTTAAGCGGCTTTGTAATTTATGGGGTACTAACATCTTTAATTTCCCTCAAATAATCGGACTTCAGATTGTACAATAATTCCAAAAATCACAAAAAACAACAAAGATTATTATAATTACATGTTTACAGTGTATGATTGATATATATTATGTATTTTGTTATACAATGTACTTTTAGTTGTGCTTTTACTTATCATTACGATTGCGTTTGTGCTAAATAAGTACTGTCTATTGTTTATTGCCTACATGTTCCTGCTGAACAGAATAAGGTCTATATAAAATTACATATTTACAGATTTAATAAAAAAAAAATTGTTTATCCGTAAAGTCAAATGTTATTCCTCTCTCTTTACACGGCTATTAGAGACATATGTTTTTTGTAAAATTTTGCACTGACGGACATCCTTTACTAACACAAATAAAGTTGTATCAGAAAGACAAAACATCGCTTTACTTCTCGTAATGTTAGTTTCGGTTAAGAATATCCTTTTAACTTATTCGTTTATTTCTGATAAATACTCGAAATTGGCATTTACGAGCCGTATCAAAAGGCATTTAAACTTTGGTTAAATGTTTGAAATACTCCATAATTTTGTAAAAACCTCAAAGAACACAAAAAGAACTGTATTACTGAGAAATTTTGTAAAATAGGACGGATTTGAAAATAACCCTATTGTGAAATTAACTTTGGTGAATTCTATATGTAGCACCCAACATAATCACCCCTTCATCGATTTTATTCTTGTAGAATACATCTCCTTTATAGATAAAATTAGACATGTATAATATAATGAAAAAGCGTGTTCATTAATACGAATGATTGTTTTAGATACTAGTGAATAAAAAGGATATTCAGTGTAACATTATAATTTCAGATATCCAAGATATTGATAAAACATATTTTTTAAACGAATTCTGAAAAGTGACATCTGAAGTCTAATTTTCTAGAGTTTGAGATAAAATTTCGGGAATCCGCATAGCTTCTCATTCTACTATACACAAGTAAAACTATAATGGTGCAGTTTGCTTTGTCAAATTCATGATGATTATGGAGTTTTAACGGAAAAGAGAGTTCAATTTGTACGAAGACATTTTTCTGTCTAGTGCTGAGGTAAATCACCAATGCATGTCCCTATTTTCATACGATAAATTCTACATTTTCAGACCCTTGAACTACTAGTATGAAAACTGCATCCTTGCTAAACAGATCATTAAAACATTTGGATACATTTAATGTTATATTAGAGAGAACTGGAAGTGGTTCTAAGAAGTTCCAGTAGGAATTTCAGTTGAAGACATCCATTCTCTATATGAGCTCAGAAAATTGCACATTTAATATGCTTATTGTTAAGGTAGTGAAACTTGAACACATGTTTGAGCTTTCATTTGATACTCAGATTGCTAAAATGTTAAACATTATTCAAACGTTACATAAATAAAAGTAGGAACAATTTTGTATGAAATCGGCTGATGTTCTCAAGCCATGTATTGTAAAACAAAAAAATATCTAGAAATAAGGGAGCTCTATTCACCAAGCGCCTTGGAACCATGTATGAAATTCAGACTGTTACGGAAATCTGGTTTTGATAAAGCATCGTACCCGTCAAGGATTTCAAAAGTATAAAAAAAAACGTGCGTTGATGTACCTCTAGAATCACAGGTGCTTGGTGTATGATCGTGTATCATCAGACTATGGTCCATATGCGCCTACGTATTAGCAGGTAATGATTTACTGAATGTTACCCTCTCGTATTAACCAGAAACATATGTATTAACAGAGACATATATATGTAACGTCACAGTACCCAAATTGCAACCATTTAGCAAAAATAGCAGCGGTAATCTTACAAGTTTCCTTAGAGACTAAACAATTTGCATTTTTATGATTTGACATTATGCACGTCTTTCAGCATAGCTAATTATATTTAAATACGCACAAAACTTTCACAGTATATACCAACAGATGAAGTTTTCACTGGAAAAAGTAAAATCTACGGAAACGTCGCTATGCGACGTCCACAAAAAGTTAAATTTTAAAAATGAGCAATTAAAATATGTTACAGGCATCCATTTCTTAAACAAGAGACTGTCAGAGAGACAGCAAACCGGATTTTCCTGCAGAGGTCAACCCTGAACAGTTGGGCAATTTAAGAATGGACACAACATTTAAGCTTAAAACAGCTCTGAATTTGGATTGTGATTGAATATTTGATACAGCATAGGTTTGTGACACAAAATAAATGTGGTCAAAGAACTGAAAAAATTGAATTGGACATTTACCTATTATGGCCCTATATCCAAAATCTAAGTATATTGCTGGAATCAGCATATCAAAGAACCCCAAGAATTCAATTTTTGATGAAATACTGCTTAGTTAAACTATTTCTGTTCAAAGGGAAATAACTCAAACTTTATTTCCATGAACCAATAATGTAAATCTAAAATTAGATATGATGTAATTAGATATGATGTGATTAGATATGATGTTATATTTATTTTCAAATCATAATTAAATATTATAATTGCGTGATTACCAGATGGTGTGTTATCATGATAAAAGGCGAAAATCATTTAAAAACACTTAGTGTAATCAAATTTTATATATATAGTTAATAGCAGAGACATATATACACATGTGTATATATGTCTCTGTTAATAGTTACCAATATTTTTTCTTTCATTTGTAACAAACTTATATAGATCTGCAACTTATCTATCTGAGAAATGGATTAATTCATCACAAATTGAATTCTTGTGAAAAGGCTATAACTGAACAACGAGAAAAGCTAAAATCGTGAAAATTGAACTTGACCTTCATTTAGTCACAGGAAACAACATATCTAAATTTGTAAAAAAAATCATCAAAGCGTTTTCATGTAAATGAACGAACACTGTTTGGCAGCCGCCCGCCCGCCCGCCGTACATCACCAAATCAATAACTGATTTTTACTTATAATAATCCGTTTAAAATGCGTAGTAAGCATGGATTATTGTTATCTTGTTCTAAATATTTAGAGATTTAAAACAAAACATGATCAGTTATTCGATTTTTACGGATGTGAATTTAAGCATGGGTGCAATTTGGGTACTCTTCAAAGGATACATCTACAAAATAAACACAGAATTGAAATTTTTGTCTGAACCATAAATAAACGTAAGTGAAAAACTGTCAAAATAGGTGCAATTTGGGTACCCTCACGTTATAATATATGTCTCTGGTATTAACCAATAAAACCGACTAGACCAAAATTTACAAGTTAAACGATAATATTCACTATTGTCAGAATTTTGATTAAATTTTTTATGATAATAGTGTTTATGTTTGTGTGTGTGCTCTGAGACTACTATGTTATTGTAGTCTTAGGTGTACTTTTCCTGGTGATGTGGGTTGCAAGTGGATTAGTATAAACAGAGATATGATACAACTGTATTACATATATATATATGATATGTTTGGTATAAATGATAGAGAAAAATACGAATTAAGAACAATGCTTTATTTGGATTTGAGTCTGTGGTTTACTTTAGATATTTCCGGTTGGATAAAAAGAAAACAGGCAAAGTTAACGAAATAAAATGGATAAATATTTGATTAAGAAACCAAAAGACATTAAACAAGATTCAAGTAAAAAAGGCTACAGGAAGCAGATGAAACAGTCTACCATCGAATCTCTCCAGGTAAAACACATACTCCCCAAATTAGTAATTTTTAATGAACATTTTTAAGGTTCATGTGGACCCTTTGGCTAAAATGGCTGCGTTTACACATCAAAATTTACTCTGAGTACAGACAAACCTGTGCATCTGGAAAAGTTTTAAGGCATAGCATGCCCTATATTAATAAAATTCAAATGCATTGTATGTTTTAGAAAATTTAAAACTTAACTGGGTTTTGCAGGGTATCGGGTCCGTTCGCGCCCAATACACGTTCGCACCCTACACGTTCGCACCCCGCACGTTCGCCCCCTGGGTCCGTTCGCACCCTTTTTTTTTTATTCAAAAACCCGATGAATTATAAAATGTTTTTTAAGATGTTAATCTCAAAATAAAGAAAATATCGGCAATTTTTGAATTTTTTAAATGAAATATTGTTTTAAATTGATTTGATGATTAATTATTTATGATTACTGTTAATTATATATATGGTGTTTACACAGCTAAACTTGATGTAAATTCTGCATGTAGTTATATTAGCATGTATTTAACTTGGTATGAGTAAAAACAATTAAGATTCAAAATGTTATTGTTGTTGAGTTTACAGCGGTTTGGTATCTAAACATTTAAATAATATTCAACACAAAAAACCTTTTTTAGAAAGTCACTTTATTTTGAAACAATGAAAAAAAAAATACAGCAATACACTAACCAAAACACGATTAAAAAGATATTCAACACAAAAAACGTCACTTTATTTTGCATGTTTTGAAACAATGAAAAAAAACTTATTTATAGCAATACAATAACCAAAACACGATTAAAAAATTATTCAACACAAAAATCGTTTTGTAGAAAGTCACTTCATTTTAAAACAATGAACAAAAAAAATATTTATAGCAATACACTAACCAAAATACGATTGAAAAATTATTTAAGACAAAATCAATAAAAAGGGTGCGAACGTGTAGGGTGCGAACGGACCCGGGGTGCGAACGTGAAAGGGGGCGAACGTGAATGGGCGCGAACGGACCCGGATTCGTTTTGCAGTGCACTTTTTTTTCGTCCCTGCAGAAGACTGGGACTATTTTACTAACGGGACTGGAAACCGTCAGTGTAATAATACTCAACATCACGGTCGTTAGAACAAGACTTTACCTGCACACGATTTATCGATACGCCATATTGTTTTGACAGTGACAGCGTGCCTTGATCGTATAATCTTTGTAATTTGTTTTTATTGTTTATAGTTATTCGAAATGATAATCCTTAATGTAAACAGGATTACTATAATAATAAAAGATATCTCCATCTATGACAGTTGTTATTAATCACCAAATCCTGGCTTAAGTGTAAAAAATGACATCCAAAGGTTGAATTTTTTCAGGATGATAATAGGGTGGGGACGCTGTGAAAACAAGTATGATTCATAAAATTTCTGAAAACTGTTGATTGAAAAGAGATACGTGAGTTCCGTTTGTTGTAAAATCATATTTATAGGTTATAGGTTGGATTGGCCTATTTTTATTGTCACTTTTTAAAGTGAAAAGTGGAATTTAAATCTCCTTCTCATTACAAATGGAAACCACATGCAGGGCTCAAATAAATTATACTGTTCCTATAAAATTGCTTACTCCTTTTTATATGTGCAAAATTTGTATTAAAATCAGGGTGTTTTTTGCTTAGTAATGGTCTTCAGGTGGCATAAGCATATGACTTCATGAAAGTATGTACAATAGTTTCCACAATCAGAACTACAAAAGTAGGCCCTTTCACGGTCAAGTAAAGTGCCGGCATTTCGACTATTTGTTTTATTTTCAACACTAATATATTGACTACTTATTATTAATTTTTCGTAAACAATAAGAAAAGTATTTATCTTTAAAAACTTCTTCGACGATTAAGTTGAAATAAAGAAGAACTTGTCCCAGTTTTAATCGGCATTAGTTTATCCCCGTGTGAAAACATTTATTTCAAGTCAATGTATTTAATTTGTTAAAATAGTTTTATTATTCATATATTTTAGTTTTTTACATTTATTTTTTTTTTTTTTTAATTTCAAATCCACCAATTTAACGGTATTCTATATGCTGAATTGTTCGCCGAAATCTATTGTTTACATGCACCAAAGGCTAATTAACCACGTGGAACGATAAGCTGTCAATCAATACAAAAAATCAATAATCTGCTATCAGGGCAATGAAATCTCAACAGATCGATCAGTTTCCAGTCCCGTTAGTATAATAGTCCCAGCAGAAGATGATGAAATTAACAAACAGTTGAGTTTCACTTGATATGGTCCACTCAGGTACACAGTTTAAATCACCAGTTATTACCAGGTACATGTATCTATTGTCCATGTCAAACAATACAGTTCACTTCAATTATTACCCATGGGGAAGTTCTCAAACCTCTTTCCCAACTTAGTTTATTTTGGCACCTTCTGGAGGAATGAAAAAAGAGCACTGTAAAATCCTGTTAAGTTTTTAATTTTCTAAAACCTAAAATATATTTGAATTTTATTTATCTAGAGCATGCTATGCCTTAAAACTTTTCCAGATACACATGTTTTTCTGTACTCAAGAGTAAATTTTGAGGTGAAAATGCAGCCATTTTAGCCAAAGGGTCCACATGAACCTTAAAATATACTTGAAATGGCAGCAATTTTTTTCTAAAATATCTTGATGAATATAGCCCTAATCTGATTTACTGAGAAGTTACATGGTGATGAAAACTTCGCAAAATCAACAATTTTTAAGGCTCCTAACTTTTTATTTAAGACTCAAATCAAAATATTGTTTTTTGAAGAAATTGTTCTGTTTTTTTTTATAAATTTTGTTCCCAACCTGTCAGACATATCAGAGGGCAGCCAAATCAGAAAAAAAACTCAGGACACAGAATCCTAAAAGGGATTATGAGTCTCACTGTCAGATGCATAAATGTAAAATGGGATGTCTCTGTTCCTCTGGGGTCCACTTCAATCTTTTTGTGGGAGGGATGAGCAGCTGAGACATCCAGTATCCAACCTTTTTCTTATACTTTGAATATTAAATAATCTGTCCATATATTGTTTGACAAAAAGATGCACACAACTTCCCTAGGTTAGAGGAGGGATTTAACCATACATTATCAAGCTCAAAATAGTTAACTATTTCAGGGGCTTATCCCTACCATTCTTTACATTATGATAGTACATGTAAGTGGCCCCAAGCTCTGTTCTCGTCAAGCAGGAATTAAAAATTGAATATATTTGTACTACTCATAAAATTTAATGTGCTTTTTATTGTTCTGAAATTTTGTTTTTTATTATGCCAGTGAGGTCCCTTGATTTTGTATGAGACTACATGTAGCTGTGAAACATGAGCTCTTTGGCTGTGCCGATTTTTGGTTTTCAAACATCACATACAAATGTACACTGTACATGTAGAAATATACATGTACATTGTAATGACCAAACAAACAAGTTAGAAAAATTATACAAATTCATTCTTAGAATATTACCTGCATGTACAAATGATGTATGTAGACTCCATTCATGTCTCAGTCTGACTAGAAATTTGAATTTGAATATATATACAAACATATACTTGATGTTTATGGCCTTTTTAAGCTGATATCTGGTTTACCATTTAACCATTCATCTGTTAGTTTAATTTGGTTTATTTTTGCTATAAAAACTAAAGTGCCATCAGTGTTGACTAAATGTTGATAAGAAATATCATCTCTGATATTATTATCTATATTAGGATATTTTAGGCTGATATTAAAGATATATGTTGTGAAAAACTATTTACATGTACCCTGTAGTACAATATTATTTTTTTATATTTATTTATTTTAATATTTTTGTAGGGTGTTGTTGTGGTTGAAGAAATAAGAAGGCTTAAATCCAAATTGGAGTTAGAAAGTACTTCAAAAGAAGAAATGGTTGACAGCCTGAACAAACTGGGACAAAAGATTCCTCCTAGACATGTTATGTTAGATACAAAAATAGGTATCAACTTTATATCATTGAAGTTAAGATAATCAAACAGAGATATGTTTTCAGAATAATGGAAGGTGTGTGATTCCTTTCTGTGATGTCTGTAGTTTCCATTAGATAAGTTCTAAGATCTCTGTTGGTATAGAAATGCTTTTATTCATTTGTTCAGGGCTGTGCAAAAAGGAGACCCTCGACAGATCAGAAATGTTTCCCTTGTACATTAGAGATGAAAGAAATATTTTGTACATCTTTTCACAAAACACTTAACACAAAATAATTTTGTGTGTACCAAACTTCTAGAATATGAGCATGTGCTCAAGATTAATGCCTTATTTCGACAACATTAGTACACTTTATAACTGAAACCGCTTTGGTGGTCTAGTGGAAGCATGTTTGCCATGAGTTGGAGAAGTAGTGGGTTTCCAACCTAGTCCAGTCAAATCAACCACTTTAAAATTAGCATTTGTAAAATAGATTGCATGAAAATGAACCTGAAGTTTCAACTTAAAGAAACAAGGCCAGGTAGAAAGATACTGTGATCATGGTGATAGTGCTTTTATCGTGGGGTACCAATTTTCGTGGTTTTCGTGGATGTCTTTATCCACAAACTTAAGTGTCCAACGAAATATAACAACTGTTGTCCAAATCAAAACATGGAAAGATCCTCATGTATGTTTGACTACATGGATACAGGGATATAATCTAGAGATTACATCAAATATCAGCAAAAGCTTTATGGACTATAAATACAACTTCTGACAGGATTTTACCCATTTTATCTTTTAAAAACCTAAAGTGTTTGACTTTTAACCTATTAATTCTCATAAAAATTTAATTTTGATCGATGAAATTCAGACTTCTGGTGATGGTGTGCTATGTTGCAGTGTTCATTTTATCTCCTCATAATTCTCATATGAAAAAAAATCATATTGGGCTTGCTTTTTGATTTAATAAGAATTAATTTTACAATTCAAAGTACATTTGTAGCATTTATTTATGTAACCATTTTCTTAAAAAGGGCATTAGCTGTCAAATTCATATTCACTGATTTGACTCAAATTCTCATATTTGATTTATAACATACTAAAATGTATATCCAAATTATAAATAGTCAAAATAAACAATTAACAATGTATGGACTCGATAAAACATGTATGTATCAAAATTTCGAGTGTATTTTAGTCTTGACGCTATCTAATTAACCATCTAAATGACATTCGAAGACTGCCAGCGGTAATATAACCCAATATAAACATAGATATAGATTTAAATAGAGAGCGAACACATGCAATCATATTTTTCTAGGTCTCTTTAATTTCATAGCATTGGTTGAAAAATATGTTAATCATCGTTTTTACATGTATAAGAACGATTTTTATGTGGATCAAATCAGTCAACCAAATGGTTCACCCTTGTTTTTACTTTCAATGATGACATTTTTTTCCTTTGAATAGCTGAACACGCCAAGCTCATGCGTAACCCATCTCTAGCAAAGGGGTTAAATTGAAGCTCACATGAATACTGATTCTATGAGATTAAATTATTCACTTGCAAGTCAGTAATACATTGTACATTACTGACTTGCAAGTGAATAATTTAATCTCATAGAATCACTTGCAAGTCAGTAATACATTGTACATTAGCAATTTCTGAAAGCAATTATTTCATTAAAAATTTTATGAATGTTGTCAGTAAATTAATGAAAGATGAACTAGTAAGTGAAAATGAACACCTTATTTTGCAATGTCCCACAAATCATAATGCAACACTTAATAATTATTTTCAAGAATTTTCGTTTCTGATTGCTTCAAATTATTCACTTGATTTTTTTTCAGAAAACAAAATTCCACAAATTTAAGAACCCTTAAACATGTAACTTTTGCTCAAACCACGAAAAATTGATACCCACGAATAAAAGTACTTTCACAGTAACCTAAAATTTACCTGAGCAGACAGGTACCAGTAATAAACAATGAAACACAACAAGGGAGGGAATATCAGGGTAATACTGCAATAAAGTGGCACACATTGATTGAGGATCGTTTTAACCCAAGTTTGATGAACTAACATATTTGCTCAATTATCTTTATCTGTGCAAAACAAAACAGATTTTTTATTGAGAATGTCGAAAAGCACAAGACGACATAGGGTACCTTTAGTGAAAACTAGGGTGATCAAATCTCTGCTCTGATGCATTTTAAAAGCTAAATTTGGAATCCTAGCCTCCTAGGGCTATGAATTAATTGTTCAAATATACAAATTAATGTAAGCATTGGTTTTTGTCGAGCCTTCGACTTTTGTCGAAAAAGCGAGACATAGCAATCCTACATTCCGTCGGCGTCGGCATTGTCGTCGTCGGCGGCGTCCACAAATATTCACTCTGTGGTTAAAGTTTTTGAAATTTTAATAACTTTCTTAAACTATCCTGGATTTCTACCAAACTTGGACAGAAGCTTGTTTATGATCATAAGATAGTATCCAGAAGTAAATTTTGTAAAAAAAAAATTCCATTTTTTCCGTATTTTACTTATAAATGGACTTAGTTTTTCTGCCAGGAAACATTACATTCACTCTGTGGTTAAAGTTTTTGAAATTTTAATAACTTTCTTAAACTATCCTGGATTTCTACCAAACTTGGAAAGAACCTTGTTTATGATCATAAGATAGTATCCAGAGGTAAATTTTGTAAAAAAAAAATTCCATTTTTTCCGTATTTTACTTATAAATGGACTTAGTTTTTCTGCCAGTTAACATTACATTCACTCTGTGGTTAAAGTTTTTAAAATTTTAACAACTTTCTTAAACTATCCTGGATTTGTACCAAACTTGGACAGAAGCTTGTTTATGATTAAAAGCTAGTATCTAGAAGGAAATTTTGTTAAAATTTTGTTCCATTTTTTCTGTGTTTTACTTATAAATGGACTTAGTTTTTTTTCCAGTTAACATTACATACAGTCTGCAGTTTAAGTTTCTAAAACATTTATTAGATTCATAAACTATCCTGGATTTTTACCAAACTTGGACAGAAGCTACTTACAATCAAAAGATAGTATAGAGAGGAATATTTTTATTAATTTTTTTCCTCATTTTTGTTGAGCCTGTGATTAACAGCAAAAGTAGGCGAGACACTGGGTTCCGCGGAACCCTTACGAATTTTTAAAGGTCAATAATTATCCATATTCTTATTCTACCATTTCAATTTTTCACCACCTGTTCAAAAGTTTTAGACTGAAAATAATGGGGACAAAAACATTTCATTTGAACTTATTTGTTTTTAAACATTACATGCAAGATAACTTTTTGAGAGTTGTGCAACATTTTTTCCTGTATTTGATTTTCATGTTGTAGGCAAACTGGTCAATAAGTTAAGAAAACATGAAGATAGTGACATTAGAAAAGCAGCTAGACGTGTCTATGTTAAATGGAAGGAACATTTTGTCAGTCATGCTGAAAGACCAGTTATTGAAGTCATGTGTGATACTAAAACAGAAAAAATGAGAACATCTGGCAAGAAACTATTGGCTGGATCATTAGATCTAGAGGTAAAATCATTATAACAGTTTATATAGTTCCTAGTATGAAAAGTATGGATGATACAAAGTATAGAAACAACATAATTTTGGTTGGTTTAATGTATTTGTATATGTAAATATGCCTACAACTGAGTGTAATGTTAACAAATTTAATAAAAGAAAATGTGGGATAAACATCAATGAGACAGCAACCCAATAAAACAGAAAAAAACAATATACATGTACTAAAATATTGATTAGAACACTGATATTAAATGTGGAAATGTGCTCAGTATACACAAGGTAATTATTTTAAAAAATATTGCTGTATATTCATGATCACTACAAGCAAGATATTTTATTGAAGAATGGTATTACAGTGTGAAATACCAGCTTCATGATTTAGATGGAAACTATACTGTTGATATACAAGAGTCTCATGAAATAAAACCTTCAGAAAATCTTTAAGAAAAACAAGCATTTGATATAATTTTAACATGAAAACACATTAATTTGATTGATAGCAGTTTATCATCTTGTCAGATGATAGGGATTATGTTGACGGAGACCAAAGATATAAATATGTTGATATATATTGATACAATACAACAGTATTGTGTAACCAACATATCAATTCATTACTGTAGAAATATGGTACATATCATAGCTTGGCATCCAAAATGTTGTATATGACTTTTTATGCCCCCGCCATAGCGAGGGAGCATTAAGTTTTACCCTTACGTCCGTACGTCCCGAAATTGGTTTCCGTTCTCTAACTTTAGTTTGCCTCAACCAAGGGTTATGAATCTTATACACAATGCTTATTACCACAAAACACAGATCAAGTTTGAATTTTGGTGGCGTCACTTTTAACGTTCTAGAGTTATGCCCCTTTACAAATGGAATAAAATGCTCCGCAGGGCGCAGCTTGATACGACCGCAGAGTTTAAACCCTGAACAGTTGGGGCAAGTATGGACACAACATTCAAGCTTGATACAGCTTTGCATTTGGATTGTGATTAAATATTTGACACAGCATAGGTTTCTGACACAGAATGAATGTGGTCTAAGACTAAGAACTTAAAAATTTTAAATTGGACTTTCACCTATTATGGTCCAATATCCAAAATTTAAATACATGGTTAGATTCAGCATATCAAAGAACCCCAAGAATTCAATTTTTGATGAAATCAAATAAAGTTTAATTTTGGACCCTTTCGACCTCAATGTGGACAAAGTTGATAACTGGGCCCAAAAATCAAAAATCTAAATACATGGTTAGATTCAGCATATCAAAGAACCCCATATATTCAATTTTTGTTGAAATCAAACAAAGTTTAATTTTGGACCCCGATTTGGACCAACTTGAAAACTGGGCCCATAATCAAAAATCTAAACACATGTTTAGATTCAGCATATCAAAGAACCCTAAGAATTCAATTTTTGTTAATATCAAATTAAGTTTAATTTTGGACCCTTTGGACCTTAATGTAGACCAATTTGAAAACGGAACCAAAAATTAAGAATCTAAATACACGGTTAGATTCGGCATATCAAAGAACCCCAATAATTCAATTTTTGATGAAATCAAACAAAGTTTAATTTTGGACCCTTTGGACCTCAATGTGGACCAATTTAAAAACTTGGCCCAAAATCCAAAAACTAAATACACGGTTAGATTCAGCATATTAAAGAACCCCAAGAATTCAAGAATAAAACCCCATTGAAATTGGTCAAGAAATAGGCAATTTATACGAAGTATCTTCATTTGCACAATACTGTGCAATTAAATATTTCTTGCTATTGCGCAATACTGTACAATTGACAATTTCTTGCTATTGCGCAATATTGTGCTATTGGATATTTCTTGCTATTGCACAATACTGTGCAATTGAAGATTTCTTGCTATTGCGCAATACTGTGCAATTAAAGATTTCTTGCTATTGTGCAATACTGTGCAATTGAAAATTTCTTGCTGTTGCACAATACTTATTATATAATAATTTACACATCCTGTTTGGTGTGTATCTCCTACCATATCATTATTATTTGCTTTTAAATATAAGTCAGAAATAACCAACTTAAAAATTTTTTGAACCCCCTTATGATTCATCACACCCAAACTCAATCCCAGCCTTCCCTTTGTGGTATGGTACCTTGCAGTACAATTTCAGAGAGATCCATACACTTGAACACAAGTAATTGTCTGGAAACTAGAAAAATTTGTTTTTTGGTCCCTTTTTGGCCTCAAATTCCTAAACGTTTACGGCAATTACCCCCAAACTCAAACCCAGCTTTCCCTTTGTGATATGGAACCTTGTAGTACAATTTCAGAAAGATCCATACACTTACACACAAGTTATTGTCCTGAAACTAGAAAAATGCTTGTTTTTTGCCCCTTTTTTGCCCCTAATTCCTAAAATATTGAGGCAATTACCCCCATCATCAATCCCAGCCTTCCCTTTGTGGTATGGTACCTTGCAGTACAATTTCAGAGAGATCCATACACTTGAACACAAGTTATTGTCTGGAAACTAGAAAAATGCTTATTTTTGGTCCCTTTTTGGCCCCCAATTCCTAAACGTTTTGGCAATTACCCCCAAACTCAATTCCAGCTTTCCCTTTGTGATATGGAACCTTGTAGTACAATATCAGGAAGATCCATACACTTACACACAAGTTATTGTCATGAAACTAGAAAAATGCTTTTTTTGGACCCTAATTCCTAAAATTTTGAGGCATTTACCCCCAAAATCAATCCCAGCATTCCTTTTGTGATATGGAACCTTGTGGTACAATGTCAGAGAGATCCATACACTAACACACAAGTTATGTCTGGAAGTTACAAAAATGCTTATTTATGGCCCCTTTTTGGCCCCTAATTCCTTTACTGTTGGTACCATAACCCCCAAAATCAATCCCAACCTTCCTTTTGTGGTATTGAACCTTGTGGTAAAATTTCATAGAGATCCATTCACTTAAACTAAAGTTAGAGTGCGAAAACCAATGTGTCTTCGGACGACGCCGGGCGACAACGACGACGCCAACGTCATACCAATATACGACCACAAAAATTTTTTTGAGGTCATATAAAAATTGTTTTATTTTTCTTTCCGTTCTCTAACTTTAGTTTGCCTCAACCAAATGTTATGAAACTTACACACAATGCTTATTACCACAAAACTCAGATCAAGTACAAATTTGGGTAGCATCGCTTTTACCGTTCTTAAGTTATGTCCCTTTATAATGTTATATGCAAAGGGGGGGGGGGGGGGGGGGGTGGGCAAATCTGTGTCCCATGGACACATTCCCCATTTGTTATTTCTAAAACTACTTTTTTACACAAACGTGCTTGGCGGGAAGAAATCTCTAATATTCCAAAATATCATGCATTAAGACCAATCAAAACTTTCGAATAAAAATTGTGACAAAATAGCCAATCTCAATTGTTTGTAAAGTTTGCTTCCAAAATGTTGTATGTAAACTTGAAAATTGTTGTATAGTTTTTGTGTTATGCAGAAATTTTTGTGATAAATGATCTATTTTGTAGGAGAGTCACACTCTACCTGATGCCATAGAGAGAGAAGCATTTTACCACCATAAAAGATTAATCAATTATGATTATCGTAGAACTATGAGAACTCTTGTATTTACACTGAAAAATAATGAGGACATTCGACAGAAAGTCATAACTGGAGAACTTAAAGTACCAGAATTTGTATTAACATACAAAAAATGATAATAAGTATTGAGATTATCAAAATCTGTGATAAAATATACCTATACATGTTGTACAAATGTAGTTAAGGAGAGAAGAATATTGTCTGTATGGGTCTTATGGCAATCCCTGATCACATTAAAATGAGCCAAGCAAAGTGAAAAAATTTCAACAATTAGGCAGATGTGTTTCTCGATAAAGCAGACAGAATATTCTTCAAAGAGGAAGACAAAATAAAGTTATATGAACTGCTAACTCATTTCCAATTTCAAAGTCAATATAAATGAACTTATTGGGATTTAATGCATTTGCATGAATTTTAAAAAAAAAATGTAATTCTATAGACTTACACTGGTTTCACATGAACATTATTTTGAAAACCAGTAATAATTTAAATTGTTTTATGTATCTGTAATTATTTTTGATTATTTTTTTTATGTTTTTACTCTTTCATGTTGTCTGAATAAACTGGCATTTATGCATAATATTAACCCAGTCTTTGAACATGAACGTAGAAATTGTAAAAGTAAAATGGGTCTAGTTTTTGGAATATTTGCAACAACAGTTGCTTGAGGGGAGAAGACAATATGGTGTACTATGTCAAGAGGACATATGCGGTTTCATGGTTTCAGCAGGGGGTTGTAATGCATGACAAGGAGGAAGTAAGATAGGAGCCATTATCTTGCCACTAGAATGAGAAAAATAGTACAATTTGTTAGTCAGTTGTGATGTCGCTTTGAATTTCATCTTACTCGACATTATCATACATATTATCAAGCTTGAAATAGTGACCTATTCAAGTGGCTCATTACATACAAATGTCTCTTCTAATTAGTTGATAGTAATTGAATACCGGTATATGCAGTCTATTACATAAAGGATATTTATCCAGAAAATTTAACATTAATCAATACACAATGAAAAGGTTGATTAATTGATGCTTGTTGAAAGGTGGAAATTTGGACTGCCACTGAAAATGAAGAGATCATGGATATAGAACAGAAATTAAGCCATTGAACAGGCTAACAAAGGACCACTCATAGAGTTGTTGCAAGGGTTCTTATACATGCAGAGGTAATGGCACTCTCTACACAAAATATAATATTTAACATTTATATTCCAACCCCACATGGCTGCACAGCCAAACAGAGGCCCAACTTTAGCAAGGGTTTTAATGCCATACTGAGAGAAGTCAGTGTCCTTATTTCTATACCCCAGTCAACCCATGGGGTCTTCAGTAAAAATGAGGTCCGAGTCAGGTGATCCCTTTCAAACCATTATGTACAGCTTGTTTTTAAAAACATCGTAACTGAAAAAGTTACCTCAGCAAGAAAACTGAACAGTGACTCTTATCAAATTTGGTATTGATGGCAGATCTTGTATACATATACATGAATACCTTGCAATGATATATCCTATTACTAATAAAAGAACAGATTTCCAATGTCCCCAGCATTGCACATATTTTATCTATCCAAATTACAAGGACAATAACTAAAAAAAGCACTTTTTTTTCTTCTTTAAAACTTCTTTTTATTAATATCTTAAGAGAAATAAAGGCTTCAGAGCAAATGCAATGGGATTTCCATTATATTTTATATTTCCAAGGGGCAAAACCTCGTTAAAAATATTTGATCAGAATTTATTTTCGAAAGTGTCAAAGACATTGCTGATATAAACCTATGATATAAGTTTCATAAAATTCTAGCAAGAATTGAACACATCAGAGCGATAACATTGCAATTTTCCATATAATCAATATTTTTAAGGGCATAACTCTTTTTAAAAAAATTGCTTCGCTGAGCGCAGCTGGATACGACCGCAGATGTCCAACCCTGAAAAGTTGGGGCCTAATGGACACAATATTCACGCTTGATACAGGTCTGAATTTGGATTGTAACTAAATTTTTGACACATCATAGGTTTCTGACACAGAATAACTGTAGTCAAAGAACTTCAAATTGGTTATATGATTTGAATTTATGTTCAATTTTTTGCTTTTGTGCAATACACTGCTGTTGCGAATTGACCCCCCCCCCCCCCCAAAAAAAAAATTTTATCCCAGTTTTTTGCTTTTGTGCAATACACTATGCTGTTGAATATTACCCCCCCAAAAAAACATTTGAAGAAATTTTCTTTTAATTTTTGAAATCTGAAATGAGAATAAAATGCTTCGCTGGGGCGCAGCTTAATACGACCGCAGAGGTCGAACCCTGAACAGTTGGGGCAAGTATGGACACAACATTCAAGCTTGATACAGCTCTGAATTTGGATTGTTATTAAATATTTGACACAGCATAGGTTTCTGACACAGAAAGAATGTGGTCTAAGAACTTGAATTTTTTTTAATTTACCTATTATGGTCCAATGTCCAAAATCAAAATACATGGTTAGATTCAGCATATCAAAGAACCCCATATATTCAATTTTTGTTAAAATCAAACAAAGTTTAATTTTGGACCCCAACTTGGACAAACTTGAAAACTGGGCCCATAATCAAAAATCTAAACACATGTTTAGATTCAGCATATCAAAGAACCTTAAGAATTCAATTTTTGCTAAAATCAAACTAAGTTTAATTTTGGACCCTTTGGACCTTAATGAAGACCAATTTAAAAAACGGGACTTAAAATTAAAAATCTAAATACACGGTTAGATTTGGAATATCAAAGAACCCCAATAATTCAATTTTTAATGAAATCAAACAAAGTTTAATTTTGGACCCTTTTGACCTCAATATGAACCAATTTGATAGCAGGGCCCACAAATAAAAAATCTAAATTCATGGTTAGATTCAGCATATCAAAGAACCCCATATATTCAATTTTTGTTGAAATCAAAAAAAGTTTAATTTTGGACCCCAACTTGTACCAACTTGAAAACTGGGCCCATAATCAAAAATCTAAACACATGTTTAGATTCAGCATATCAAAGAACCCCAAGAATTCAATTTTTGTTAAAATCAAACTAAGTTTACTTTTGGACCCTTTGGACCTCAATGAAGACCAATTTAAAAAACGGGACCCAAATTAAAAATCTAAAAACACAGTTAGATTTGGCATAGTAAAGAACCGCAATAACTCAATTTCTGATGAAATGAAACAAAGTTTAATTTTGGACCCTTTTGACCTCAATATGAACCAATTTGATAGCGGGGCCTACAAATAAAAAATCTAAATACATGGTTAGATTCAGCATATCAATGAACCTCATATATTCAATTTTTGTTGAAATCAAACAAAGTTTAATTTTGGACCCCAATTTTGACCAACTTGAAAACTGGGCCCATAATAAAAAATCTAAATACATGTTAAGATTCAGCATATCAAAGAACCCCATATATTCAATTTTTGTTGAAATCAAACAAAGTTTAAATACTGGACCCTATCTTGGACCAACTTGAAAACTGGGCCCCTAATCAAAAATCTAAACACATGTTTAGATTCAGCATATCAAAGAACCCCAAGAATTCAATTTTTGCTAAAATCAAACTAAGTTTAATTTTGGACCCTTTGGACCTTAATGTAGACCAATTTAAAAAACAGGACCCAAAATTAAAAATCTTAATACACGGTTAGATTTGGAATATCAAAGAACCCCAATAATTCAATTTCAGATGAAATCAAACAAAGTTTAATTTTGGACCCTTTTGACTTCAATATGAACCAATTTGATAACGGGGTCCACAAATAAAAAATCTAAATACATGGTTAGATTCAGCATATCAAAGAACCCCATATATTCAATTTTTGTTGAAATCAAACAAAGTTTAATTTTGGACCCCAATTTGGACCAACTTGAAAACTGGGCCAAAAATCTAAATACATGTTTAGATTCAGCATATCAAAGAACCTCATATATTCAATTTTTGCTAAAATCAAACAAAGTTTAATTTTGGACCCTTTGGACCTTCATATGGATTTTTTTGTAAAAAAAAAAGATGCAACATTTGCAGATATTTTTACTGGTCTTCCTTTATAAATATGCATTTCTTTAAACATAATTTAAAAGCAGTGTAAGGGAAGTAACCAAAACGTTGTATTTGGATTACCTCCCTTACACTGTTTTAAATTATCTTTATTGTTCATTAACCATTACTTTATACATAATTTAAAAGCAGTGTAAGGGAGATAATTTCAATGATGTATTTGATTTATCTCCCTTACACTGCTTTAAATTATGTTTTGTACTAAAGTATTTGTCCATTAACCAGGACAACCTTGTTTTTCCCCCTTTTTTGCCCCTAATTCCTAAACGGTTTGAGCCATAACCCCCCAAAGCAAATCCTAACCATCCCTTTGTGGTATGGAAACTTGTAGTATAATTTCAGAGAGATCCATACACCGTTCCACAGTTATTGTCTGGAAACTAGAAAATGCTTATTTTTGGCCCCTTTTTGGCACCAAATTCCTTAACTGTTGGTACCATAACCCCCAAAATCAATCCCCACCTTCCTTTTGTGGTATTTAACCTTATGGTCAAATTTCAAAAAGATCCATTCACTTAAACTAAAGTTAGAGTGCGAAAACCAATGTGTCTTCGGACGACGACGACGACGCCAACGTCATACCAATATACGACCACAAAATTTTTTTGCGGTCGTATAAAAATTGTCCCCCCCTCCAATTTTTTTCACCTCCCCACTTTCCCTTATTCCCCAAAAAAAAATCTTTCCCTCAAGATATGGTCAGTATCTCAATTCAAATTTCTAATGGAGTTTGCAACCATAATTACCCATTTAAATACATCATTAAAGTTTTAAAATATAAAATGACATACATAGTCATGGCTAAAATTAATATTAATTAATAGTAACTGCTAAAAATAAATTGACAGCTAATTGCCTCAAGACAATCATCATTTCTTAATACATAAATTACAAGCAGTGTAAGGGAGGTAATCAAACAGTGTTCTTTTAATTGATTTGGATTACCTCCCTTACACTGCTTTTAAATTGTCTCAATTGTCCTTTAACTAGAAAAACCCTTGTTTTTCCCCTTTTGTTGCCCCTAATTACTAATTGGTTTGAGCCATAACCCCCCAAAGTCAATCCTAACCATCCCTTTGTAGTATGGAAACTTGTGGTATCATTTCAGAGAGATTCATACACTTTAACACAAGTTATTGTCTGGAAACTACAAAAATGCTTATTTGGGCCCCTTTTTCCTAAACAGTTGGGACCATAACCCCCAAAATCAATCTCAACCTTCCTTTAGTGGTTATAAACCTTGTGTTAAAATTTTATTGATTTCTAATTACTTATACATGTACTAAAGTTATTATCTGGAAACCATCTGTCTTCGGACGACGCTGACGACGTAGCCGGACGACGACGACAGCGTGATACCAATATACGACCAAAAAATTTTTAATTTTTGCGGTCGTTTAATAATTGATCGGCACTGATTTTTGAACTCTTCAAGAACATTGATGATATAAACCTATAATATAAATTTCATAAAAATCTGGCAAGAATTGTACACATTAGAGGGCTCATAAGGCAATTTTCCATATAATTAATATTTCCAAGGGGTTAACTTTTTAAAAAATTATTGATCAGCACTGATTTTCAAACATCTAAATCTGGCAATATTTGTACACAAAAGAGCGCTAACGATGCAATTTTCCATATAATAAATCTTTCCAAGGGGCATAACTCATTTAAAAATAATTGTTTTGGACAAATTTTCAAACTCGTCCAAGACATTGCTGATATAAACCTATGATATAAGTTTCATAAAAATCTGTCAAGAATTATACACATGAGAGCGCTAATGATGCAATTTTCCATATAATTAATGTTTCCAAGGGGCATTACTCTTTTAAAAATAATTGAATCGGCCATGATTTTCGAACTCGTCCAAGACATTGCTAATATAAACCTATGATATAAGTTTCATAAAATTATGGCAAGAATTGTACACAAAACAGTGCTAACGATGCAATTTTCCATAAAATTTATGTTTGCAACTCTGAAAAATAATTGATTGGCACGGATTTTCAATCTCGTCCAAGACATTGCTTATATAAACCTATGATATAAGTTTTAAAAAAATCTGGCAAGAATTGTACATGTGAGAGCGCTAACAAGAGCAGACAGACGGATGGTATTTCCATGTCCACCGCAATGCATTACGCGTGGGGACAATAATAAGTGAGAAATTCATTTGACAAACAAAAAAGTAATTTTTTTTTCAAGCAGTTGCTGAACAATGAAAATGAAGGAAAGGACAATGAACATATGACTGACAGAATTTTCATAGCATAAGGCTTCTGCATACAAGATATTAAGCATCCAGGCGTTCTTTCTACCTTCTGAAAAATAAAGCTTTTAAACAAATAGTTTACGCCATTGCACCGCCGGATTGTAATCCCTATGTCTCTCTTTCTGCACTTTCGTCGCAGGCAAGACACAAACTACCATATGTTGATCTCTTAGATATATTTAGCTTTTTATATTGTTGGTTGCTGTCTCACAAAACTATACTCCATATATGTTTGTGTTTATATGTATAACCCACAATTATTCTATGAAAAAATAGAAAGTACCTACTTCTCATAATGACAGAAAAAATGACCTAACCACTAAACCTTTACAATGATCATTGAGCCATGAAAATAACAAACATATTTACAATGATATTACAGACCAAATAATAGTTGACATATTTCTCATAGTAATTTACCTAAAAGCTAAATAATACTGAATTAGGCCAAAGGAGTCATTAAATCACAGCTGTTGTTTAAAACAGGTAGGAAATCACTAACTAAATATGTTAATCACTTTATTTAGTACATGGTACCATTAACAAGACATATTTATAACATTTCAGGCAAAGCATGCATTTCTTTTCTGGAAATAGTACATTTAATTATATACATACTGCCTATCAAATCCAAATTTTAAAGAAAAATTTTACAATTTGGTCAAGAAAATTGTTGTGTGTTGGTCAACAATGTTACAAAAATTACTGTGTAATAAATATCAGTAAATATTTATAAAGTTTGAAGATAAAGAAGTATTTATCTATTTTTGTAGAAGTTTTCAATTAGTAATTTAAAACACAAGAAATGTATTCATGGTTTTATTTCTTCCCACAACTCCAGATTGAATGATGGGATACTTAACATCCAACAACAAATTTTACAAACAAAATCAGTATTTTTTATGGATATACTCTGCCTTGTACTAGAAAAAGAAAGCAAGTCAAATATTTGCAAGTGCTAGTTCATGGGTAACAATCTGCAGTTGAGAATAATTCCAAAACCTCCACCACTCCAAGAAAAACAAAAACAAAATTACGACCAATGTAGTTCTTCAATTTTTTAGCCAGATCTTAAACATTGAAAAGTATATTAGTAACTGCAAAGTAAGGTTTGGGATATAAGGATCAACTAAAATCATTATACATAAAATATTTTAACACCCCCCCCCCCCCTCTCTTTTAACCCGTCAGGGATAAATTGAATGTGCGGAAAATAGGTAACATCTTCCGGAAAAGAGTGAAACACAGAATGTTACATGGGGTAAAACATGGCATAACAGTAGCAGTTTTAAGGGAAAGTTGAAAAAAGTGTAAAATAAAAGTTGGAAACAGCATTTTGCATACACATTTAGCAGAAAGACATAGACACAAGATCTTAAACACAGCAATATGTTGGAACAGCCTCTTTCATATAGGAAACAAAAACAAGCATTCTGAGAGTATTGCATGGCAATACATAGTCCCCTACCGGTTAAAAATTCATTGTACTGGAATGTTATGCTAACTAGATCTATAACTTGTTATGATGTAAACTATATAACAAATATCAAGTCAATATCTTCAAGCATGACAAAAAAAGTGAGGAAAAACTAATTATTTGAGTGAATTTTCTAAGTCAAATCATCATAACTCTGCAGAAAATCATCAGAACGGAACAAAATTCGAACTTGATTTGTAACTTGTCATGATAAAACTATATACCAATTATTAAATCAATATCTTCAAGCATGACTAAAAAAAAGTGCAGAAAACTAATTATTTGAGTGAATTTTCTAAGTCCAAGGACCATAGCTCTGCACAAAATCATCAGAATGGAAATTCAAACTTGATCTGTAACGTGTCATGATATAACTATATACCAATTATCAAATCAATACCTTCAAGTGAGGAAAAACTGATTATTTGAGTGAATTTTCTAAGTCAAAACACCATAACTCTGCAGAAAATCATCAGACCGGAACAAAATTCGATAACTTGGTCTGTAACTTGTCATGATTAAGCTATATGCCAATTATTAAATCAATATCTTGAAGCATGACAAAATAAATGTGGATAGTGTCCACATGTGGACACAGATGATGCCCCCGCTTGCATATCATATAGTTATAAAGGGACATAACTGAAGAACGGAAAAAGTGACGCTACCCAAATTTGAACTTGATCTGAGTTTTGTGGTAATAAGCATTGTGTGTAAGTCTCATAACATTTGGTTGAGGCTAACTTTAAGTAGAGAACAGAAACAAAAAATTCAGCAATTTTTCTATTTGTAAACACGCATAACTCTAACGTGAGTGTGTATAAGTTTTACAACATTTGGTTGAGACAAACTAAAAAATTCAGCAATTTTTATGTTTATAAAAGGACATAACTCTAGAATGATAAAAGTGTTGCCACCTAATTTCGTACTTAATCTGTATTATGTAGTAATAAGCATTGTGTATAAGTTTCATAACATTTGGTTGAGGCAAACTCAAGTTAGAGAACGGAAACAAAAAAATTGTACTTGATCTTTACTGAGTTTTGTGGTAATGAATATTGTGTATAGGTTTCATAATGTTTGGCTGGGGAAAACTTCAGTTACAGAATGGAAATTAAAATTTTGCAATCTTTCGATTTATAAAGGGGCATAACTCAATAATGGTTAAAGTGACACTACCCAAATTCAACTTGATCTGTGTTTTATCAGCGGAAGTCAAAATTAAACATTGCATTGTATAAAGCATTGATTGTAGTTGATTCAACTATAATCATGGTCAAAGGAAGATAACTCCAATTTTAAAAATATATTATAAACTTGATATTTAGAAGAAAATAAAAATTTTGCAATTTTTCCATTTATAAAGGGGCATAACTCTAGATCAGTTAAAGTGATGCCACCAAAATTCAAACTTGATCTGTGTTTTGTGGTAATAAGCATTGTGTACAAGTTTCATAACATTTGGTTGAGGCAAACTTAGTTAGAGAAAGGAAACTAAACATTTTGCAATATTTCCTTTTATAAAGGGGCATAACTCTAGATCGGTTAAAGTGACGCCACCAAAATTCATACTTGATCTGTGTTTTGTGGTAATAAGCATTGTGTATAAGTTTCATAACATTTGGTTGAGGCAAACTTAAGTTAGAGAACGGAAACTAAAAATTTTGCAATATTTCCTTTTATAAAGGGGCATAACTCTAGATCAGTTGAAGTGACGCCACCAAAATTCAAACTTGATCTGTATTTTGTGGTAAAAAGCATTGTGTATAAGTTTCATAACATTTGGTTGAGGCAAACTTAAGTAAGAGAACGGAAACTAAAAATTTTGCAATATTTCCTTTTATAAAGGGGCATAACTCTAGATCAGTTAAAGTGACGCCACCAAAATTCAAACTTGATCTGTGTTTTGTGGTAATAAGCATTGTGTATAAGTTTCATAACATTTGGTTGAGGCAAACTCAAGTTAGAGAACGGAAACCAATTTCGGGACGTACGTACGTACGTACGTACGTACAGACGGACAAGGGTAAAACTTAATGCCCCCTCAGCTACGGCGGGGGCATAAAAAAAGTGCGGAAAACTGATTTGCCGGACTGACAGATGGACAGACAAATGGACAGACAGACAGACAGAAACACGGACGGAGTGCAAACCTTAAGTCCCCTTCGACTTCATTGGTAGGGGACTAAAAAAGAAAATTAAATTTGCTTCAAAAACCAAAGAAACATTAATATTTTACTGAAACCCCCCTCCCCTCCTAAAAAAAACACAGAAAAAAAATTTGATTTCACATTTCAACTTGATTAGAAAGGGACTATTTTGGGCATCACTTCCTTTTGGTCCCTTTTAAACCATCTGCATATGGAAAGTTGTGAGGGGAAGAACAAATGTGAATTAATTATTCAGACAAGGAATGTGATCATGTATCAGAAAAATAGTTTAAAATGGGTAGATAATTAAAACTGGTGTACAGAAGCCAAAACATGACAGATACTGCTCCTTATGAGTCTGAAAATAATTACATATATAAATGATGGTCCTACATTGCAAGGAAAAGTGAAATCATTAAAAACACTTACATTTTCAACAGTAAAAGGATAAAATCTGCTAATCCTACCATGACCTTTATATACAAATAAGTCAGGCATTTTATTATCAGATTATAAACCCTTTATGGTTATAACTGGTACATAAAACTTAACTTATCTTTTAAATACATGCATGTTAGTACATTTGACAAAATCCATAACATTGATCAATAGAAACAAAAAAATAACATTTTATGTCCGCTGCTGTAGAAGGTACTGGGTGAGCAGTGGTGATGGTGGTAAGAATTGTTATGTCCGCTGCTGTAGAAGGTACTGGGTGAGCAGTGGTGATGGTGGTAAGAATTGTTATGTCCGCTGCTGTAGAAGGTACTGGGTGAGCAGTGGTGATGGTGGTAAGAATTGTTATGTCCGCTGCTGTAGAAGGTACTGGGTGAGCAGTGGTGATGGTGGTAAGAATTGTTATGTCCGCTGCTGTAGAAGGTACTGGGTGAGCAGTGGTGATGGTGGTAAGAAATGATGATGTTTATTTTCTACCTGTGTTCGACGATTCCCATTTTCATCATAACCTGTAAAAAAAATCAATAAAATTTACTAGTTATCAATAAAATCTAGCATAATTTTCCTATCTTTGTCAGTATCATCCTGTCACAGTATTAATTAAGAAAGCACTTGAGGGGTCTATTTGATAATAAATTGCTTCGCTGAGCCCAGCTGGATACGACCGCAGATGTCCAAATCCTGAAAACTTGGGGCCAAAATGGACACAATATTCACGCTTGATACAGGTTTGAATTTGTAATTAAATATTTGACACATAATAGGTTTCTGCCACAGAATAACTGTAGTCAAAGAACTTAAAAATTGGTTATATGATTTGAATTTATATTCAATTTTATGCTTTTGTGCAATACACTATGCTGTTGCGAATTGACCCCCTCCCCCCCCTAAATAAAATTGACCCCATTTTTTTGCTTAAGTGCAATACACTATCCTGTTGAATATTAACCCCCAAATAAAATATTTGAAGAAATTTTCTTTTTAATTTCTGAAATCTGAAATGAGAAAAAATAGCCCCCCCCCTTCCCTTATTCCAAAAAAAAAATCATTCCCTCAAGATATAGTCGTAATCTCAATTCAAATTTTAATAAAATTTGCAACCATAATTACCCTTTTGAATACATCATACAAGTCTTAAAATATAAAATGACATACATAGTAATGGCTAAAATGAATATTAATTAATAGTAACTTTTAAAAATAAATTGACAGCTTATCACCTCAAGACAATCATCATTTCTTAATACATAATTTACAAGCAATGTAAGGGAGGTAATCAAACATTGCTGTTTTAATTTGGGATTGGATTACCTCCCTTAGACTGCTTTAAATTGTCTTAATTGTCCTTTAACCAGAAAAAAACTTGTTTTCCCCCTTTTTTGCCTCTAATTCCTAAATGGTTTGAGCCATAACCCCCCATAGTCAATCCTAACCATCCCTTTGTTGTATGGAAACTTGTGGTATAATTTCAGAGAGATTCATACACTTTAACACAAGTTATTGTCTGGAAACTACAAAAATGCTTATTTGGGCCCCTTTTTTTGCCCCTAATTCCTAAACAGTTGGCACCACAACCCCAAAAATCAATCCCAACCTTCCTTTAGTGGTTATAAACCGTGTGTTAAAATTTTATTGATTTCTATTTACTTATACTAAAGTTATTATCCGGAAACCATCTGTCTTCGGGCGACGCTGACGACGACAACGTGATACCAATTTACGACCAATAAATTTTAATTTTTGCGGTCGTATAAAAATTTCATGGTTAATAGAAAAATAATAATACGGTAATGTTTTATTCTCATTGCAATAAAGTGAGGATTTTTATTTTTTTATAATTGACTTTCCATTATTGATCCTACAATATTTAATACAAGTTTTTCTAGTCATAAGAAAATGACAAAAATAGCATGGAAAATTTCCTGGACCCTTGTAAGAGATAATCCAAAAGTTAATATGATCTATAAGAACATATGGTGATCCACAACAACACTTAAAGTAAAATGTGTTTCCATCATGCTTTGTTCTATTTCTATGTTGACAGACTTTCCTATATAAAGATATCTTTTGCTATGATGACACCCGTTAAAAGAAATGGCAAAGTCTATGTTTTATTGTATGAACCTCCATAATTCAAAATGAAAATAAATGGGGAATGTGTCCTCATGGACACAGATGATGCCCCCACTTGCATATAACATTATAAAGGGACATAATTCAAGAACGATAAAAGTGACACTACCCAAATTCCTACTTGATCTGAGTTTTTTTGTAATAAGCATTGTGTATATGTTTCATAACATTTGGTTGAGGCAAACTTAATTTAGAGAACGGAAATGAAAAATTCAGCAATTTTTCCATTTGTAAAGGGGCATAACGCTAGAACGATAAAAATGATGCCACCAAAATTTAATTTTTTGATCTGTGTTTTGTGGTAATAAGCATTGTGTATAAGATTCAGAACATTTGGTTGAGGCAAACTTAAGTTAGAGAACGGAAACGAAAAATTCAGCAATTTTTCCATTTGTAAAGGGGCATAACTCTAGAATAGTAAAAGTAACGCCACCCAAATTCAAACTTGTTCTGTGTTTAGTGGTAATAAGCATTTTGAATAAGTTTCATAACCTTTGGTTGAGGCAAACTAAAAGTTGGAGAACGGAAACCAATTTTGGGATGTACAGACGGACGTACAGACGAACAAGGGTAAAACTTAATGCCTCCTCCCCTAAGGCGAGGGCATAAAAATAATAAATGTGCCAAGATAAAGTTTTGTTCCATTCTTATGTAAACTATAGAATATTTTGCATTTAACAAACTTTTGTCCTGGACAGACAGACAATTTGTCTCATTCTCAGGACTAAAGTATATGTGAGGAAGCTTACCAGTACCGGTAAGTATAAAACTTAGTTATACTCTACAAAATACATGAATATCTTTAAAGGAAACAAATCAAGCAGTGAATAACTGAAGATAATTTCTACCAGTTCTGGATTGTAGATTTAACTATTTAACACTTACTTGATGAAATGAGATCCAGGTACTGACATAATGCATGCAACATCATTCTCTCAAAACTGCTTTTATAGTCTGATAGATATACTGATGAAGGCCACTCTGAGAAGAAAGATAACAGATCTCTTTCCAAGCTCTCTAATACACCCTGAAAGATAGATCTTAAATTGTTATTAGGTTTAAGATACAATAACATTGATTTAATACCACAACTATGATGTAGCCTTGCCCCCTCCCCTCTCTTTTCCCAAACACTTTTTTATTGTTAAAGACTGTATGTTGACTTCTGGATGTCATTTTTTAGGTTTTTGTGTTGCTTGGTGACTTGTCTCATTTTATTCTACATCTGACTTTTATGCATTTGATTCCTGTTCAAAAGGTCTCTCTAGAAGTCTACAAACCTTAGTGCCAATAAAGTTTAAACAGTTTGGAATTATAGTTTAAGGGAAGAATAAATAAAAATTAATCCACCAGAATCAGTTAATTCCCCTGCCAACCATGTTTTGATCAAACAAGAATAAATAAGGAGAGAATATCATAAAATTCCTTTTTTTACTGATATATAATTCAGATTGTCCTGGTGATTTCTTAGAAGTTGGAAAGTTTTCAAGATAGATAGCTAAGAATGTACAGTTATGACTTAAGTGTGTATGTCCTTTCAGCAAAGGAAGCCAAAAAAATACCATAAATGATGACAGACATGAAGGTTGTGCTCTTTCGTGGCCGTCAGTTTTTATTGGTGGAGGAAGCTGGAGTGCCCAAGGAGAAACAACAACATTCCGCAATAAAACTGACAATCCTAGTCAATTAAGATTGGAGTCTATCAAACCTGCCACGTGCAGGAATCAAACTCACAACCTCAATGTTGACAGGCTATAATACAGTGGTTTGACTACTTCGACCACTCAATCACTGAGACCCCTTCCTTTGGTGAGTTAAAACTTGTACAGTAGATATACAAACCATTGGAACATGTCTTCTCTTCAAGAATGATTTGATATTCTTATCAATTTTCTGGAAGCATTCTTTAGCACTAAAGCCTGGATGAGCTACAAAGTGAAAAAAATGATATTGTATTGAAGAAAAATATTGCAACAAACTTCCAGCAAACGAAACTTTGATTAATAATTAAAACAAAATGCCATTACACATGGAAGGATAACCTATTGAAACTAAATGCCATTACACATGGAAGGATAACCTATTGAAACTAAATACCATTACACATGGAAGGATAACCTATTGAAACTAAATGCCATTACACATGGAAGGATAACCTATTGAAACTAAATGACATTACACATGGAAGGATAACCTATTGAATGAAAAGAGTAATTCTATTACAGTAAAAATACTTAAGTGTATAATCACAATTTTTAAACTGGATTAAAAAAAATATAAAGAATTCATCTATATTTTCAACACTTGATTTCCTACAGTACTAAAACTGAATGTACACCTATAACATTAAAAATCTGAAATAAAGAATAAATGTATGAGACTGTATGAAAACTAACACAAACAATGCACAGGACATGTGCATATTCTGAAAAAAATCTATAATCATGACAAAAGTTAAAATAACACCAAAGCTGATTCTCATCATACCAAACTCAATTACCTTAACCTACTTTAAAGTTCTTCAAGACATGTTATATAACTGTACAAAATCCCAAAACATTTGAAAGTTCCATTTATATTTGTTTGAGAGAACTGTTGCAGGAATGAGTTTTATTCCAGTTAAACATGCAAATACAAAATAACAACATGCTATTCAAAGTTCAAAAGATTTTACCTCAGTTTTAAGGACAAATGAAGAAGTTGTCTATATCTGGTTAGGACAAAATATGTCATACATGTAGAAGAGAACTACATAAGACATTTTCATCATACATGTACAGGTAACCTGTATATTCATGTAGACAAAACCTACATTACAGGACAGACAGAAAATTATAACCCGTACATGATCTCATGTCCACCTCTTCCCATGTTTCATCAAGATCACTACATTCAGTGTTGTTCCCTTCATCTGTTTTCTTCCTTGAATCTTTTGTTTCTGCTCTTGTTAAAAACTGCTGCTGCTCATCTTCTGAAGAGTTGATGAAATCATTCCAAATCTACATATAATAATAATAGAAAACACTTAGGTGTATGTCTATCATGAAACATATGTGTTGCCTACAACCTGAATGCAACATTTAATTGCTACAAATGTTAATGATGACAAACATAATTCTATACATAGCGAAAACTGTTCAGCTTTGTTACCATGATTACAACTTTAATAACTCTTTGAGTGTGTACTTAGAACATTAAAATTGTTTGTTTGTTAGTTGAGTAAACCATAAATACTTTATTGATTTTTATAAATATAGAAACAAAATGGTCAAACAGGTTTTTCAGTCAAAATTAATTTGCAAATTCAATGATTTGATTGGTCAGTAATATCTATATTGTTTATCTATCAATAGATGGTAAACAAAAGTAATTCTATGGTCCATCTAGCAAACTTTACTTCATTGTTCTGTATACACACTCAAGTGTATATAAAGTATATGCTGTAAAACTTTATCTTATATTGTCTCTTTACTGACTACAGAACAAACCTGCATTTTCTCTTGTTCCATGAACAATTCTGCAAAGTGAGATACTGATGGTTCAAACAAATCAGTCTCAATATCACTTGAACTGCCATCATCTTTTTCATTCAAATTAAGTAGGTACTTCACTGCAATATTAGTATACATAATCAATCTGGAGTTTCATGATTCTGTAGGTATGTTATACATGTATCACAAAATATATTTATAATTCATAAATGTGCACGTTACTTAATTCATTTATAAACATCACATTAAATCCAAATGAACAGGATGAATAGCATAGAATGAGTTAAACAAGCTGCATTCTAATGAAACAAGATTACCACAGACATTCTTTTGATAAATCTTTTTGGTGTCATTATCAAATCTTAGTATTTCATATAGCTGAGTTAAAACATTGCATCATTTAAGCTACCTGTTGATGAAAAATGCATTATGGTTTTCACTTAAATAATTTTCTTTGACTACAAATGTAAATAAATTACTGTTTTCAACTCTCCTAGCCTGTTTGGCTCCTGTCTTCTTCCTGCATACATAGTTGATGTTGTTGTCATATCTATTTGCAAAAATACGATTTCTATTTACACGTCTTTTCTTTGATTCGGATCTAACTTCCTCTTTTATATCATGCTGCAATTCCCTGAAACAAAATAGCCTTAGTATTAACATGATTAAAAACAAATTCAAATAAAAAATACATGTTTTCCAAAATTCCAAATTCAAAGGAGGTTCAAAGGAATTTTAATTCATTGAGTTGTACGACATGATATCACAATCAGCATGAAACTAAAACCTTTGGATGTTTCTGAGAAAGTATATCAAATAGCTACAACTTCCTCTGAATTAAACTTGTATTAGTAAAATTATCCAACTTTCTCCTTTTCTACATTTTATTTTTGTAAATGGTGATGTTCCTTTAATCCCCCTGATAGACCATCTCATGGTACCTGTTTCCTAGCTTGTTGGTGATGGTCATATCTGTAGTAAAATTCTGAACTTCAATTAGCATTACCATTTCATTTGTTTGACTAGCTACAAACCATTAAAATGATTAAGCAAATTGTTACATTATAGATTTTCTTATCATAAAATACCCCAATGCCACAGTAAAATTATTTCTAGATAAATATATCATTGTCCTGAAATTTACCTTTCCAGTTCATTCAAAATGGTATAAAATTTCACAAATTTTATATCTTCAAGAGCAAATAAAACCTTTAGTTGTGGTAAGGATGTTCACAACTTTAAATGACCAAATGGAATCTTTCAAGGGTCCAGGAGTGGCTGCGTCATTCTAAGATAGTTTGGGCAGGTATAAATCTCTTGAATATAATATGTATCTGCTCAATATACAATACCAAATATGTATGTATTTATTCCAATAAATGTCCCTCAGGGGGCAATGACACGGATACAATTATAATTCAGTTATATCAACATATACAGTACAAGAATACAATGTATAATACCAATTTGGAAATAACAAAAACAATGTAAGATGATTTTGAATGTTTAGTTCCAGGGGTTTTCTGTGTATTTTGGGAAAAAGGACCCTGGGCAGTTTTGGGATTTTTTACTTGATTTTCAATGAAATTGGGAAAACAACAAATATATACCAGATGTGAGTTTAAGTGTGTATAGTTCATTAGAAATTATCTTTTTTGTGAAAATAGAGTAAGAAACTACATGATTGCCACTTATAATTTCATTTTCTGTCCTTTTTTTTAAAACTTGATAACAAGGTAATTGCAATCAAGTTTATTTGAGTATTAAAAAAACATCCCATATCAATTTTTATTAGTGATAAAGAAAGTGATGTCACCTTTTATTGGATTTTGGACTGTAACATGAAAATTTGTGAACTAAAAATAATTTTGAGTTTCTGTATAAAACATTTCCTGTTTCTTCTTTCTTTCTCATATATCATGTATATCTTTTGATTTTCAATTCTAGTATTTATATTTTATAGCTGTATTTTGTCACCTGTCATGAAATTTTTATTTATTTATTTATTTATTGTAGTTGATCTGTCAACCCGGAATGACAAATGATGAGCATTATGCACTCCCAGAATCTGGTCCGGTATTGCAATTGTTGACATTTCCGGTTTTTAGCGGCCATTTGTAGAAGTTTTTTGTCAGTCAGATATGTTTTTACTCGGTTTTACACATGACGTGTTTGCGATTTTCAGCAAAAAGCTAGCAGTTGAACAAAATGAACATTGTAATATTATACCACTGTTTCAGGTTAGGGTGAAGGTTGGCGCCTGTTAAAACGTTTAAACCTGCTGCATTTTTATGCACCTGTCCTAAGTCAGGAGCCCGTTGTTCAGTGGTTGTCGTTTGTTGGTGTGGTTCATAAGTGTTTATCGGTTTTTTTTTTATATAGATTAGACCGTTGGTTTTCCTGTTTGAATTGTTTTACACTAGTCTTTTTGGGGCCCTTTATAGCTTGCTGTTCGGTGTGAGCCAAGGCTCTGTGTTGAAGGCTGTACTTTGACCTATAATTGTTTACTTATTACACATTGTGACTTGGATGGATAGTTGTCTCATTGGCACTCATACCACATCTTCTTATTTATAATCACTGTCATGAAAAATAAAGGTGAAATGAATTTTGAGATCATTTGGGAATTTTTCCTCCCAAAATTGGGAAAAATGTAGGGGTTTTGCCATTGGGAATGGGTCCGAATACCAGACCCTGTCGAATACTAGAAAAATCCATGAGTTCTCTAATTGCCTAGATGAATTGATGGAATGTTTTTATCCTGCATTACCAAAACAGCATGCACCATATTTTTTACTTTTTCATTATAGTAATACAATGGGTAAATAGACATAACCAGCACCTTCTGTTCTCACACACAAAGTATTGAGTACTTATAAATGAGTTTAACTACTATATTAAAGAAGAAAATCTGCAAAAATGGATGTTTGCGGTAGTGCAACCCCAGGGGAGACAAAAAATATTGATGATTGATTGCTCTGCTGGAGGAGACACCAGGGGATGGTGCTTAAAATGCAAAGCAAGCATTGAAGTAATATAAAAAAAGATAATTAATAGGGTACATTAATCCTTATTCCTACAATATAAGTCTTTGTAGGTTCATATCGTTTCCAGTCAATGTTTTTTCAGATATTTTTTTTATACTATCAATGCGAAACATCTTGGTTCAGCATTGATAGTAAAAATAAAAAATCCAATAAAAAATGTAGGTGGGTGACAAAATAAACAAATAAAGTTCAATAACTTCTCAATGTTATATATTAGAAATTTATAAAAAAAACTAAAGGGAGGTTATCTTAATAGATATAAATCAGTCATCAAAGTTTAATGAAAACTGCTCTAAGCACTTTAAGGATATTGTCCAAAAACTTGAAAATCACCCCTTTTTTTATGAATAAAATCTTGTAACTCGGAAACATAAAATCTAAAATTTATAAAAATCAAAAGGGAGCTTACAACAATAGATATAAACAATTTACCAAAGTTTCATAAAATATGCTGAAAGCATTTTTGAGTTATTGTCTGAAAACAGGAATATCCCCCTTTTTGTAACGAATAAAACCCCATAAATCAGAAACGTATAGTCTAAAATTTATAAAAATCAAAAGGGAGCTCATGTCGATAGCATTACACAATTCACCAAAGTTTCTTGCAAATTGGTGAAATTGTTTTTGAGATATTGTCCGAAAACTGGAAAATCCCCCCTTTTTTAATGAATAAAACTCCAAAATTCGGAAACGGTAAATCTGAAATTTATAAAAAACGAAAGGGAGCTCACATCAATAGATATAAACAATTCACCTAAATTTCATGCATATTGCCTTATTGGTAAAAGCGTTTTTGAGTTAATATCCGACATGTTGACGACGGACGGACGGACGGTCAACGGTATACCATAATACGTCCCGTAAACGGGCGTATAAAAATAGGTAGGGTTGCAGCTAGGAATTATATTGATCAGTTATATAGGCCCTACTCTTCCCAGGCTACGCCGCCTACAGAGATGCTTGCAGTCAATTTTTTGCCTGTGAGACACAAGCATATTTTATAAATACTCACTCTAGCTCATCTTCAATATATCCATAAAAGAATACGTCTTTTCCATCTCTTGTTACTCCCATGTTTAATACTTTTTTGTTTACTTTTGACAATGACAAGTGAAGGAAATTTCCGTTGGTGATGAAACGTCAAATTGTTTCAGATAGCGGATAATCCAGAGACTGTCCGAAGGAAAATAAGGTTTGTTAAGGGTTTTGGCAGAGTCGCAAATCATTTCAATGAGTAGATCAAAACAAGAATCTAAATATCAATTGTTGATTTTTATTTATAAATTTTGGCAATTATCTCTAGAAATCTGTCGAACATATTATTCATTAATGATAATAATAATAATGTTGATAGTAAATCCCTTAGTAAAGCCTCTTTAATGACTCACAATCAGTAAAATGTTTGAATGTTGCACCAAATACAGTACAAGAAAATGAATCTAAAATACATTGAACATAAAAAAGGGAAAAATATTCTTTTTGTTAGCAAGAAAAATATTCCAGCTGGAGTCGTTAGTAGAAAACAGAAGGTAATCATATTAGACTATTTGAAATACTTTAACCAAATCAAATAACCCAAAACATATATTCGACAGTGAAAAAAGGCAAAACCCTGACTGATTCACCACTTATATAATTATTAAAAAATAGAGAAAAGTGAAATTATTGCCAATGAGACAACTATCCACCAAAAAAGACCAAATGACAAGGACTCTAACAACTGCAGATTACCATATGGCCTTCAATTGGCATTATAGTATTAGTAGACATTTCAGTTTATACACGTATGAATTCTAGTTAAATTGGCATCCGATATAGTCAAATCGGCACCTAGTCAAATCGGGACCTGGTTAATTTGGTACTTGAGGTAGTTATGTTGGCACCCAAACTTAACCTTATGTTTTGCAAGTAAACTATTGAAGACTGTGTTTTCTATATTGATTTTTAATATTTTCACTCCAGGTGTTTACATATTATATTTGTCTGGATACTTTTTTTTTGTAACAGAAGATTTAATGGAAACTTTGTAATAAACAATGCCATAATATCTGTTTCTTTTGAAACTTATATATAAAGGAACTTCTTTTTCATGACAACTGCACATTGCTATTAACATGATTAAACATACAAAATTGGTGCCAACGTTCTACATTTTATATAAGTAGACAGGAAATGCAAGGAAAAAAACAATTTAGATACATGTAACAATGATTAAAAATTAATTTTATCCCCATCTGTGGATTAAACAACTATAGCTTGGATATCCGATAATAGCTTCTTTGTTTAATTAAAGTTTTTTTTTAATTATAAAACATAAAAAAGAACTACCTTTAAAATGGTTAAAACAACAAACGGATTATTGTTTTTAATTGATATAAGTTCATATGTTTATAAACATGCCATACATGATACCTCAAATAAAAAGGAAAGAAAAAGGTAAAAATAATATTCAATGCTGAAATGACTTTAGATAGGTGCCGAATTGACTAGATGCCGATTTGACCAGGTGCCGATTTGACTTGTACCCAAAGTATCACAGTATCATATCAAGATAAAATCAGGGCTCATGCTACCAGGCAATTAGGGCAAAGAAGTCGCTTTCCTGTCCGTCACTTCGCTTTGCCCGACCCTCAAAAGCAAAAACAAGTCGCCCTGTTGTTTACGATACTCGCTTTCGTCATTGGACATTTTCAATTTTTACCAAGTTGATAAAACATCAATTTTTTATTGATTATTAAAGAAATTCAGACATATACGATTCATTTTCTTAAGAAAAGAGGTTTAAGCATTGACTTTACAGTGTGTAGCAGGTAACTTAATAAAAAGACAACTTTTTATCACTGCATGCACTTCCGGTACTTGTTACTCAGAGAGCGTACATCAATCTAACTTTCAGCGGCAAAATAAGTTTGTTACTTCATTTGAAAGTGATAAAAGTTGCCTCCAGTAAATGTTTAATCCATTTATTGCATTAAAAATGTCATATTCCTTTCCAATAGCTTGTCAAACATCGTTTATTTTTGTAAATTTTCTTCGTCCGCCATTAACCATTTACTATCTACGGGTCGGAACCGGACCAGCTATGACCGAAATCCGTATTTTTACAATAATAACTACGGACGCATGAATGGAACAGCTGACAGAAGAATATTGATCCCAAAAGGAAAAATTACGCATTCCACACGCATTAACAGACTTTTGGTTAGATCTAATTGATTAATGTATATAATTCCATATAATTTATATGGATTGTTTCAAAATATTGATTAAAGTTGCTTAACTTCTAATATCAATATATTATGGCCCAGCTTAACTTTGTATATCTTTTGATGAGAAACACTGAATTTCATAAACATGATAAACAAGATAGTTTTTAATTGAATTGTAATTCATACATGTGTATATTATAATTTCTTTACCTTTTTGACATAAAAAAAAATTTTCTTTAGTGCTAGATACATGTATTTAGTTGGTAGTTTTTCACAAGAACCTAAACTTAAACAACTTTGAAATTGAACTGTTAATTTAATTGTATACTCAGATATGAATTGAACAATATAAAAAGTACATTATTTACATATGACCCTTTATACTATAGTAAAATCAAAACATAGTAGCGCAGCGCGCGAAGGAGCACTACTCTTTCCAATCTCACCACTTCTCCCTATCAGTTTCAAAAAGAGAAGTCACTTCTCCCTATGATTCTGAAGTAGTGTGAGCCCTGTAAAAAATAAGTTCAACTATGAAAAATTCAACACTGTATCATAGTAAGATAAAAAAAGTTCAACTATGAAAAAATCCACACCCTAATGTGTGCGCATATTTAAGGCAGATGTTTCTTGCCTACCTGTTAAATATTTGCGGATCACACCCAGGAATTCAAGAGCCCCACCAAGATTTTTCTACACCCGCTCATCAAGTAAACCAGGGTTTCAGCATCTGACCCGTTTTCAGAGTTTTCTAGCTATATAGGGATATTATATTTTCAATGTCCATGATGTCTGAATGCTAGATTTTCTCCTGAAAAACCAGCCAGATTGTAAATTTTTCCTGGACAGATTGTTTAATGAAATTATGAAAACAGAGTACATGCATTGTCCTCCCACAGATTTCAACCTATATTTTTTACGTCCCAAAATTGGTTTCCGTTCTCTAACTTGAGTTTGCCTCAACCAAATGTTATGAAACTTATACACAATGCTTAATACCACAAAACGCAGATCAAGTTTGAATTTTTGTGGTGTCACCTTAACCGTTCTAGAGTTATGCCCCTTTATAAATGGAAAAATTGCAAAATTTTTAGTTTCCATTCTCTAACTTTATTTTCTTATGCATATTTTCAGGATTTTAATATCCTTAACATTTTCCACAAATGACAGGATGTTAAATTTGTCATTTTTTTTGGAAAATATGCAAAAGGGGTACATGGTTTGTTCAGCTATCTCTTTCTTCAGTTTTCAAACTAGTGTAAAGCAAAACACTGTCCTATGATATATTGTCCCCCAAGACAATATTAATTTCATGACTGGATCCTAAAATTTTGTCCCCATGTATGAAATAATGTCCAGCGCATCCAGGGAAGGACAAATTTCCATATGAAATTTTGTCCATATACACAAAATATTTTATAGATGGATTGGGGAACTCGGTGGGCGAGTGGTCTAAGTAATCCAACTACTGTATCACTAGCCTGCCAACATCGAGGTTGTGAGTTCTAACCTCGCATGTGGCAGGTGTGCTCGATTCCAATCTTAATTTACTAGGATTGTCAGTTCTCCAGGTCTGTGGTTCTCCAAGGGTAATCCGGCTTCCTCCACCAATAAAACTGACCGCCACGAAGTAGCCAATAGTGCTGAAAGTGGCCTTAAACTCCAATTGATTAATCAATCAATAGATGGGTAATATGAAATTTTTATCTTGTTATATATGTAGGAATCAAATCTATGGCGGGTTCCAAATCTATGGCAGATTCCTAATCTATGGCAAATGTGACGTAACAAACGTCAAACAAATCAAATCTATGGCAGATTTTTGTTTTCTCCAAATCTATGGCAGATCTTTAAATTACGTCACAATAGAATAACGCAATATTACATCGTCGCCGCCGCAAACGTTGGCGGAACTCATAGATTTGAACACAATTCCAGATGAAGGTATTTCCCTTGACAACAATTTGCGGATGGTTTGAAGGAAGATATGACCTGTTATCCGGAAGAGGGACAAAATGTGCTGTACTGGCTGAAACCCGCGAAGAACAAGGGCACCGCTTTTTTCAGTACCGGATATTTTAGAAAAGGAGTTATAGTAAATATTTTACTGTCTACAGCTGGCAAAGTTTATAAAGTGAAAGATAAAATTACCGGATACCAATTTGATTTAAATCGTCATCAAATAAAAATGATATTAACGATGAAGTAAATATTATTTGAAAATTCAAACTGTTCATTTTTATTTTTATCATTTTTGTTTTATAAAAAAAACTATTCCCTTTTTTTGTTTATAAGGGACTTACTAGTTGTTTTAATGAATGGGTTAAATAGGTAACATGCACAGATTAAAAAATGTTTATTTTTACGGTGCACATCATTTCAATCTTGAAGTCTGTATTAAGGTATATGATTTCATCATTTACGAATTTGATTGGTTGCCAACACGATTTGGTTGACCATTATGAAATGTTTATTTCACAAATATTTATATACATGCTCCCGTCGTACATGTCCACTTGTTTAAGACAAGTCATTGGTCGTATATGTACTGCATTGTTTTCCATTTGCACAAAATTTGCCATAGATTTGAAAACAACAAAAAACCCGCCATAGATTAGGAAATTACAAAACTTGCCATAGATTAGGATTGTGAAACAATCTGCCATAGATTTTGGGATGGCATGTGACGTCACATTTACCATAGATTAGGAATCTGCCATAGATTTGGAACCCACCATAGATTTGAGTCCTACATATATTATATTTATGATCATGAATTCTGAGACAATATTCATACATGGAAATGGATTGTCATGAAATTTTGTCTCATGAAAGAGAGTTTATAAACATTTAATATTTTGAATAATCATATCTTTAAAGTGTTTTATTTGATTGATTATAACAAACAACCTGCAAAACTAAATTATGCAGCATTTTATGGTTATACAGTATAACTC